TGCAGGTCCGTCAAGTTACTTTGGGGCGCTGTCAAGTTGCGTGAGTAGGGAGGGGTGTAGTAACAGTGTAGTACGTTCAAGAAATCAGAGGCACGCTCCGCAAGCTCCTAAAATCTAGTGTCCCGGGGCTGGCCGATGTATAGAGTTCACAGGACCCTGAAGAATGAAGGTACACTGTGGACGTCAACTCAACTGACTCAGTACAGCTTTTTAGGTCCTGCAAGCAGCACCTTGCTCGAGGCTGTCCAAGGTGCCGTGGTAGGCATGGAGTCCGCAAAGGCCCGGGATGAGCCAGCAGAACAATGACCTGTCTGAGCCCCCGATGCTGTTCATCTGTGTGTTGTGGCACACAAGAGAAATCAAGAGAACATATTGGGAGATACCGAGATACCATCACATGCACAGATTTGGAGGAAAGACTCAACTTGGTAGAGGAAATCAGAGGCCGCGACTGCGGCAGCTTCGCGCACTGAGAAGTGCAGTGGCACTCTGCAGCACTTCCTCCCGCGGACTGTCACGGTTCTTCTAGATCAGCTCTTACTGTAAGGCTCCTAAGGGATTCATCCACGCATGTGTGTCTGGAAAACCCCTGCGGCTGGGCTATCACGTTGAGGCATGAAAAAGACATACATAAGCTGGCAGGTGCAGCCCTCCTACAAACTTGAACGCAGATTCAATCGCGTAAACTCCTCCAGCCTGTCGAAGTTGGGGTTCTGAGGTCCCTGCCCGAAGTCCAAGCGCCTTTTTTGGTTGACTGCACGCATGTGCTGCCATGGGTTTTGATTACGCAGCTCATATCCACTGGGCACTGGATCAAGGGTGATCAGGGTACCTCGACAAACAGATCTTTGCAGCTCTGAGTACTGAGCTGCCACAGCAGCAATCATACTCACCCCCCCATGAACAAAATCATCCCGGTTCGAACAAACATGTTGCCTCCTCAAAACCGGCTGCCTTGGACTGCCTTTCAAAAACTCTTGGATCTGCCCAGGAGCAGGTTCCAACTGTCGTGAGTCTTCCTTTGGAGAGCAGTACGTCGATCGATCTCTTCCTTGGCAGCACTCAAGCCGCTTTCTCAAGCCAAGAAGCTTCGCTTGAGAGGGGCTTGCACTTCGCCACGAAATATTGCGCTGAAGCGGCATGCCATTCCCGACCCCCCCACAAGTGCAAGCTATGTCCATCGTGAGCACGTTGTGGACCCCAAGTAGTGTAACTCGAAGGTTGGCAAATGCCAAGCTGACTATTGAACGCACAGCCGCTCTGGTCACAACAGTGGAGCCTCCTTGCAAAGAATCGAGCAGCAACAAGTAATAGATTAGTTATCTGCAAGAACTCAGGAGGGGTTAAGGTCCAAGTTTTCGAGACCACCCGCAGGATTTGCATGGCCAGCTGAGAAGACACCGCTACACAATATCATCGAACACAATATTATCGACCATACGACCAATAAGCCAGGACACGATCATGCTCCCAACGTCACCTCAACAGGACATGATGCAGGTACCGCAAACTACAAAATAAACGCATTCTACATAGAAAAAACTGCAAGCATTTCTGGAGGGAAGTCGATATAGGCCCTGCAACACATGGTAGCATATGAGTTGAGCTTGACTTCCACTCGCCACAACATCATCCTCACTCGACTACGTAAGATGGGAGCCTTTCTGCTGCAGGAAGCTATCCAGCAGCGAGTCTACGATGTTGTCGTCGCCCTCCTGCCATATGGAAGCTGCAGGAATGTTCCCTCCTGCTCTCCGCACGTTGTGAACCTTCGACGAACAATTGGAACCAGAAACATCCAGGGTGGACAGGTTCTCATGAATGGCGTGGCAATGTGCGGCAGGCTCCTCACAGAAGCGGCTGAGCATCGCATTCCAACTTTCCTCTCTGGCCTCCGTCCTGAGCTGAGGGCTGGGGAGAGCTTCGGCAAAATTTTGCACAGGGTTGCCTCCCCATGCCTCTCAACAAACTCACGTTCAGCAGTTCTATTCTGAATGAGGTTGCCCGCCCAGCTTCGGGCCAAAGCTTTGCTCTTCGCAAGGCACATCCTGGCATCTCTTCATTTGGCGGCTTTTGCGATGCCAAAAGTCGAAGAGTCTTTAGCCGTGACTGTTAGATGGCACAGCCTCTAGACATCTTGGCTGTAGCAGCTGAAGTGCGCGTGTGCGTGTGTGTGTGTGTGTGACGGTAACTCAGTGGTTTGGCCTGCTTCTCATCTTGTAGGAGCGGATCGCATCTGGGGAGAGGTGACGCGCCTGACGGGTTTTCGCGAGGTTTTAGCAAGCATTCTACTCGAGATTCTGGCTTCTAGGAGCTACACATGGGGGGTCAATTCTTTCAGCGCCTTGGCTCTCAGCCTGTAGCGTGTCCAGCAGGCGTTCGACAAAGGCCTCACGAGAACCGACATATCCACCACAGAAGCAAAAGATGCCAAAAGCCTGCTCTGATGCAACAGTGATGCAACACATTTAACCCACTTTGGAGCACCACCGCGAGCCGAAGCGTTTAACAACAAGGACGAAGTCTTGGCATCCGGGCGAAATTGTCATCCATCCGCGGTGGATGCCTGTACCGATTTCTACCGCAATCGTTCTCAGCTGCTATATTCTCCCGATGTGCAACAGGCATCACGTGCAAGCGTTAGGAAATCTTTGTAATTCGGGTCAACATCCTCGCTTTTCAACTGTACCCCAACAGTACCCCAACAGAATCAGAAAAGCCAGCTCTAGTCATTCACTCCACGACGTCAGGGCAACGAGTTGCTGAGCGACTCCTTTTTTCGCAGCACTAGCTTGGGTCTGGCGATGTCTTGTGCATGGAGAGGCTTGGCCAAGCAGTCTGACGGTTCGGGACACTCTGAGAACTCTGACACTACAGAGCCACTAGGCCGCTCGCAAGGATTCCGAAGCTAGATGGAATCCTCGGCCAGCGCAGCAGCCATCTTGCACAGCATAGCCACGCAGGATGGGGCTGATGAAAAGGGCAACATGACCACAAGGGTGTCCGCGTCACCATGCGTGCCGGCCACAACCGGCGAGAGCATGGACAACCTGAAGCCGAACACAGAAAATCCAGGGAACCGTGAAGGACGTTGCAAGAATGAACACCGTTGGGAGGTCGTGAATGGTTGTTGAGCGCGGCACAAGAAGTTCTCTTCAGCAACCGCGAAAAACAGTCGTTTCTGCAAGTTTCTGAACTATTTCTTTTAATCAGCAGCTGCGGAGCGGGGATGACACCAGCCCAGCCCTTGTCACGGCGTCCGCAACCCCAGGGGCCTCGTGCTTGAGGCTGTCGCGTACCGCCTTTTGAACATCTTGGACAAACTCTCACAAGCAAGAACATGTATTATTGACATGTTTTTGCTTGAAATGCTTGAAAAATGCCTGAAAATTCTTGAAAACCTGTGTTGAAGTGGCTGTGCGTTGGCGAGATGGGTGCTTCTTCAAGAAAGAAGTGCCCGCCTGAACAACTCGTGCATCCGCATCGCCAATGCCGAGATTTGCCAGGACCAGTATCAGTCGGCACGCCGATCTCAAAGTTAGCTCGGACTAGTCAAGCACAGCGCAAGATTCTACAAGCTGGCCATGGTACCATGTGAGGACCGAACACAATCAATAGTATCAGAACCCAGAACTTACACAAAATCTTTAAGGGAGAAGGGCTTGAGTGAGGAGGTAGCAACGCGCAACATCGGCAACATGCCAACTAAAAGGTGCTTAACAACACTTAGATATCCCTCTGCATTCGGGCTTCCGCTGGGACCAGCTTGCAAGGAGGTCCGCGATGAAGGACGCTGCCTCCTCCTGGACCTCGAACTCCTTCTCTGCCTTCCTCAGCCAGAATGTTAGTACAGATGCAATGCTCCTCTGCAATCTGCAGACAGTCCGACTGACGTGCTGCAACCCGTGGGTTGCCCGCAAAAAGAAAGCAAAGCACTTGCGTAAATTGCTTATGCGTGTCACTATGAACAACACTGACTAACAAGCAAAGCTGACCAAAACCTGCTGCACTGTCGCATGCACGGGCACGTGCTCAGAAATGTTTTTTGCAGGCGTGTCGGCGCCGCCATGCGCTGATATGTGCTGATCCTGATGCGGTGCACGCTGGCGACCTGCTCGTGACTCGCACCAGAACTTCAGCTCCGAGCTTCTCAGCGATCTCACAATTTGAAAGATTGGTCACCAGGTCCGCATAGGCCTTCAGGGCGTGCTGGAGATTCACAGTGCGATTTCTTGCGCTGGGCCGCAGCTTGGCACGACCTATAACTGCCTGGCCCTCTAGGAATTCATAGTTCCTCGCAAGTTCCCGTTGTTCCAAACGACTCCCCAGCGCATGAAATAGACCAGAAACTGCCGCCTTAAATCCGAGGTCTAAGAGCACAAGGGATGGATCAACTCACATGTCCTTCAACCTACAATCTGCGCCTGCTCATTGCCTGCGGTATTCCCTAAAGCCAGAAGCCCCACGCGGAGGGGCTGGCGCTGAGGCGGCGCCTGGACACCATGGAATGTCATGGGTCCGGCCAGTTCAGACAGCGCAGAGTTGTGACATGTTGTGGTCCACGGGGGTTCTTCCCTTTCTCAGATGAGAATCAAGCGACAACCTGACCCTCCCCGCATGCTATGTAAGTCTTCATCTGGAGTCAATCACGAGTCCTGCAATTTAGTCTTGGGAACTCATGATGGCTATTGCAAAAATCCTGCAGAATGATTAGGACTAGATGTATACTGTTCTAGGACCGAGCGAGGGCACGAAGCTGAATGCCCCGGCCAAAATAAGCCAAATTACCTTGTTCTCCACGCCGGAGGTGCCAACTCCCTCCCGTCCTACCAGTGCCTCCTCAGACGGCGTGGCATGTGCCGGCGGCTTTGGCCGAGCAGCGCTGCCCTCAGGGATTTGGCTTCTGCATGTTTCGGAGTTTCTCAAAGCATGCCACGGCCTGAGAATCGGATCAGATCCTGCTACATCGTTAAGTTTTCATCCTACGCAGCTTCCCGTTTTTACGGCCGAGGCACTCCGGGAAAGCCTTCTGGGCTTGGGGCCAGGGATCTGCTGCCATGGGGCAGCAGAAGTGCTTTCACCACCGTCCCTGGCCACAAGATACACGTGACAGTTGGGCAATAGTGAAGTTTGACTGTTGGGGCGTGCAGCTTCGCATGTCTACATCACCACTGCATGAGCCATTCCTCGCCTTTGGGGAGAGTCCCTTTGTTCTTGGGGATCTCCAGAAGACAGTTGGCTTCAGCAATGGAAGCGATGCGGCTGCTGCGCTGGAAGCCGGTGCTTTCAGCAACGATGCCTTGGACTGCAAAGAGGAGCCAAAAACTTACGCTCAGTCGATTTGGCCAGGAAGCTCCCTGACGGCATGTTTCCGCCACTCTACCATCTCAACTGAGAGTTGGATTTGTAATTATGCACCAACTTGCCTATTCTCAGTGTACGAGGAACTGCCCTAAAGATATGTGAAGACTGTTTCTGGACCGAAGGGCGTCCCGATTCCCACCGTGCCCTCGCGCGATGATACCTGGGTGCGCTTGGGCCGCTGCATCAGAAACTATAAGACCCGGTGAATGAGCACACCTTGGGCATGCCCATGAGACTTGCTTCGGCCACAAGCGGCCTAGGAATGTGCAATCCAGTTTTTTTTTGGCTCAATCGTAGCCCGCCTTTTATGGAAGAGTGTGCAAAGTATGCCCAGAGCAAAACAGAGGGTCAGAGACCACGGCCTCATGTTCTTTGAAAAGCTGCCCTGAGTTTAATTTGTGACCAGGCTGTAGGCATACCAAAGTAGCTGATCTACGTAATGTGGGCCGCAGCTTATTAACACACGGCATGGCGTCCGAACCATGCAGCAACCCTCCCCCCGAGATATGTCCTAGGGAAGATTCACAGGGATTCTTTGCTGTAGTGCCATGGCGCACCCAAAGCTAGACATTGACGCAAGCATGGCGCACTGGCCGAATTCTAGATGGTTGAAGCCTGCTTTCAAGCTTAGAGTTTCCAACCCGAAATGTCGCAAGATCTCGCCACAAACCCTTATTAAATTATTAAACCACAGGGGAGACGCTCGGGCCGCACGGGGTCCATCTCCACAGAACCAGCCAGCTCCGCGTCAACTCGAGGGTAGATGGGATCTGCTTGGGGCAAACCTCGCAGCCGCTCCAGGGCCTGCCATGGGCTGCTCCCAGCTACTTTGCAATCGGCTAGTCGACAAAAATCTCCTCTTCCCCGGCACAACCCGTTCATGTCCAACACTGTACGCTTCGATACCATCGCAATAGGCAGGGACGCTAGACACTCGAGTGCGTGTAACTGCACTTCATGCAACAGTCTTCAGACACTCATTTTCACAGATGCCTACAGGGTCTATAAGTTCTGAGTCGTGTCTTGCAGCGCACGGTGCATCACAATGCACGTGGCTCTCGGAGTCACGTACGCACCCAGTTACGCTTGACATGGTGATGACAATCCACATTCAACCTCTCTTCCTCCCTTGCCGCCTCTCTCTCTCTCCCTCTCTCTCTCTCTCTCTCTCTCCCTCTCTCTTGCTTCAAGCCCCAGAAGCTGGTGCAGCGAGGAGCTTGAATGTCACGAAGCAGCTCACTGGATTGCCTCTATATGGCGTGCACGGGAGCCCCCTCAAATTGCTCAACTTCCTTCTCTCCAATCCTCCTGCTGGCCTTTGCTGCACCGCGCTTGATTCTGTCCCATCCCCAAGATGTACGCTTCATCATGACAGGGGGGGCAGGGGAAGGGCAAGGGAAGGTTGCAGTCAAATAACTTCAGCAACGAGTGGCATTTCAAGCACACTTGCTGTGCTACCCCGACAGTCAAGTTCCAGCCTGGCAGCCCAAAGAAAAGCTTGGACTGAGCTTCGGGGCCGGCCACCGTGGCAAAGGTACTGGGCTTACCTTGGGCTTTAGCATTAGAATCAGCACGGTGGCTGTGTGCACACCAATACGGGTACGGCAGAAGGAACGGGTGTGAGCTTTTCGATGCGACACGATTGCTAGAGGTTTTTGGTGAGACCAGCACAATCCAGCACACTTCTACCAATAGCACCAGCATTGAAAGCACATGCAGTTGGCACTTCATCCATGCGCAAAAGTACGTGTAGAAACCGTTCAGCTATGGATTTAACCACATTAAAGAGACCGGGAGCCAAAGAAACGTGACATGGTGTCTTATTGAGAGGGCCACTTGCTACGTCTGCGCTCAATCTGGCAGCAAGTGCCTCACCATTTGGTCATAGCATGCGGATGCCATCAATGAGATATGATATGAAAATATGTTGTTTGGTCTGGCATGGGGCTGTGTGCTGAAAACTATCTATTCTGTAGCAAGTTTGTGTAGCAGCACATGTGGCACAAGTCTGCATCGGGTACTACCACCCAATGAGCAAAACTTCAAATCATGTACAGTAAGCACTACTTGAATTGTTGTGTAGGTTTTGTCACTCCAGAGAAGGTTACCGGGCTTGCATGTCCACAGCAATGGATTTGAGCTTTCGTTGGTTCTCCCAAGGAGACATTAAGAGGACTGCTCTGGGTTGTGGCCTCTTGGGTTTCCCTAGTCCAAGAACGCTGCGTCTAAGCAAATACTTCGTTTGAAGGAATGGTGATGCTTCTTCTGGAAAAAAGGTGCGTTCACTAGGCCAACAAAATATTGATCAAATACTAAGTACGAACTGCATTGGACAGTATTGATTGCATGTGTTGTTAAATCAACAGAACGCTAATTCATTCGCTCAATGCTATTGTTTCAGGACTCCTCTACTGCACGCTGGTGTCTTTGCAACAAAATCATTGCCAGGGTTTTTCCTTGGCAAGATAGCCATATTTTTACTAGGTTTTGGTTAGAAACGTTTCTTTCGAGGAAAGCAAAAACACTTCTTTTGAATGAATGATGCCCATTGCTCATGAAAAGGTGCTTTGGTTCTGTATTTCGAGTAAACCCGAGGCATATTCAGTCGACAAGCAAGACTACAGAGCACGACAAATTTCTGAGTACCAGTACGTACTCATAACTTCGGCCCAACTGATAGTACACCATCATGTATACCTGCTTTTCCAGGAAAGCCAACTTCTGACTAGCGAAACTTGGAATTTAACGTCAAAACCAACGTTTCGGCTAGGGGGGAGGATGCAGAAAAGTTGTTTCTTTTGTTTGTAAGAGATGGTGCGAAATACAAGCTTTTTCCCTCGTAAAAAGTTGGTTGCGGTGAAACAGCCAACTTTCCCCTAGAAAAAACATGCTTTTTGTGCGAAATTCCAGTCTTTTCCGAGGAAATGTTGGCTTGGTGAAAAAACAACATTTTCCAGCACAAGGGCCTTGACAACAAAACCTTGTCCCTAGGAGACAATTTTTTGGTCAGAGAACCATATTTTGACTGAGAAAAAATGGCTTTGGCCAGAAAACCATCTGTTTACTAGGGAAACAAAAAACAACCTACTTCCTCTGTCCTCCTCAGTGCGATGAAAAAGTTTGTTCTGTTGGTTTTTGGTTTCCCTAATCAAAAGAATGGTTTTGGTAAAAAAATAGCACTTTTCCCCAGAAAATTGGCTTTGGCAAACAAATTAGGTTTTCCCCAAATTAAAGTTTGTTTGTGCAAAAACTCCACATTTTCTGACAGAAAGTTCGTTTCGGTCAGACAACCATCTGTTTTTACCAGGGAGAAACCACCCTTGGTGCGAGCTTAAGTTGCGCGTTCAAGTTTAAGCCCATACATCTTGTAAAAAGTTATTCAGACTGCAGGGCTCAAGAACAGCTATATACAGAACATAGCAACCGGAACATGGAACAGGTGGGTCTTAAGCGGTATTTACGACAGAACAACATGGGGTGGGGGAACAAGTCCATTGACATATATATATGTGTATATATATATATATACATATATTTTTCTATATAGCTACGACGTAGCTGCAACGTATATCGCTAAAGTTGCTTCATTTGCCACATGAGAAGCCGAATCGTGCCTGGGTACCAGGCTTCATACACATCTCGCCGAAGTGGATCTCGCCAATCTCAGACAGAAGCTCCTTGATGTAGTCTTTGCTCCCGCGACTAACACCACCTGAGGTAATCACCACATCTGCCTGCGGCAGGGGCATGCCCTAAGGTCCTCTAGGCACTTGCGCAATGTGCATGGCAAATGCCATTAAAGGACCGCAGGTGCCAATACATAAACGCTCGCAAAAACGGTCATGCTGCAGCCCCTTGCCTGCTGGAAGGCCGAGGCAAGTGTCGCACGAAGCTTGGATGGATCGTCACTTACGTACCCCATGTCCATGGCCTGCGGGCACAGCCAAAACACATCTCTGCAAAATGCAAGCGGGCATGCTTGTCACTTTAATTTGGTGAGGGTTCATGACTCGGTTCCCTTGGTCCGGTTGGAGCAGCACGGACTCTAAGTTGAGAGGCCTAGATAAGCCTGTTCAAGAGCAATCGTGTTCTGTGACCCTGTAACTCACGCCAAGTTCTCCCGTCCACATACAGTACGGCTCAGAGGGTCTCTGATTCAGGAAGGCCGTGTTTAGAGTGCCGGGTGAGCTGCAGCCGCTGCGATTAGTTATAGACTGCCGAGCAGAAGGAGGAAGCCTCAAGCCTTTAGGCCGACAACCATTGATGTTCAGGTCAGACCGGCGGTCTCTAGCTCAACCGCACCCTGTGCTAGTTCGCGGTAGAACTTGTGGATACTTGTGACTTGTGGCACCTCGGCGCCCAGCTCCTGCGCAAGGGCGCATAGAAGGGGACGATTGCAGTCGACAATCTGCCCACGGCTGCGATCCAGGGTGCATCCAGCACCTGTGGAAAGATTCAAGGGTTTCGGAGTTAGTTAGTCTGCCTATTTCTTCATGTTCTCTCTGCAGAAGTCTCGCATACACGTGTGACAATTCGAGTCCTACGAAAGCTGGATGTGGCTGGCATGTACCAGCTGAAAAGACGCAAGCCCAAAGGGTGCAAGGAGGGTAGGAAGGCCAGCTGAATAAGGTTGAGCCGGGGGAAGACGGTAGGAGGCTACGGACGGGAGCAGAGCAAGAGGCAGAAAATCAACATTATGATGATATTCAAAGCCCCATATGTGCTTCCTGCTGCACCTACATCCACCAACTCGTCGCCAGTGGAGATGATGGCCACTCGGGGCTCACGGAAGATCTCCACGTTGGCGAGGCCGAGAGCAGCCAGCACCTGAGCCAAGCACAAATAAGCCTTGGCAAGCCTTGGCCTGACTTGCGGGCACGGCCAAGCCACGCCGATCTCGGCTGCACCAATGCGAGCGCCTTTCTGCAGAATGACCTCGCCCTGCTGCGTGTCGGAGCCTGGAAGGGACGAGAGCAACTGGACTTGAATGGCAGGGATCTTGGGAAAATTTGGGTTCCCGCCTACTGCTCGGATGTTGGCCCCGGGCTTACTGGAACACAAGACGTCGATCTCCAGCTGCCCATCTGGCTGGACCAGCCTGATGCAGAGCTTGTGCTGAGCTCCAAACAGCAATGTTCGAGAGTGGGTGTTTGCGGGTGTTTGGTGGTGAAGGCAGACAAGCGGCTGGTTTGCGTCTTCCACCTTGACTACAGTGTCTGCACCTTCTGGTACAGGTGCACCAGTGGTGATGTAGCGGACATGGCCCTCCTTCAGGGGTCCATGGCCATCTGCACCAGCTGTGGCGCCAGACAGTTCATCCACCGGATACTTCCCAGGTCCATCTTTGGACCGCATAGCGAAGCCATCCATGATCGATGCAGGAAAAGCTGGGATGGCCTCCACCGCCACTGCATCTCTTGCCAGAATATGCCCAAGGGCAGTTTGCAAAGGGACTGTCTTGCTTTCCAGAGGTCCAAGGACTTTGCTTGCCACTGTGCTCACACACTCGTCCACCGACAGCATGGTGAAGGGGCTTTTGCCAGGATATGGGGCAGCATGGCCAGACATCTGTTCTGAAAGCTGACAGAAACCAGCAACAGCATCAGAAGCAGCTCGGGAAACGCAATGATTCAATCACATGGCGACGCTCAAGCCAAAATGTCAAAGGCGACAGGAGCACGCACTTCTTAGACTGCATGTTGCACCTTTTGTCATCTGACGTTTCTTCCTGCAATACTGGTCCTACTTAGCTTCGCCTAAATTGGGCATGGTTGGCACGCGGACCATCACGAAGATGACCAATCTCCCAAAATCAATACTACGAGAGAAGAGAACGTCGAGCAGACCCCCCGGCTGGGATCTCAGCCAATCCGAGCTGTCCCTGCACCATCCTGCTTCTGTTATCTTCTATTCCGTCAGTATCCAGTGGCAGCACAGAGGAGTGATGCCCTGTCGGCAGCAGTCGCCTTGTGACTTGATCCGTTTACATCCGTTTACTACAAAGCTCTCCCGGTTGCCTTCAGCAGCAGCAGATGGAGAATCCAGCGATGGCGACAAGTGCAGACAGTTGATCAGATATCGTCGATATTTGCTTGCGTCTGATGGGCGATTCCTCTGATGCATCAGACCAACACAGAAACAGAGAACCAAGAATCGTGACTCGTGCGCTTCAACGGACACTTGAGCCAAACGCGAGGCGGCTTTGTGGAAAGACCGCTGCCTTCAAGGGCCATCTTAGTGACTTAGTGTCTTAGTGGCCGTGGCTTGGTTCGTACCTTTGGCCGTGGCATCACAGCGTCTCGTCACCGGACCGTCGCTGCGCTGAGCTGCCGGCTCGCGCCAAATCTGCCCCTCCTTGGGCCTCGGCGGAGCCTCGCAGATCCATTGTTGAGCCATCTAATATCATCTAATCATGTAATGTTCGAAGCTGCGTGATTTGCCGTTTGAGCGGTCGGTATGCGGTGTGGTGCAGCACAATGATCGGCACGCGAAGACGGCCAATTTTTACAGTAACAGCAAGTTCCCAACTGTATAGGCACATGCGGGCACCATGCCCTCAGGAGTTGCGCTTCATGTTTCCGGAGGCCGTGGGCTGAATCATGCCTGAGACTATGAGACGACCGATCACTCATTTGTAGTTGCTTGCACGATATGGGCAATCACGACGGGCAACACATGGACAAGACATGAGCATGGCTGCTACCAAACAGCTGACTAAACATGGTTAGGCAAATCGATGGGCACTTCCACCGACTGTAAATGCTGAAGCTTTCCAGTTTACCCTCTGGAGGATGAAGTGTTGACAGCACTGTAGACAGCTGCCTTGCGGATTCAGCATCGCTTCTTTCGGGACAAGGGAGTCAGCTCTCACAACACAGTAGGGCAGTAGCAACCTGGGAACTTAATCCACTGTTCTCAAACATCCTTTGCCCCGTGGCCATGAGGCACCACGAAGCTGTCACCGGCCTGGCCTGCCAGCAGGCATAGTGACTCTGAGTCCCATCCTTCCGTAAACCAGCAATCCAAATCCTACGCCCCCATACTATAGGAGCTCTGTCATACCTGAGTCAAAGTACAAACCTGCCAAGGTCTCAGGCGATCATGGCAGTGTCTATTCTTCTTTCGAAGCTGTGTGCTTTTTGCGCTGGAGTGGGTCATGGTGGGTAATCCCCGCAACCGACCGGCATCCGCGAGCAGACCGTGTGCCAGGACCAGAGGCCAGTTGGGGCCGACATGGGCCGACGGGGACCGACACCGAGCCGTGAAGTTGAAAAAGCTCGCAGGCCTCGCTTGGGAGCGGAGCCGCTGGGGCCCACGCCCAGCACCTCGGCACCCAGTGACGACCAGCGGAACCTTGGTGTCCAATTCTGACATGCTGCGCAAGACATGACTGCGATCCAGCAGCCGTGTTATGTTGAGCCCCGCATCGCTACAACAACAGGCCGACAGCGAATCAGCACAGTCAGCATGGCAGTCAGTAGCATTCGGGGTGCGGAGCTGTTGAGGGGTGCCGGAGATTTATTTTGCAGCTGGTGCTCTTGTGACTGTGGGCTTTGGCTGACTCGAACTCGTCGCGCTCATCCCGCCACCTTCCCCGCAACACAGAGGATGCACAAAGCAGCAAGATGCGGCAAGAATTATGGAGCACAAAGCCCGCTCGGCTTTCACGACTGCAGTGCTGCCAGCAGGCCTGCCAAAGAAGCCCAATGCCCAAACACCTCTGAGCTCGTCCAGGCCCACATACGGTGTCACAGCATCTACTAAGAAGTCCAGGACCTGATTCGAACATTCCAAAAACTGCTCATGGCAGGAAGGATATCGTCGCCTCGCGCTGTGCAACCGTGACACCAGCAGCCTCTCCCTTCCTACTCACGACACAAGGGGTTGGATCTCGATGCTTGCTGCGACATTCCGCAGAATGTGCTTGATCCATGCTGCTGCTAGACTCCTGCTAGACTGGCAAGCCCCTCCACCCACGGAGGCACTGCATCCAGAGGGCATACATGTAGGCCAGGACATCCACATTCTTGCCGAGCTCCTCACCTGCACATCTGGACAATTGATGGCCACATCCAGTGGCAAGCGAAGGAGACCCAGGGGCAACATGCCAGTACATCGACGTCCCGCACCTATACTTGTCAAGGCGGACAGCAACAACAGGCACCACTTCACCATCCAAGCTGCCAAAGGATTTGCCCCCAACAGCGCTGACGATTGCCGATGCGGCGCCCAGCGCAGAGGCAGCCATCACCAGGTACAGCCTTGCATTTGCAAAGACGTAGTGATAATTGTGACTGATTCAACAAAAACGGCCCTTACGCTTCCCTGGCCGGCCAGAAACATCAATGGTGCATAGCACAAGCTTGGCCAAGGAGCACCAGAATGCCAAGGGCATTCGCGCTCAGGGCCGAGGAGATAGAGCTGCGTACAACATGAGCCTCCCCCAAATCCTCCAGCAAATACTCTTCTGGTTGAGCACAGGGCTTCAAAGAAACGACCTCTCAGTCTCTCCATCAGTCAGTATCATGTTTGGCCGTGAAGTCGCGCCAAGATTCTCGTCCAATGCCATACGTCAGGAGGACGAGCTTCAGCGTATTCCGCGTGACGAGGCAAAGGGCGACAATGACGATGACCCCTTGCTTGTCAATGTGCTCGGGGTGCTCCCGAAGCTCTCCAGTCTAGAGTCATCATTTCGCTTGTGGCAGCAATAAAAGGCTTCAGGGCCGCGCTTGAACTGAAGACGCTGGATTTAAGTAACATGTTCCAGTTGGTTTAACAATTGGGGTTCTGTCGCTGGTGTAATTGTAGTAGTCGGTATTGCAGTAGTATAGACGCACTGATATGTAAATAAATAAATATATATATATATATACTGAAAATCGTTTGATACGTAGTGAAAACAAATTGTTGATACATGGTGTATAGATATTGAGGAATTATGTGTTTTTTTGATTTCGTGATGATGTAAATGTTGCATTACATGTGTTACTAAATATGTTTTCTCTTTTGTTATTGGTCAAATCACATAAAAAAACATTAAATTGAAAGATACCCGCCCTTTGCTTTACCCAAGCAACGAAGTAGAGTCTGTCCAGTGAAGGCTGCGACACCAGTCACAACAAACCAGGAGATACCTGAAGTCCGCAACATACCGAAAATGGCATCTGGCACAGCGGTAGCTCACCCTCTCAACATCACGGTTGTGACAGGGAAGTGGCGAAGTGGCTCACGTGCAGGCATGCTGCAAGAAGCGGCGATTGCTACCACCAGGCGCTGCCACCTCAGCTATAGGCAATGCATGATGTGCCGGCCAGGACAGCAAACATATCCTCGGTCCTCAGCAATAAACAGCCACATGCAGGCTTAACACCCGTTGCGAACATGGCACTTGCTATAAGGATGCGCGGGATGGCTGAAGAGGACGCCCAAGTAGACATGACGGTTTGCTGCCTCGCTTTTTTTCAGCGTTGCAGCATGACAGTACCAACTTTGCCGCAGAGATCCACAGACTGACCGATCACGTGGATGCTCTTGGCTGGCCAGCTGGCCATGCGACAGCAAAGCTAAAGGCAGTCACGAGGCATGGAAGACATAGTCCTCGATCACTTCGCCTGTCCAAAAAGTCCGGCCATACAGCAAGTCCTCGCACATACAAGCTCGCTCGACAATCAGACGTTCAGCACCCATGTCTGCACAATGTTCTAACTGACAACTCCCCCCGAAAAAAGAACAAAAAAAACATAAGCCCTCCCATAGATTCCGATACACACACACACACTGACACACGTACTCACAGGACGTCCACTACCATCAGAGCTGATGTTGAAGAATCATTGCCAGCATTTGCCAGCTATCTTATCCTTCGCTCTGTCCTGGCGGACGTAACTTGGATACACCCTGGGCGTCCAGTCAAAGCCAAAGGTCATGTAGTCCTTAGTTTGTCATGTGGCAGCCCAATGGCCCAGCATCCTGGCTGCTTGTGTGTGACACATGACGGAAGGATTGCAATCCAAAGGTCAAGCTTTTCGGGGTGCCAATGAGCACTGTCCTGCGTACGGGCGTTTCAGCGCCTGTCAGCCCTTTGAGTTGCCTGAGCCCCCCTTTGACAACTCTGCTACGGGCGAGGCTACGCCCGGTGAGCCCCGCCTCCATGCCAAAGAGCGTGAAGCCAGTACAGGCGAAAAGCAAGAGGAGGCCTCAACGCGGTGCAACATGACCCTGCAGCTCCCAGGCTGCGTCTGCGACTGCATTGAAGACACACTGTGCCTTTGCCACCTGCAGCACTGAACCAAGGTACATGGTGCCAGAAGAAAGAAGACCAACAAGCAAACGAGGACGAAATTCGCGGCATTGCTCCTCATGGCAACTCTGAAGATCATCCCATCCCGGCTGCATCTGACACGAGCACTTCTTTCAAAGCTTTGCAGCCACGTGTCCAGAACCAGTTTTCTTGTCGTTCGGCGGTATCATTCCAGCGGATAAACCTACAGCCGGAATACTGAACGCATGAGATGAGGCAATTCAGAAAGGGCCACCGCAATGAGAACAGTAAGGAATGTGTAGAACTTTCGCTTTCTCTTCATCTTTTTTTTCTTTTGAGGGGGGGGGGGGGGGGGGGAACCCCCTCTTTGCAAACAATGCCACAAGGATGAGTGGACCATAGTGGAAAAACACGTCCGTTCCATTTGGGTTGCAGCTGCCTGATTAGATTCTGAGCGTACAACGTCAATAAATAGGGGGGGGGGGCGGTTGTGGGGAACGGACCAGGGAACCAGCGGACCAGCAGACCTGAGCACCACCAGACCGCAAAACAACAAACAAAAACAAAGCATTCAAAAATGCAAGCCGGCCGTAAGGAATTTGTAAGATTTTTGGTATGTCGAGTGGCATGGGGTTCCTTGGCATGTTGATGCCGTAGGTCTCTGCAGCCATCTTTGCAGCTTGCAGATACTTGGGCAGTTCACCTGGCCCAAAGATGCACAGGATAATCGCGTTCCAGTCAGGTGTAGTTAGAACGGCTAGGCTTGCAGATCTGAGCAGTCACTGATTGGTTGACACGCGGTCCTTCCAGGATTGGGCTCGAGTCTTGGATCACAACGCCACTCCGCACCGAGTGGTTCCTGAAAGGTTGGACTGCGAACCGGCTGACGGTCCAGATTTTAGACTGCAGGAGGGTTTAAAAGCGTGTGAACCTTCACTCCACAAAGGACGGGCACAACACCCAGGAACTGCATCCAGGAACTGCATCCCAGACTCTGAGCATCTCCACAGTGAAAGCTGCCCTGTCGTTTACAGCAGTCGGTGCCCACGGCCCAGTAGCCGGCTGACGTTGCCATCTCATCCATGACCTAGGCTGGCAACATGCCACCGAACCACTTGTGGCACGCATCTGAGCAGGCTGAGCAAGGATGGAGCATTCAAGGGAGCAGGTCGCCTTAAGGCATGCGGCAATAGGCGCTGCACACCAGAGCGTGTCAGACACGAAGCCCACTCCTGCGCGAGCACGGTGTGCTACCGTGCAGCGGGCCACCAGAATAAGGGTTCGCTGTGGCGAAATGCGCCAAACAAGTGCCCACCTCGGGTGGTGTCCACGTGAGAACCTTGGATGCCATATTGTTGCTTGCAGCCACCCACTTCCCTCCTCGGACGAAGCATGATGGCATCGTCGCCAAGGAGCCAGGCTGGAAACTCAAATAGCCTCACCATCGTCAGACTTAAGAATTCTCAAAACTCTGCAACAAGACATCCGGAACAACGACAGGGTCGACAAGCCTTCAAAAGGCTGCATGGCTTGCAGCTTGCAAATAACTTGGCAAAGTTGTTCATGTTGTCTCGTTTGCTTGTCACTTTGTTCAGCCCATCAACCAACAAGCGCTTTAATGCCTTTATGCGCTTTTATTAGGGAGGCCTGCGTCTGCCACTGAACCCGGCTTCGATGCGGGATCCACATCAGAGTAGCCAGGGCTTCGCACGAAGAAGTAGTAAGGATACCTGAGCTGCACGTCTAGGGAATGATGCTCAAAGCTGCAGCGCTTTGGGCAACATCATGTCGAAAACTTCTCAGCAGGGCCGAAAGGCAGGTACTTGACCTTGTCGTACTGCCTAGGCTTAGCATCCGGCACATGTTGCGAAGATGAAAGACAGGCCAAACAAGCACTGAGAATTCTGACAACTCGATAAACTGCAAAATGCCACTCACTAGCAAGTATAGTGTCTGTGCATGTCTATACCAAGCACGGGCAACTCAGCTGCGAAGAAAGCTGACTTTGCACATTCGGAAGCTTCAAAGGATTCAAGCGGCCCCAACGCAATGCCGAAGAGGGTGATGCAGAAGCAGCTGATTGCAAGCACTCGCCAAGCGGGCCCTCGAGAGAGCAACAGAAAGCCGACCGACAGGATGAAGCCTGAGTTTGACTTTGAGTTGAGATTGGGTTCGTTTCTGCCCAGGGGTTCAGGAGGCAAAGCCGTCATTTGCCTTCCTTTAGGTCACGACACGGACCACAAAAAACACGCCCAATCGGCTTCTCTTTTGCTGAAAGTTTAAAAGGGTAGAACTCCTGCTCTCTCTCTTCTGCGTCGTCGTCGTCGTCTTCTTCTTCTTCTTCTTCTTCTTCTTCTTCTTCTTCTTCTTGTTCTTCTGCTTCTTCTTATTATATTCTTCTTCTTGCGGGCTTGAGGGGTGCCGAAGCCCCCTCCCCCCCCCCCCCCCCCCCGCGCACTGGGCACGCCCTGAAGGTCTCAGCGTCCGTGTGACACTTCGAGGCGAAGATGGGGTCTCGCGGTTCACCACTCCCTTCAGATAAGCCCTATCCCCGGTCAAGCTTAGTCCTTAGCTTCCCCACGAGTTCTCCCCGCTTTGCTTCCCCTGTGAAACGGCTGTGCTGGGGTGCAATCTACAGCCTATGCATTCCTACGAACCCAATCATCACTACTCTTAATGTTGACTTACCTCCAGTCAGCCTTCCAATCTGCTGCCAGCTGCCTGTGACTGTGCCACTCCTGCTCTCTCTGTCTCTCTGTCTCTCTTCTTCTTCTTCTTCTGATGCTAGGCTTGGCGGGATCTCTCTCTTCTTGGTCGTCTCCAGGATCTCCAGCTCTTCCTTCCAAAGCGGCCACCGAAGTGGCTGCTAGAGCAGGGGCGCCGGGGTGAAGCAAACCGTTAAGAGAGCACCCAGTTGCTGGTAGAGAAGCGGGGAATCAAAGAACAGCTTCGAGCTGCCACAGAACTACCCAACCCTGCAGCTGCAGCCCAAGGTGCAAGCAACAGAGGCAAGTAGTGCGATCATCTGTCCCTGAACCAAAGCGGTTGCCAGCAGCACCATTCCTGGACAGCCATTTTTGAGAACTGGCTTTAAAAACTCGCCAATGCTACAAGGCTTGACTGCACGCCCCAGCCACAAAAATCGATTCACTGTGTAGCAGCTGTAGCACAAAACGCTGCGCAAAAGACAATCGAAGAATTTGCAGCACTGGCTTGCCTTGCTATGTGAAGTAAATGATATCTGTTCCGGTTCGCCGGTCCACCCACCTGCCAAAAAACCTAGGCGCTCATCCCCAAGGACCCAAATCCCCTGCCCGCTTTGCAAGTCGGTCTAGCAGTGGGCATTCTCATCGAATCGTGACGAGTCCCATCGAACGAAGCCATTAGCAAACCAGGGTCGATTCGCGCGGAAGATGCGAGCAAGTTTAGGGGTGACTGAAGCTTCCCATTCCGGGTCGGTGCCGCGGGAGGGGGAGTTGGTCCGAAGCTGCTGAGCAAATATGCCCAACAAGTTTCACTAGACATCGCCGCAAACGCATCCAAGCTTCCGAAGAGGATCCAGGGCAACAGCAGAGGTGGCAGATCCTTCCAGGACCTTGAGAAAGCTGTGATGACTCAGAAGCGATGCAGACTACAAAACGTGCTCCGCACAATGTTGTTACAACCCTTCGGCGGCATGTTTACCGCAAAACACCTCATAACCCACAGGCCCAAACAATCCCAAACACAACAAAACAAGCGGGAGTAGCTGCGGTTGGCAGCAGTTAAGCTGACAAAGTTGAGGCACGGCCTCGCACGGGCTGCGGCCTTGGTTTCCTCGGTCTCGATGGCTCCTCTCAGGCCTGTTGTCAACCGACCAAGTTTGACAGTGCAAAAAAGTGCAGGAAACTACTCTGCAGCAGACAGATCGAAAAAAGACTACCTACCAGATACCATGCGGAGTTGTACCAGCGTTACAAGGCCACACCGCAGCCGGGCTGCCCGGTGCTGCAAACGCACATGCTCGGAACCTCTGGACTATTCGGTCGGCGCATGTTGGCGCCTGGTGCAAAGTTGCCAGAGCCTGTTTCCAGCGAGCCATAGTCAGTGGGAGCTTTTCCACCTCTCACAGCATGTCTGGGCGATCTCGGGCGTTGGTCAGGACATGCCCGACCGGGGTCTCCTACCGGTGTAAGTGGAGCTGCCTTTAGACTTTGCAGGCGCGGGAGGAGAATTCGGATGTTTGCACATGCATTGCACGGTACAGTAGATGTCGTGTGTTGTCCCGCAGCGGCCCTATCATGGACGAAGCACAAGCACCTTCACTCTAGGAACTCAGGCCTTCCATCGCGGCGGGAAGGACGAGCAGGGCGTGCGTGTCAGCACGCCCCGGCACGAGAATATGGATTGCACTACCGGGTGGGGACGGTGGAGGGCGCCGCCTTTCAGAGTTTTCCGAAATGGCTCGGGGTGGGAGCCAAAAGCAGCTGCGGAGGAAGGCACAGCAGCAGATTATCCCACAACTCACGAAAAGCTTTCTTCTGCCTTGTGTAGCGCAAAAGTCTTGCATGTCTGCTTTATCCTTCCATGTTCTGCAGATGTTCTGCATCTCTTCTCTCATACTTCCAGAGACTCCGAGAACGTCCGGAATGCAGCAACGCTCCGGACAAAAAGACTTCCCAAATCACTCCGGCCTTTGCTGCTGCCTTCGCCTCCACAAGCCGGGCATGCGATGACCACATGCGAATGCAGCAGCACCAGCAGGATGACCAGCAGCAGCACCAGCAAGCTACAAAACAAATGCATCGTCGTGATAGGCACATTGAGGAACAAGCAACTGCAGCAGTGTGTTGCCAGTGCACGACCTGCTGCCACGGTGGCCGTGCGCCCATTGGCATTGTTGGTGAGGGAGCCTGCCGCGCAGCAGAAGGATTGCCGAAATCTCGACGAGTTCGAGTTCATGTCACATCTAAGTGACTATGTGGGCTTCAGTCTAAGCCCCGACAGAAGCATCTGGCATGTCTTGCTTCACCTATGCTGCAGCAGAAGTGGCATGAGAAAGCCATGCACCAGCCTTCGAAGAGCCATCCTCGCCCTCGCTTGGCACGGCAACAATGTGAAAATTATGAATGTAACATCTTGGTTCAGCCGAGCCACGGCGCGCGCCTTTTGCACATCGGCAGCCTGCAACCACCGACCCTGGGACCCTGCGTACATCTAACTTGGGTAGTAGTTCCACGTTCTAACAACATGTGCTCGAAACCTGGAGTCCATATTCCTTGGTGAATTCTTGTTGGTCAGTGTCACGATGCCAGCTACAGAAGGCATACTCATACAGCTCCAGTCTGCGATTTCTGCACACCCTCCGCGCCGTGACACCCTCAGGAAGTTCCTCGACCACCTCGCCCGATCCTGAAGCGGCTGAAGCGCATGTTTGGCATTGCTTCGCCATGCAAGGGGGGGGTAAGCAGCTCATCTTCGATCCCAACGTGCTAGTGCTGGTGCTAGCTTTGCCAAAGTTCCGCACTAAGGTACAGACTTTCATTGCGGTAGGTGACCTTGCCTTCGTCTGTCTTCTCCTCGCTGATAGCAATCAACACCCTGTGATGATGACAGCTCAGCTTCGGGAAGCTTCGTGTCTACATCTGCTCACCAACTAGCGTACACATGTCGAGATCTCCCGCACCCTGCCCTGCCCAAAGCTTCCTCCACCCACTCACAGCTCGGCGCCTGCACAAAGTGGCAAATCTGATGCATTGATAGCCTATCAGGATCCATTGAGACCTATTCCGAGAACAGTTTTCTAAGCGCCGAAAAAACACGTCCATGGCTCTCTTTACGCTCCGATTTAAGAAGATGCTGCCCCCTTGCCAGAACTGCCTCTGCTTCCGCCGCTGCAGAGCCTACAGTGTCAGGCAGGTCTGAGACGATCGCAATGCGCTACAACATCCATGTGCTCCACAAATAAAAGACTCTGTAAGAAAGCGGGCATGGTCTTAGGATGGCTAGGCAATCTTAGGGACTTTGGAAGGAACAAAGCTGCAGCTGTCGCACGACACCTCCTGCTTTCGGCTTCGACGCCTTCCTTGGAAAGATGGCAAAAGAAAGTCTACTCGCTTGCCGCTTGCTACTGAACAACCTGAGTCCTGCTTCACCACCAATTGAACTCACCAATGATTGTCGAGGCTCTCTGCTGCCCACTTGGCTTCATTCTGGGCCTGCCACACTGTTCAGTTACTTTCCGCGCTGGACGCAAGGCTGGAGGCTTACCATTGCTACTCATTTCCATTTGATGGAGCGAAGACCAACAGACAACGGCGCTGTCTGCGTGCGTGTGCGCGGTCTTCTCTGCGCTGGCACATACTGTAACTGTCGCTTCCAGATGGCAGTTTCAGCCAGTCATCCCAAGCCAGGATCACGAGGCTGGACTGCAGACGTCTGCAACCGCAACAGTCCCGGCCACGGCTTGGAACCGCTCAAAGCTCGGGTGTGCTGAGACAAACTTGCAGTCTCCGCAGTCTCCGCTGTCTAGTTTCAGAGAGCAGCCAAGCGAAACTAGGTCGTGCAAAGCTCCAGCTCACAACTCAGTGCTGCTGCCGCTTCTGCTGGTGCGGGACTTTGGTATCGGTCGTTGGAAACCGGTCCTGATGACGAGTCTTTCTTTTGAGGGCTCTCTGTGGCTATCACGCCGATATCCAGCGGGCCAACCGTGTTGCTGTGTTGCTGACTCCAGACAAGGCGCGGCCCTTTGCCTGCCCACTCCGCGGACTTGGAAGCGATCTTCTCTGACCACACCTGGCGCATGCGGCGAGTCGCTAGCACCAGCTCAACGATCGATCTTTCGATCTAACGTCGAATCTCAGAACATCGGGAAACCACGGAAACCGCAGCGGCAATGTGAAGCGTGAACAGCAAACGATTTATGGTTCTCCAAAGGGGGAGGTTGTTGGGCGGGCTTTAAAGACAGGAGGAGTGGAGGCAGGCTGCGTGAGGTCTGGACCTACGTGTTGCAAGTTCACACCTCGTTACACTTCAAGCAGCGTTCCGTTCCGACGGTCAATTGTTATTTCGTTTCGGGCGTGCAATAATGAAAGTGCAAGCAACGGACTGTGCGTGAAAGAAGTTGAACTGATTGGGACGGATGCTTGAAGATCCAATAGTGCCTTGAACTGTCGCATGGCATCAGGCATGCAGCTGCCTTTAGCCTGAGCCAGCCAGATGTTTCTCTCGATGTTCAAAAGTGGAAGGAAAGTACTACTTGCTTGAAGCCTGGGAAGTGAATGCTGGCACTGCAACAGTTGAACTTAAGTTTACCTGCTGGTTTCAGTCCAGTGTCTTCTTCAAGCTGGCACGGATCGACGTACCAGCCCTGCAGTGTGAACCGCCTACCTGCGACAATGCGCTGATCTGTTCACATCTGTTCTCGCAACTTCGCTCGAATGGACTTGAACCGACACATCTTGAAAACCTTGAGGCCTAGATAAGCACACCAAGAGCTCTAGAATATAGCGGGCACAGTGACACCCATGCACGGCGAAGTGCCTTTTCCATCACCTTCATGTACTGGCGCCACAGCATGGTAGCTGTTCCTTTCAAAGCAGGTTACGGTTCAGCTCAGACATACGCTAGCTCGGTTTGAGTGTTTTGACGGACGGTTCGCCAAACATGTCATTCCCTACACTTCGTCGCCACAAACTGATGGCCAAGCCGCTGAAAGACGGGAAACACCACCGCCACGTTGAAACTCGGCAGCAGCGCGCTCCCTCCCTTTGAAACATTGAAGCTCTTGTGAAAGTGAGGCCGGTCGGGAGCCTGGCCCAGAAGCTCTCTCGCAGGGCAACAGGCTTCAGAGCAATTGCGGCTTTGTTGCCTGATTTATCCTGACTTGTGGCTTCGATCTATGCACCTAGCTTCTGCCGACCTCAATGGTCACGTCGCCATCTCCCTCTGGGCCACACCAGACAAGCTCGCCTCCGTTGTCTGTGGACCTGCTGTGGCCGAAAGTGGCGCGACTGTACACAAGCACATCACAAATCTGGCCGGTCTACTCTGTAGGTGTAATTCGGCTGATGCATGCTGAAGGCACCAGCCGCTGGCCAAATGGATTGTCACCGCCAGGTATCTTGCCTGTGAACTCGAGAAGCGAATGGCATTTAGCAGAACAGCGACTTTTGCGCCCGCAACACAATTTAGGATCATGTAGGTGGCTAGCGACATTTGCTTGCAATGCCACCGTAGCTCTCACATGCGAAAATGCTTCAATCCCCTTTGGCTGTTCTGTGAGATGCGTTGCTTGACAGCTGCGAGTATGCAAGCCTGTGCGTCATCGGCATGCAAACCATAGAAATCACCAGGGCGAAGCCTGTCAGCACATCGTCACTACGCAGTGCTTTTGCGAACCTCCTGCTGCGCTAGCTTGACTACGCTACGAGTAGCTAGCTCTTGCAAACGTGGAGCCAGGACCAGGAAGGGTCGTAGCGGGTCACCTGCTTCGGGATGCCAGCCAGAGCCTGACACGCACGGGCTGTCAGCACTAAGCCACTAAGCGCCGCTTTCAGGACAGTGTGCAGAGACCAGGCACAGGGACTGTGTGTGGCTCGGTACTTTAGATGCACGGGAGCACGGAACACTTGAGAGACTTGGGGGCGCTTGGGGAGCACTTGGCATCCTTGCGCCCACTTGCCGGCCCACGGGGCACTTTTAGAGACTTGGGGCGGGACTTGGCCTGCCAGAACTGCACGACTGCGGGGTGCTCCATTGCTTGACGAAAAGCAGAGTGCCAAGCATTGTGCTTGTCTCCCTTCCTTGAAGTACAGGGCTGGGCTCATGGACATATGGGGGTGCGAAAGCAGGAATGATGCCGCAAGTGACTGTCAGTCCGTTTGCCGAGAAAAGCTCGCGTCAAATGGCCAACCCCAAGGCGACTTCTGCTATTTGCGTAAGCTTGCTGGTGCGTGGTTAATGCGGCAATGCCCTGGACATCGGACGACTGACCAAAATTCCACGTAGGCTCCGGCCAATCAAGATGTGCCCCGTGAACGCGAAGCGGTGTTTTCGCTTCTCCAGGAAATCTGAGACGACCTTGGAATCTGTGCCATGCAGCTGTCTCGAGCTGAGTGACTGATGGCCCTGACTGCACTAAGCGCAAGAGTCCAAGGTACTTGTGTGCAAGGATTGGGCTTCAAAGGCGCCCAGCCTCTAGGAGCTGAGTCGAAGGGGCCTCCAACGCTAACTCAACTGAATGCAGGATGCACAAAGAAGCTGCGGAAACTTTCTTTTTCAGGTCTTCGGTCTGAAAACTTTCGACAAGGCCCAGGTTGAAGCGAAACCAAAACCCGCGAAAGCGGGCCGACCTGCCTTCCGTCAGTCTTTGGAACGGGTAACCCGCTTCGTCGGCGTCATCCTGCCGATCACCTGGGCATGAGCAGGGCTCGAGGCATGACCACACACTAAGAACTTGAAGTGACAAATCAAGCATCTTGTGGCTCAGGATGTCAGATGAGGTCATGAACGCCTCTGATACTGATGTCTCTGAGTCACTGAGCTGCTGCAGCTGCTGCAAGAGCGCCTGCGTATCCAAACTGCAGTGACTGGAATCAGCAAGTCTGGTCCAAGCAGCTCCCACACAGGATTCTGGACAGTGGCTGGCTAGTGATCACCAACGCGGTGAAGCGATGATTTATGATGATTTGCCCATAGCCGACCACCTCGGCGACTGGGCCGAACAAGAAGTCATTGATGACAAACGGCTTGCCAGTTCGAAGAGCCTGAAGTAGGGCAGCACGCGCTCTCATTGGCATCTTTTGCGCGCTTGCACTCACCATGCAGGTCCCTGCCCTGCCCAGGACGCCACCTTGCGCAGCTTGCGAAGCAACTTCCGATCATTGCTCCACTTGGCGTTGAGGACGCCGTGGGGGAAAGTGCGAGGGTAGTTGCCCTCAGGAATGGCTTGCTCCACCTCCTCAATGTATGAGTACAATGGCACACCGATGGACCTCCATCAAGGAGTGAGCGACGCGTGCATTATATTATTACAGGTGAAGAAAGAAGAAGAGAGAAAAGCCACATAAAATATACTAAAAAGCGTGCACTTCATTTACCTTTTTAGTACATTTTATTAGGCTTTTAGTGAACGCAACCTTAACCTTATTGTTAGTACTGTTCCCCCGTTAACCAATCATCCGGGCTGGAACTACGAAGAGAGAAACGAATAAGGGAACGAATGTACTGAGTGAGCGCAATGAGTGTACGAACGCAGTACAGGATGATAGCGGTCTAGCTCCTGGAAAAGCCGCATTATAAGGATGAACGAAGAGAAGACGCATGAATGGGCTTTTTAAGGGAGCAAAAGACCGCCAAGAATGAAGAGAGCATATTATTCGTGCTGGTAATGACTGAACGTAGTTAAAGAAGCACGCAGCATGAATAAGATGTCCTTTGCCTGGCGGTGAGATTAGAAGAAGGATGTGAGGAAAGGGGAATGTTGGACGTACCTTGACTGGCGGTTGAACTCAGAGAATCTTTGTTATTGTTTAATTGCAATCTCCGAGCAGGCACCAGAAGTCCTGCAGAGTCTTCACGTCGGCTTTGGGTTTCGAGCCCGCCTTCGCACGAAAGTGCTGGCAAAACTATCCAGCTATCCAATGTCATTCAATCTTTGTGTCGCATGCGTGGGGTCACGAGATGGATACCTGGAATCGACCAAACAACACCAGCCGACCGAGCACCCAGCGGTCCTCTGTCGCTGCGGCAGAGCAAACGGCGGCCGAAGCAGCAACGAGGCGAACAAGCATGTAGAACAAAGCCAGTCTTGCGCTCTGTGTTAGCTTCCGCGTGACAAGGTCTTCAGGGATTGTTTGCGAGACACTTGCACTCTGCGGCTCTTGCTTGATGGAGCAACACATGTTCGGCACGAGCCAAGAACAGTAGTTGGGCAGGGAGTGGAAAAATCGATCCATGCAGTTGAGACGCTTAACAGCAAAACGATGGGCCTTCAGCATCATCTCTGCCGCACTGATCAGACCGGCCATCTGCGGGAAGTTGGGCACCTCCCGTTGTCGACAAGCACTCGTCTGTCAGCTCTGTCTGCAAAAAAAGTCAATGTCATGCTCTTTTGCTTCTGGACTTGTCCCGGCTGCTTTGTAGCAGTCTGAAGAAATCTCAAGAGGCACCCACACCTTTGGCCTGAAAAAAGGGCCTGGCCCGGCCTTTGGTCGATTTGTGCCGTGACTTTGGGATCTTTTGAGACTTTACATGGGGCCTTGCAGCTTTCAGCTCGTGGACTCGGGGGGGGGGGGGGGGGGGGGGGGGAGTGGGGGGAGATTGGCAGCCCATGTTCACTCAAGGTCACTCTATGTGATAGTCTGTCGGTTCACTATGGTACACTGTGGTCATGTCCCTACACTCACCTGCGATTCGTCCTTCTTCTGCTGCCCGCCGTTCCACCCGATGACCAGCTCCATGTTCTGGGCCCTGGGCAAGAGTCAGGGCCCCAAACCCAATGCGGCTGCATGCGGTTGCAGTCTACCACAGTCTTGATGTAAGTTCGTTCTGGGCACAGGGCTCGGTGCCAGGGGGGGCAAACTCAGGGTTCTTCTCGAGCTCCTGATGCCGGCTTCTCTGGAATTTACGGCAGAAAGCCGCGATGCAAAAGCGGTCACGAAGAAGTCTTTTCTTCGGCGAGCACCCGAACTGACAATTTCGCCTGAGTCTGGCCTAGCTGGTGAGACAGCGACAATCTCCTTGAGAGTCCTGTTTCTCACAAGAAGGCCCCCCTCTGTTGCAGGGTAGGGTTCTAATTGACCCTACCAGGATCGGCCTGTGACACACGAACAGACTCACAAAACGTCATGCACACTTAAGTACATGTCGTGCGAATGCACCTTTGTACGTCACAATAGTAAAACAAGAAACAAGCATCTCCCAACACCAGCTTGCTGGAACCAGGTACACACACGGCTGCGGTCTTCGCAGCGGGTGTTGATTCCGACCTTTATGCCTACGCGAAGATTAAGTGCTTGAAGGTGTCGTAAGTCGACAACACCCCTAACCACAGAGAAGATGAGACTAGCTTAGACCGGGACTTGGCTAATTGCTAAAGCTTGTATCCAGAAGAAGCAATGCTGCGCTCAAGCCGAATTCGTGACCTGGGCTGGGAGAGGAAGCGCCTTCAGCCTATACCATCCTCAAGCAGGTCCCTTCACCATGTGCCCCAGCCACTTGTAGTTCTATAAGCTCCACTTGTTCCTAATTGGAGATCAGAAAACTTAGCATCCTCTCGGAAACGGATTTCCTAAACTCGAACAAAGCAGGCTGGGATGCTATCCTGCGCGCTGCAGCCACACCCCAAACAGTTTCTGCGTTACCTACCGTCAAAGAGGCTATTGTGCCCGCATTAGGTTCATGGTTCTGTTTGCAGCTCAACAGGCCTTCGAGTAGCGCCACCTTTCCGGAGCCATGACCTCCATCTCCACCACCTTTTGCAGTTTCTCAAGGGAATGCAAAGAATGAGAACATTGAAGTGGTGTACTTAAGTGTGCTTTCTTTCCTCACCCGAAGTGAGTTGAGGTTCAAAATCGCCAAGTTCCAGTCTTGTTGAAAACATGACACTGCTGGTGCGAGAAAGCCTGAAGTATGTTGCCCGAAGGTTGGCTGACGTCCCACAACAAACACATGGAGACAAGAATTCAGAACATTCAAATCCACCACCCTCATCATATGAAATGAAGTAAGCTGCCTGCGATCGCAGCCCCTCCCTCATTCGTTGCACATCGCCGGAGACACCATTGACAGACACCTCTGGCACGTTGAACGCAGACTTCGTCCACAGCAGCAGCTGAAAAGTTCATGTTCCTCTCTGCACTGGCAAAGCCAGCACAAAAAAATGACATGGATGCTTGGGCTGAGCTCCGGGCAATTGCGGAGTTTACCGGCACGGCCAAACCTGCATGCAGCTCCCACAACAGCTTTGGTCAAAGAAGAGCCGAAGCAGTGATTGCACAAGAATCATGAAAAATGTTTACTTTACCAAAGCATGCAAAGTGCCCCATCAGTGACCTTCCGGGGCCGTGTGGTTAAAGTCTGCCAACGCGCCATCCCGAATCCAGCTGATAACCAGCACCTCATTCCCATGCTATGCAGCTTCCTGCATGATACCAAGCGCTAATCTTCGCACACAGCCACATGAGTCCAAGGGCGGCATAACTGGAAATCTGCTAGGTGTTCCCAAGCAATCAGATTTGATCGAAAAACTTGCCCAGTTACCGGAGCTTGCGGTGTGCCAGCAGCCACATTGCCTCACTAGCACGTTGCATTCTCCCGTCACACTCGTTCGAGGCGTAGGCTTGCGAAGTTCCTGCGATATTGGTAAACAGCAGTCTTGAGTCTCGCAAATGGAGTTTGAAGAAGCAGTTTTGGCAGTCTCCTGCTCAAGCCTTGTTACTTGAGCTTTTGTGGCGGTTCTGCCCGAGGAGCCGAAACCCAAGCGATCACGCCCTGGCTGCCGTTCCAAACGCACAAGGTGCCGCGTGGCTGCCTGGCACCGCATGAACAGACGATTGACATGCCCGCACATTCCCTGGACTATGGAAGTCGCCCCTTGGCGGCCTTGGTAGCTGCATGGCGCAAAAACAGGCTACTTGTACATTGACCGACAGCTATACGGGCTGCCACCTTTGATCGGGGTTCCCCAATCGGCGGCAGCGAGGGGCTTCGTTCACCACGGGCGCTGAGCGGCGGCGCTCGAGTTGACCTCGGCATCGGCGTGTTCTGAGTTAGGCCGTTCTGCAGTCCATGGCAGAGTAGCAGAGACGCTGGCCTGCTCACGTCGTCCGGCCGCTCCTCCTCGAGATCCTTGGCTCACAATCTGAATAACATCTTGGCATTTCCAAAATCCAAAATCCTGATCGCCCTTAGGCGAATTGACATTTGCGTCATGACACGTCGCTGCGCATCATTCGCGGTCGTCTGACGCGCGGTGGCGGAAGGCTGTTCCTTGGACGGACTATGGCTACAGTATGGTTGCCCTGCCATTACTTCCGATTCTTCATGCTCTCCATCGGAACTGTTCTTATGCAGGCCCTTGCAGCTGGCTCAACCTGCAAAGTTGTTCTCGTCCATGCTCTACTCGGCTCTTGTCACCAGTTTGAGCTCAGACTCGTTTGCTGCCTCGGCCCTTCTCGGTAAAACTGCGGATCCTCCATGATTCGCTCGCCTTAGACGGTGCTCTGCACAAGTTTTGGAGTGATCCGAAAATCTCTGAATTAACTTCGAGAAGCGACGTGAGACATGTTACCCCAACAACGCCTCTGGCACTTTTGTCTGATCTTATCAGCTCGAGCCACGGCCATATCGCCGGCGGCGCATCAAAGCCTTGCAAGGGTAGGCGGATGAGTCAGAGGCTGATAGGGGGCTTCGATGTGGCATCTTGCTGTCGTCTTGTCTCCACTTGCCTCAATTCGCGCGTGGCGTTCGCTTTGCGAGGCCGGCATGAAAGGATCTGGTCCCGGCCTTGAGTCAAGAGTTCTCGCACCAAGACTCGCATGAGCAAGGGATCTGAGCATCTCTCAGCCCTCAGATGTCCTCAGAGGGCAGTACCTTCGAAAGGGTGTAGCAGTCTCCAGTGGCCCATCCTGGCAACAGCAGAATCATGCACCGGGTAGGAAACTGAAAGCCCATGAAAGCCATGAAAGCTGCAAAGCCTTAAACCTTGAGAAAAGATTGTCCATGTGGAGCCTCGATGCTGAAAGGAGATGAGGGGGTTGCGAAGCCAATGGAATGCGGTACTTCAATGGGGAAGTGAGAATCGCTGGTGCTTGAATCGTCGGAAGTCTTGTCGGAGGCGTGAAATCACCAATGCTTGAATCAAGCTTTAACGTCTGCAGGATCTGCTGAATACCCATCGTTTTGGAGTTCCCCTAGTCACCTGGTCCCTTGCTTGAAGGAAGTCCTCAGGCTCCGGAGCCGTCGTTTCTGTCTCTTCCTGCAGGGTATTGGCTGTCCAGTTGGGAACATTTAGCAGACGCGCGCCTGCGCCATTTAGCTAACGTTGGAAATGACCCGTCCTTGTCCTTCTGGCTTCGCACGTGCAGTCCTTGGCAGCTCCGCTCTTTCTTCTCATCCGTACTATAGTTGCATATAATGGAGCGAGGCACGCTTGGGCGGCAAAGGAACTGGAGGCCTCCTGTCCAACAAATGAAGAAAGGCGTGGCGCAGAACACGGCTTGTATGATTTCGCAACAGGCTATACAGACCATGACGCCCCTGGCACCGTAGGTTGTACGCTAATCAGTTGGTCAGGCCGCGTGCTCCTACTCTGACCATCTAGGAGTTCCTCCTTGCTTGATTTAGCACCTACATTTGATTCAACATCGCGTCATATCGCATCCAACTCCTTCGTGCTTCTGCTGCATCTGGCTTGACCTCGCGCGCCTCAGTCAAGGCCTGGCCGAAGATGGAAAGACCGAGCGAGATAAGCACTCTCTCAGGAACTCGAAAGTGTTCATGAAGTCATGAGGAGAAATGGGGAGTGTCAACCTGTGTCAACCCGCGCCTGTGATCGGACTGGGCCTTCATCCTTCACCTGCACTCAGCAAACTCAGCAAACTCAGCTGTGCCCAGGACCGACCCAAGTTATCACCAAGGGGCGATGGCAACACGCGCTGGCGGAGCCAAGGTGGCAGTCACATCCGGGAATGCCTCCTCATCCACCTTTTTTGACATGCTGGGGCAAGTCGATCCAACTTCCCGCCACGAGCTGCCTCAACTACATAAAATTGTATCCCCTGCCTAGTGTGAGGGCCCACAGGCTTCCAGTGATTAGGCACACAACATCACAAGTCCAGGCTCCCACATGCGAACCCACCTCAGGGACAACTGCGGGATCACGCTCTGGCCATGGACCAGGTTCGATGAAGCGGCGATCCTCGAACTTTATGGGGTGCAGAAAGGAGTGGGGTACTAGTGGGATGGGGGGCAGCTGTAGTCTTGCTCTAGGGTAGGCTGCGTGCAATGTGTGGATGTGCTACCAGGCTTGCGGGACAAGTGTAGGACATTCTTCTCACCAAGCTTCTGAAGCCACGGTGCCACAGCTCGTCAACACCTCCGATGATGACCGTTCAATTCATTCGTTCCATGCCCCCATAGAATAAGCAAATAACAATAAATAAAGAAATGCATATATATATATATATATATACATACGTGTGTATGTATGTATGTATGTATGTATGTATGTATGTATGTATGTTAAGTATGTATGTATGTTATGTATGCTATGTATGCTATGTATGGTATGTATGTTATGTAGGTTATGTATGTTATGTATGTTATGTATGTTATGTATGTTATGTATGTTATGTATGTTATGTATGTTATGTATGTTATGTATGTTATGTATGCTATGTATGTTATGTATGTTATGTATGTTATGTATGTTATGTATGTTATGTATGTTATGTATGTTATGTATGTTATGTATGTTATGTATGTTATGTATGTTATGTATGTTATGTATGTTATGTGTGTTATGTGTGTAGTGTGTGTAGTGTATGTAGTGTAAGTAGTGTATGTAGTGTATGTAGTGTATATATATATACACATGCATGTGACTGTATGTGTGTGTACGTATGTACGTATGCATGCATGCGCGCTTTCTCGAGTCAGGGCATGTGGAACTTCAATTTGCAAGCCTTTGGTTGCTCCTCCGCCCAGTCATGCTTCGCCAACATCCAGGAATGCGAGGGATCGGGCGAAGGAAGTCCTGTCAAAGTGACTGAGCGTAACCTCGGAACGATAAGAGGAATATGGATGGAATCGCCTAGCATTGAGCTCCTTGAGAGTTGTCGCCATCGGGAGGAGGCGCCGCTGCTGCTGCCGTGGTTCGTATGCGTTTGGGCGCATACAGCGCGAGGGCCTGTGCCGCAAGGTTACACTTCTGAGGTAGCAGAAGACTACAGGCTTGATTGAAAAGCTTAGGATAGTTTTGGGTTTTTGTTGGGGTTGTGGTCTGGCGAAAGGGAAAGGGTTTGTTCGATAAATCAATTCTTTGAGCTTCCGGATGTCGTCGACCCGAAGGCTCGCTATGCAAGCTGTCGTGACTTGAGCCCGCATTCATCATGAAGCAATTCGAAACCCATATTCCGGTTTGCCGCATGCTGAAGCTGCATTGCAGCCACTGAGAAATCCAATCTGAAGCCCAGAAGCCAAGAAGCGTAGAGGCCGATAAAGCCAGGGCAAGGCAGTCAAGTAGCCAATGGTCCACTATGTTCAGTTGTTTCCTTTCCAAGGTATGATCATTCTAGACTCGAAAACATTGTCTTCCTAGGGACAAACACCACATCAAAGCCCAAAGGGCAGTGCTGCCCTCGAAAAACCACGATCAAAGCTCCAAAGCGAAATTTGCTTAGACTGATTCCATCGACTTACCCTAAGTATCCAAATAAACGCACCTCCTGGACCTGATCCTACCATAAGAACACATCCGAAGAGTAGGTCAATCTGCCCCCGATCGAAGCCGGCATCAGCCAGCAATTTGCCCTGCTGCACGCGACTGGAACTTCGAACGATGTTGCAGGCGGCTTGTAGAGAGTGGAGGTTCGGTCTGGGTGGCTTCAATGCAAACAAGCATAAACAAGCCATAGGCTTCGTCTCTGACCATGTCTCTGTCGGAAGCCTCCGGCCAGCACGTATAGATGCCTCAGCGTTTTGGGACCGTGCAGCACAGAAGTCCCCCCCTCTTATGTGAGCATGCTTCGTATTCGGAACAATCCGTCCACATCTCGTAACAACTCCTTTCGCTCGCAAACCCAGTGGAACTGCAGCTGCTCCACTTCCAGGTCTGAAGCCCTTTCTTTCTCGCCTTCGACCTGACCGGCAGAAGCAGTCTGAGGCGCTGACGTCCGGGCTCTGTGATACCTCAGTGGCTTTGATAAAGACCGTGCATCACTGACGCTTGCCACAGCACCCGTGCCTTCAGCCACCGTGGCTTCGCGACAGTTGCGCATATTTATTTGCCTACGTTGACTGCATATGCAGGTGCTTTCATAAGGGCATACAATGTAACCAATACGCACGTCTCCTCTACGTGTTAATTAATGAGTTGAACATACTGTTGCAGTGGCATTCGTCTCAGTTTTGTACCGAAATCCTTTCGCCCGGCCTCCCAGAACGGCTCCACGGAGAGGTGGTGCATCGGGCGGCTCCGGGGCAGGTGGAATCGTTGCCTGGAACGGCGCTTTCAACTTGGCAAACCAAGATGGCTTTTCAGAAGCTATTCTTAAGGCTTCTCACTCTTAGGATTTAGACAAAAAGGTGCGCGATTGGTGTTTGCAATTTCTTGCACGCTATCGATGCGATCGCAGTACATCTTTGGAGCGTGCAATGAAGAGTGGGAGCGCAAGCTGTTGTAAGGTGTACCATGATGTACCATGCAATTCAGTTCGACCGTTTGCCCAACCGCAAAGATCCCCAAGCTTTTGCCTCGCCCATCGGAGTCTCGCCCTCTTTCGCTCGGATCCTGCCATGCAACGAACCCCCCGGCCACTTGCAGGTTCCACTTGGGCACCCCGAAGACAAGCAAACAAAAGCAAACAAAAGCCAACTACCGAAATGGAGGGGCCATCGGTCTCAATGCTCACTCCCAATGCAAGGGGGCTTGAGCCTGTCAATTCGGAGCCTTGGGATGTTGCACCTTTTGGTTCGTGCCACGGTCGACATCACAAGGATGCGATATCCACAATTTGGCACTAGGACCACTACGACTGGGACAGCAGCACAACAGCACCGCAAACGGACCAAACGCTTACGACATGTTCAAAGCTTCAGCATCGAGAATTCCTAGGATCTCATGCGGTTCGTTCACAGAGAGGCTGAGCTCAGCATAACGAGTCAGTGTGCAATGGTGTGCAATGGTGTGCAATGGCGTGCAATGGTGTGTAGTGGTGTGCAATGGTGTGCATTGTGCTCAGCAGAGCGAACCTTGCAAGGACGCGGAGCTGCCAGGGCCAGGACTCCTCGCAAGCTTTTGGCATGTTTTTTTGATGCAAAAAAGAGGCACTGCCCAAGCCAGCCCGAACCGCACCAATTTTGAACAATACAACATATACCGACCTAGCTTTAGTCGATACACACTCGCAGTCGCATCTAGAACACGGACCTGCTGCTTGCCATATCCGCCATGTCCTACTCAGAATCCTGAGGGTCATTGTTCTGCAGGACGACGAAGAGTTGTTGCCGCGACTCTGCGCCACAAAGTGCCAGGGAGGCGACTGCCTTGGGAGAGCTGAGGGATACTGAGTTGAAACAAATCCATACAAGATAACGAAGATAACATACATGAACATTCCCAAAATAAGCGTACCCCACGTTCCCCATTTTTCGGAAACTTGCCCGCCAGATCCCACCAGCTGCAGTTTGTGCTCTGGCTTGAGAAGTTGCCATCTTTTCGTAGCAGTGTTTGGTCTGCTTTAGTCAGATCGGTAGGGTCTGCTGATGCTTTGCACTGCCTCGCAAGCCTGAACCCAACAAGCACCCAGAAGCCGGATGAGAGTCTGGGTCCCACGCATAAGCGCCCACTGTTGCCTTGTCAGTTTTCAGCTCCTTGCGCAGTACCTTGCTGCAACATCTTCCGAAAAAGGGCGCTGGATGGTGCAGGTGCAGAAGTCCGGCACCGCAGACTTAGACTCAGACAGCCCCATGAAGCTCTAGCTCTAGAAGCACGGACGTCTTCAAGAACCCTATGCCCGTACTTGACATCCTACATCGATACAAGGCTAGCAATGCAAAGGCCTCGGCCCTTTGAAGCCCGGGCACACCCTCCGCAAGGCGCTCTGGCGCCCCTGCTGTGTCCTTGCGGCTGGACTCCTCCTGGCATCGCTGCCATACTGATTCGCATAGCTTGAACTTGGCTCGTGTGCATCGCACAGTCGCACACGTCGCACGCTGAGGGTCTGAAAACTGCGACCCGCCCCGAAATTTCAAAGGGCCCAAGTCTATCCCAAGTCTTGCAATCCCCGTGGCCTGACGAACGAAAACAGTGATGGCCACTTTGGGCCGTTGCACATCCTGCGCGAGGCGGCGAGGAGTTGCGAGTCCGAGGAACCTATGAGGTACTTCGGGCCGGGGTCCCCAAGGAGCCCCAGGAGGCAAAAAGCTCCGAATCCCTTTTGCCGCTACGAATATCACGATACCACAACTGCCACAGCCAAGTGCGGTCACTGCGCAAGCACGGTCTAGGCATGTGAGGCATGAACAGCAGTCCGTGGCAAACTGTCCTACGGCAATCTACGGCAAGCTGCCACGCCTTGGACTTCTTTGGGATGGCCACTGCAGGGATACCTTGGGATCAATCAAGAACACAATGGAAACTTTGCTCTGTGGCATTCGAGTTAAGTGCGCTTCATGCAGCAAATTGTAGAACGCAGAGTCATTGTAAGTCATCGTAGACTCATCTCAACTGCCGACAGGGAAGGTTTTGGATTCCGACACTCACAAACTGGTTCAAGGATGAACCTCAGTGATTCAGAACAGCTGCCTGCCGGCTTCGAGCCAGACGGAAGATCAAAGCTTCTCGAGACGTACTGCAAATTACATACTATATTATATAATAAATCCGGAAGCCACCACGTTGTGCCCCTCTGCAGAAAAGTCGACAGGCGCTTCACTGGGGACGCTTCTAATTACGGTGTGCACCGCCCGAAATGGCACTGCAGGCCGGTGGCAGAGGTAGAGCTCCAGCTGCAGCTCCTCGCCACGCCCGGGGCTGCGAGAGATCTCCAAGACGACCTGGCGGTTTGAGATGGGGACGCTCGTGGTGGCAGGAAGGGCGCCTCTCTCCAAACCTGAAGACATTTGGAGAATGAAATTTGGGAACCTTTCAATCAATATACACACATATACATGAAAAAATATACAGATATATATATATATATATTCTGGACTAGAGCGAATTCTCAGAAAATTTCATGAAATGCTAGGCAGATCCCACAGAAAGCAAAAAACAAACTAAAAAGCACTTTTAAAGGAACAAAAAGAAGCTAAACTTTTCCAAGTTTTGTGCCCTTTGACATCCTATGAAATGCTAGGCAACTCCCACAAAGCTAAACATAACAAACACCATCAAAAACCTAAAAGATGCTGACTAAAAAAACACCTTTCCAAGTTTTGGGCCTTGGGGCAGAGAAGGTACAAAATCTGGAGGATAATGATTCTTCTCTTCCCCAGCACACCTATCTCTCTCCTACTTGGCATCAAGGCAAGCAGCACCTAAGGGGCCACATTGAGATATGTTCAGCGAAGGCTTTCACTGGGATTGCTTGAGCTCCTTTAATGGTGCCCCGGCTGTGAACAAGAACTTAAGTTATGCGAGTCTAAGATCAAAGACCAGAAACTAAACAAAAACATGACTCACCATAAATCAATGAAGAAGGCACCTGTGGATTTCGTAGGCTGCCAAAGCCACTCGAGAAGCCTGTCATGCACAGGTTGCTTGGAAACGAATCCTGAGATTCTCTCGTTGTAGAAGCATGGTGCACCGTTATGTCAAGTCAAATTCCATGCCAACCACCAAACCTAGCAGGGCCTGCCTACGTGATTCCCCCCCAACCCCACGTACGGGCTTCTTGCAATGAAACACAGAACGCCGACACATGGCCGAGCAAGCATGCAGGGCATTGCAGGACAGCAGTTAGGACAGCAGGCAATTGTCCCAGCATGTGAGCCAGAGCAGAAACGCGAGACGGCAGGCTGTGGTGTTTCTGCTTGGCCTTGCGTCCAGAGACCAGCAAAGAGCGCAGAGGCTTGCCAGAAGCCCTGGATCTCACCTTGCAAGCTGGGCTTTCAGCAACGACGGGAAGCAAAGTTTTGAGCTCAGGTCAGTGTATGTCAGTGTACATGGCGTCAATTAGCTACCGAATCTTGTCGGGTTGTCCTGCAGGTCCTGTGTTGGTAATACTTAAACTCCGCCCAGTTCTGTCTCGTCTATTACTGTCGACTCGTCTATATAACGTTGCTGCAGCAAAGTCACGTGGCGGAGAACACAATCCGAGAGGTGAGCTCGTTGCGCTTGGCCTCAGCCATGGAGCAGTTCGTGGCCTTCCCCAGAAATGAGCTTCTGGGCTTTCTTGCGCGGTGCTTAGGGTTTATGCTACATCCGAGTTGCTCCGTTGGGAGCGATGCGGCCAAAGGTCCAGAAGAGTAGACCTCATCTGTGTCTTGCTATGTCTTGCTGCACCCAAGCTCAATGCCCCATGCCGTACATGATGTGCGGACGTGGCCATCTGCTGTGTGACATCATCCCTGAACTCCTGGGCGTTGTGCCAGGAGTTGCGCTGATCGGCCCGAAAATCGTGCAGGATCGATCGGCTCCTCACATGCACGACTCGGCCTCATCCAGCTTTCTTCATAGGGCAAGGCTTCACAGAATCAGGTCTGCATCACTTGTGCATTGCAAGGTGAGGAAGGATGGTGTCAACGCTCGTGTCACGGCTGTCGACGTCTAGTCTTTGTGGCATTCTCACCAGAGAAATCGGGCTGACATGAACAGGCCCCATGCATTCTCAGGCAAACGTGTCTCCTGCCACAGGCAGCTCACGCGCAACGTCTGTCCAGCTGACAATGCAGGTATGTGGAGGCGAACAGCACCTGCAGGGCACCGCGATTTCTCCCCGCCTCAATCTGAACTCTCAACCTTAACAAGCCTGCAACCTGTAACCCCTTAGTCCAGTACGCTTTCGCATCTACGCCTTGGCAGGAGCCGATCTGATGCTCAGCATGTATTCCGTGTTCGCGCTTAGGGCCAGACTGACCTAACTATGTTAGGAGTTGTGAAGGCCGCATGTGGTCGTTGCCAGCCAAAGTCCCGAAATTCACCCCCCCCCCCCTCCCCCCATCCCCCCTCGTGCACCTGTCCGCTCATTCCGCACCCTCCGATGCGGGATTGGCGGCCAAAGGTCCACACAGGGCTCTGCACCGAGCAGGGAGGCCCTGAGATCAGATTCAACTTGACGGAAGGAAGCTGGGAAAGCAACTCCCAGAAAAAATATGTGCAAAACATATCAAAACAACATGCATCCATGCCGAGTGCGTACTACAAGGATGGCCACTCCAAGTCGAGGCACTGGTCCTCCTCGGGCCCCGTGACGCAGATCAGCACCTGAGGCTGCATCTCCAGTAAGGATCACTCCGAAGAATAGCATGGCTCAACGACACTACAGCCTAATTACATGCGCCTCATCGGATCTGCTAAATTCCATCTCACAGCTCTAGACTCCTCTGAAACACTGACTCAACTGACTTAACTCACCTCCATGGATCCCTCCACCGCCCCAGCGCAAAGCCAGATGGGTAGCGACTGCCTGGGCTGCTGCGGGATCGGGATGTGTAGAACTAGTTGCTGGAAAGTACGAAGGCCGAGCTGGGGCTGTCTGCATGGTTGCAAAGATGTTGTGCTGCATGGTTGCGAAGATGTTGCGACGATTGCTTGGCCGTGCTTACTTCAAACTCCCTTGCGAGCGTCGCTGGCCACTCGCTGGCCAATCGCTCCAGTACGGAAATAAGACTTGAACCCAAGATGCATGAGCAGGCTCCACTCGATGTGCAGTCGCTGGTACCAAGGATCCGCCTGCACGATCGCAACAACGCATTGGAGGCAGCACACTGGAAAATGCCGCAACCTGAGCATGCGCTGCCGCTAGAAATTGAAGAACAAATGACCTCTTGCTGTGTATCGTTCTATGCTGCGATTGCGCTATTGCAGGTCTCCGCCATCGAGCTGCGCACAGCTCTGTTGCAGCACTCCACTAACAGTTCAAGAGCGCAAGCTGTTCGAATAACAAATCATTGGTACCTCGCACGCAATCTTTCACCCAAGTACGCTATTTCCATGTGTCTCGCTTACCTCCTACTTCAGTTCTCTCCTGTATTTAAGCTCGCCTCGCCTCGCTTGAACATACATGTCAGATGTGAGTTTAAGAGCGAGGGTTACGACTTGCCCTGTCACCTCCCCACGCCCTGGCTTTTGATGTAGAATTCATGCGCAAGTTTAAAATAGAAGCGGGAAAGCCCCAGAACAAAATGCCCAAAAATCTACCAAATTTAAGGGAAAGGGAAGGAAAAGTGTGCTCGCATTTTCGTTTAAAATGTTTCGCGCCAATATATGAAGATTGTATAGTTAAGGGCCCCAAATCGTGCGGCCTAAGCCCTCTCCAAGCCCATTCCCCCAAGCTGACCCTGGCAAAAATTAGAATGGGGGCTCTGTATGGGGAAGCCTTCGAGCCCTTGCAGGGCTAGGCCCCGGCGAAGACTACAAGTAGAATGGCAAAACTGATCTCCTGGTTTGCTTTGGGTTTTGTGTGCTTTTGGTGTTTGTCGCCACCCGGGCCTACATGACCTCTCGAATGCACTGCAAGGGGCACCACCCGGCTTGGGTTTTGGTGTTCGCGGGGAGTTTAGACTTGGGATGGCTTTGGGATTTCGGGCGCGGGGCTGACATCGTCCCAAGCATCCTTTGTTGCAGCGTAAGGGTTCAGTTTAGGAATTAGGATTTAGGGTTTAGGGAGTTTAGGGTTGAGGGTTGAGGGTCGAGGGTTTAGGGTAACCCTCAGCCCTTGAGCGTCGAGGAGCTTGGAATGGGGCTGACTAAAATGGGCTAAATCAAGGGCTATTTTGTGGGGCTGCCTCGCTTCGGACTGTGAGTGACCTCACGTGATCTCACAACATTCTCCTCGCCACACGGCGGCTAAACACGCCTCGTAGATCGCCAGATCAGTGGCTTCGGCCCATGTCGAAATGCAGGCGAAGCGGCTGCCTGCGCAATACTGCGGTGCACGAATCAGATGACCCTAAGGACGAAAAAGCAAGACGGAATAGGAATTGTCATGGAGGTGTCAAGAGGCCTGCCAGCCAAGCTCAGTGGGGTGAGAAACGACAGGCGTACTGCAGTAGAGGCTGCTGACGTTGGAGCAGCAGCCTTTCCTAAAGAACCCTGAAGTCAACGACACCTGATTCTTCTGCCATCTGATTTGATCTAACCCATGCCAATCATCTACGACACCTGGCATAATCTACGTACCCATGCCTTGCATCTCCCAAAGCTCGTGCTGTCCTGCCTATGTATGGAGTACTCTGACACGCCAGACTCTCGTGGTATGATTCAATGCAGATGAAACTGTCAGTCCAGCAATGGGCCTAACTCCCAGAGAGACTCTTGCATGAGGTTCGAGTCCACGCATCCGCAGCATTGGCCACGACACCCAAATTTTGCTCGCTGCACGCCTTGCCTGAGTCATTCAGTTGACTAAGGCTGACTAGGGCTCCATGTCTAGGTAGATAAAATATATTTTTTATCTATATTCATTTTTATATTTATACATATACATATATTTGTCTATCCATTGCTGGCACGCTGCGAGGGGTGTTGCAGCTTGCTGCTGCTATTGCAATGCGCCCTCTCACTTGTGAGCTCCCTCCGCGTCTGGGTGCTGCTTCGATGCTGATCAAGGACGACGTGCGAGCTGAAGGGGATAAGCGTGTAAAGACCTGAAACTGACACAAAGTGAACTGTTTTGCATACAGACACGCCCGCTGCCCAGGAAACTGCAATGACATGTCGCGGCCTCGTGGCAAAGCCACGGATACAAGGTGCTCCTCATCACTCCAACGGAACTTGCGAGCTTCTGGGCATGCCAGTCGTTATTCGCGTGACGGCATGGCCGATGGGTTCCGATATGCCACACACTATCACTATCACACTCCATCACACGCCCACTTTCAGGGAGTCTTAAGGGCTCCGGTCCTTACAGCCTGCCGAAGATGCAGAGACATGCCTGGCACAACTGCGATTTTGGCAGGGGCTGGTCAAGTGTGCTTGACATCTAGCTCACGGCCAAATGCAGCAGCTTTGAAGTCACTCACGCGGGGCACACGCCACGACAAGTCCGACAAAGACTTCGAATACATAAAGGCACGGCACACTGGCGGCCGTAGATCAAGCTGATGGCTCCTGAGTCTGGATGACGGCAGACACTCGGGACAGCTAGTTGTAACGAAGTCTATGTTGTGGTTAAAACTTGGTAGTCTGTGTTGCGACTCGTACCTTTGACAACAAGGCCCCATGTTCATCTCCTGAGCTTGCGGCCTCTTTCTCGCCTCACTGGTGGCCGGCAGCTCGCAAATCCAAAGGCCCAGGGCTCCCGGGGCGGATTCCTCGCAGTCCGCAAGCCGAAAGGTCATCAGAATCAGAAACACGGACACGCAGCACAACATCGTTCTGGACACAGTCTTCGGCCGAAACTCACGGTAGATGCCCTTCTCAGCATCTGACCCCACCCCAGTCTGAAATGAATTGAGATGAGCCTGCTTGGACGGTAAAGTTCCAAAACGTGTCTGTCAATTCAAGCCCACATATTTCCGCACTGCTGGCTGTTTCATGATGAAACAGCTTGCTGTTGAGATGTCCGTGTTCTTTATTTTGCAGAAACACTGTGGCACTTCTCTGCATCCAAGGATCGTCCACAGCATAGCAGGGAGTCTGGCACCGACTCACCGGCAACAAGGAGACAGACCTCGTTACAAAGCAAGCGCTAGAAATCCGATCTGCCTCCCTTTGGCACGCCCTAAACCCTAAACCCTAAACCCTAAACCACCCCCACATTCCGGGCCGAAAGCGCACGCTAAGGACAGTCGGCAAAGTCTTGGCCGCAATGCACTTTAGAAATCTTCAGTCTTTAGCTTTGTTGATGCTCTGCAACAGCCTTTTGTCGCCTGGGATCGCCCAACTCGTCTTAAAATTTCTTGTCAGCAGTGAAGGGAGGCACCAGGGAGAGGAGCTCTTTGATGTCATCGAGGCGGGTGAAGCGCTCGCGCAAGCTTTCAACCACTGCGCCATCCATGCCTGGCTTCAAGAGAGGCACAAGCTCCTTGACATCGTCCGAGTGGTCAAAGTAACCTTTGCCCAATTCCTCAAGATTTTGGCCAGCAGTGAAAGGAGGCACCAGGGCGAGGAGCTCTTGGATGTCATCGAGGCGGCGGTAGCGCTTGCGCAAGCTTTCAACCACTGCGCCATCCATGCCTGGCTTCAAGAGAGGCACAAGCTTCTTGACGTCGTCCAAGCGGTAACTTTTGCCCAATTCCTCAAGATTTTGGCCAGCAGTGAAAGGAGGCACCAGGGCGAGGAGCTCTTTGACGTCCTCGAGGCGGTAGCGCTTGCGCAAGCTTTCAACCACTGCGCCATCCATGCCTGGCTTCAAGAGAGGCACAAGCTTCTTGACATCGTCCAAGCGGTAACTTTTGCCCAATTCCTCAAGATTTTGGCCAGCAGTGAAAGGAGGCACCAGGGCGAGGAGCTCTTTGATGTCATCGAGGCGGCGGTAGCGCTTGCGCAAGCTTTCAACCACTGCGCCATCCATGCCTGGCTTCAAGAGAGGCACAAGCTTCTTGACGTCGTCCAAGCGGTAACTTTTGCCCAATTCCTCAAGATTTTGGCCAGCAGTGAAAGGAGGCACCAGGGCGAGGAGCTCTTTGACGTCCTCGAGGCGGTAGCGCTTGCGCAAGCTTTCAACCACTGCGCCATCCATGCCTGGCTTCAAGAGAGGCACAAGCTTCTTGACATCGTCCAAGCGGTAACTTTTGCCCAATTCCTCAAGATTTTGGCCAGCAGTGAAAGGAGGCACCAGGGCAAGGAGCTCTTTGATGTCATCGAGGCGGCGGTAGCGCTTGCGCAAGCTTTCAACCACTGCGCCATCCATGCCTGGCTTCAAGAGAGGCAGGAGCTCCTTGACAACGTCCAAGCGGTAGGCGCGCAATGCCTCAACATTTTTGCCGGCAGTGAAGGGAGGCACCAGGGAGAGGAGCTCTTTGATGTCATCGCTGCGGGTGAAGCGCTTGCGCAAGCTTTCAACCACTGCGCCATCCATGCCTGGCTTCAAGAGAGGCACAAGCTCTTTGAAAACGTGCAAGCTGTAGGTGCGCAATGCCTCAACATTTTGGCCGGCAGTGAAGGGAGGCACCAGGGAGAGGAGTTCTTTGATGTCATCGAGGCGGTGGAAGCGCTTGCGCAAGCTTTCAACCACTGCGCCATCCATGCCTGGCTTCAAAAGAGGCACAAGCTCTTTGACATCGTCCAAGCGGTAGACGCGCAATTCCTCAAAATTCTTGCCGGCAGTGAGAGGAGGCACCAGGGAAAGGAGCGCCAAAGGAACCATTTCCGCGGAAAGGAAGAGGGACAGCGTTGAGACGACTTGGTTCAGGCCAATGTTGTTGTAGAATTCCACAATGTTAACAGAGTCTTTGCTGAGGCGTCTGCCCTGGCCCTCCACATCTGGAAGATTTGTTTCCGGACCAGACGCATTCTGAATCTCCTCAAGTTCCACTTCCAGGGAGGTCCCATTGCTTGCCTGAAGGATGCCAGCTTCGCCCAAGTTCAATGAAGAATCTTCCATCCGCAGCCCCCATAGTGGACTGACGTGAAGCACAAGAAGGCACCGGAAAAGCATGGCACTGATATGAACTTGTCAGAAAACGAACTATGCCGTTCAAACGAACTATTCTGTTCAAATCTACGCTCGAGAACGCTTGACGGCTTCGGGTCAAAAAGAACTTGCGCAACGGAACTTGAAACGGGGCACGCGGCATGCTTTCGAGACTCAAGTTCTGGATGTAGAATTTCAAGACTAGAGGATTTCGGGTTCAGGGTTTGGGGCTTGAAGCTTACATAATAAATCCGACCTACTCACCCGAAGTCATTTATTCAGAACGCTGAATCAAACAGTTCAACAACATCAGGCGTGTTTTCTTCAAGCTGACCGTCTATTTCATGGCCGCGCCTCTTGATGTACACTAGAGTCTAGAGCCTCGAGTCTAAAGTCTAAATTCCATAGAGCAAAATGCTTGCCTCTCTCAACTTGTGACCCCTCTCATTCGCCAAAAGCCCTTGGCCGAAACACTCTCCCTAAACGCTTGCTCACAATTTCGGGTATTTCATCAGCCGAAGGTGCACAAACAGCTCCATCCGATCATCGCCGACCTCGATCCGCAGCTGGGGCCGCTCTTGGAACCTGAAAAGGCTGGTCCCATCACAAGTGATTATCAATGACATGCTGCCGCCCTATACAGTTCTTGGAAAACTCGTATACTGGGAGATAAGCACATTGGACTCATTCTGCTGCCGAGAAGCAATGCGGAATTCGGAGATTCGGGGAGGTGTGACAAACCTTGCGCTGCATTGCGCCAGATTTTCAGAAGGGTGGACGGGGACTGGCTACCCCCCAACTTAGCCCAGCCCAAAACGATGCGACATCTGCTGCGGGCCAGAAGTGCGCCTCCCTGATTAATTAAATCAAGTTGTCGTGATTGGCTATACTACCGCGAAATATCGCAAAGGTGCGGAAGAGCTGGGCGAGGCCGTGCAGGCGCTGGCAGCGCATCGTGGGCTGCGGAGAAGCAGCAGCCTCGCGGTTCGCGTAGTCCGCAAAGAAGGCACCAGAGCCGGCGGTCGAGGACATTGAGAAGGCACGGCTGCGCCACGTGCCGCGGAAGGTCCTCCGCTGTTGGTGAAAGCTGGTGCCCAGCCCGTTGCGGATGAAACTTGGGGAATGCCATCCACAGCCACCTAGGCCCCTCGATACACCACCAGCCCACTGCAAAGATTGTGCTTCCACGGGTTTCACAGCCGTCTGGTGAGGCAGAGCATCAGCAGCTTGGCTTTCAAAGCTCACATGCTGATTTCATCCACGGGGCAGCGTCCTCTGCATGCAAAGGTTTTCTTCCACTTCCCACTGCCAATCTGAGCTGGGCGAGATGTCATCTTCACCTGGCTGTACCTGGAGCGACGGTGCTTACGGTAACTGTATCATCCTCTCACCAAGAGCTCAAGTATCAGCTTGCCAGAAGCAACTGGAGCCATCCCAAAGTTCCCAGAAAAGTCACGGAGCAGCCAAAGCAGAGCTTTCAAAAGCCCTGGCACTGCAGCAGCCAGCGGAATCGCGGCACGTACGGCGCCCAAGCCGCCGGCTCCGGCGCGCAGGGCGCTCCGCAGCAGCGCCTCGTGCGTTCTGCAAGTTCTCATACAATTTATCATATTTTCCGAAGCTTGTGTACATGACAATCAGTTCAAAGGCACTAACTTCAATTGCACACCAGCCCACACACCCCTGACTCAACCCTCACGATCCAGTTGAATTCGAGATGCCGAGGCGGTGCTGAAGACCCATGGCCTGGATTGGAACTCACATGCCGGAGCCGTTTGGGAGGTGCGTTTCAGTTTTGGGGCCTGCAGCCTTGCAGGTCATATCAGGTCATGGAGTGGAAGGTTCGTTGCGTGTCTGTTTCGGATCCTTTTGAGTGTCTGAGACCTAGGAGCTCGAAGTGCTGAATGCTGATGCAGGCAAGGGCGTACGGCAATCGTCCGTCCCTGCCGCCCTGCCTTCCTTCTTGGTCTCCTTCTTCCAAGCTTTCATCTTTGTGCTCCGGTTCTTTGCTCGTTTCTTCGTTCGTTCATTCTGCTGAAAACATCAAGACAAACACGAGCAGCAAGCACTGCTCTTAGAGGTTTCGGACATATCAGAAGATGAACGAGCTACTCTGATTCTGGCGCTGCACCATCCCTTTTGAAACCGGACTTGTTGACCGCACCATCCCGAAAAGTGCAACGACTCAGCTTGTGTGGATCCTATAGTTGTTCAAAGAGGACCGGAGAAACCAGCACAAGCAATTACGGCGTAGCTACGGAGCCAGCGGGCAACAATCATGATGACGCAAACGTTCAAGGCTTTCAAAAGCTTCTCCAGGGATTGGCCGTGGGACCGACACAACGAGGTGATCGCGGCACTGTGTGAGCACAGCGCCAAGAGAGCTGCTGCACCACTCTGAAAAGTGCTCGCCTGCCGAGTCGTCAGTGCAACTACGTGTACAGGTTTGTAGCAAGACATAGATAGCTACAATTAGCCTAACATACAAATACACATGTATACATTTTACATGTATTAAACTTATGTAAGAAGTTCTGTAGACTCTGCATGGCTGGCAGGGCACTTGCTCATCTCTCTCGTCATTGTTTGAAATGTCCAGGGCCAAGTGGAGCCAGTACAAATTTGCTTCACAGCCTCTTGCTCATAAGGAGGCCCCCGTTGTCGATTGCATTACAAGGTGCAAAGGAGGTGCCAAACACTCTTCTGCAGAAGCTAGATACGCCCAGTGTTCACGCCAAAAAGAAGGGAACTGTATACTGTGCTGGCTAATAGTACACCCCAGTGCCGCTCCCTGATTCACAGTTACCTTGGCTTCGTCTGGGCACCTGCGGCGGCTCCAGCGGTGCCAGGCTCAGCAGCCGGGGCACCATTTGATCCAGATCCAGGTCTCGCCCCTTCCTAAGGCCGCGTGTCCAAATGGTAGGTGAAAGGCTGACACATGCTGGCATGCAACTATTGCGCATGCTTGTCGGGACCTCTGATGCAGGTTTGCTACATTTTGCTCCCGTGCCTGGCGGAGAGCGCCAGTGAGGCCACCAGCGCCACAAAGGCTCCGGGTGCCGAGGCAGAGAGTGGTGCCAGGAGAGGGGGCAGCAAGGGCGCGAAGGCCTCGAGGCCACAGGACCACACATGACCATGGTGCATTCCATGTAACTAAGTGTAAAATTCAAAGAGACAAATGTCGCACAGCTCTCAAACGAAAGACGCAGGCTGACCGTAAGGACGTAGTACATAGGCTGACCAGATCTCGCCATCCAGATTCCGCGCGTTTGGGCTTCATGCCAGGACCGTCAGGTCCGTCAGGAGCTAGTAAGGAGGCATCAGGAACAGTTTGTGGAAGAGAGGCTTCTGATGGTTCCTACCATCGCCGGTTTGGACAGGCTTCAGACGCCCTGTACTTGTGGCATCTTCAGCCTCCACCGGCAGGAATGGCGAAAGGCTTGCAGCGGTGGCTGCCAAGGCCTGCACATCTTGGCACACTCGCAGCATTTTTTGAGGGGCCTTTAGACTAAGAACAATGGCACAGTACACGGTGCTCATGTCAATCGCCATCTGAGCACCTGGAGCGGTATGCTCAACGAGTCGCCGCGATCGAAGCGCAGTGACATCTGCTCCTCGCTGGTACAAGGTCCAAGAATGAAGAAAGGCAGGAAAAATGCTAAGCAGCGCTAAGCCAAGCAAGTTCACATCTTTTACGGAAATTCGTGCTCAGATCAGGAACCAGACAAAAGCCGATCGCAACAAGGCAGCACATGAATCTACCATATAACCTGCCCAAGAAGTCAAAAAGTCTTGGAGAAACCAAATTAAGAAAATCAACATCCCCCAGCTCCGCCAGTGCTGGCGACAGCGCAGCGGCCGCAGCCCGGCGCTCATGCGTGTCACGGCCAAGGCGCCTCGGACCACGTTGGACGAAGAGGGAGCTGGGTGGACACGCAGCCCTCGAGGCAGCCCTTCAAGGGTTAACGTATGTTGACGTCTTCTGAGTTGCAAGAAACCTGCTGCCCGAAGCGCGTGGCAAGCGCAGCAAAAACCAAGAGCTGACGGTCCGTAGCAGGATGCCTGGGACAGGGCGAGGACGCTCACTGTACACGTCAAACATCATAGGAACTTAGGAAGTGGCACCAGTAACGGGCGCAAATCCTGCCATTACACGGCACATCCCTGCAACGATCCTGAACGGTACAACTGTCATGCCAAATCATGAAAGTCGCAACGACCCTAGACTGGCCTCAATGCGACAGCCAGCAGCTCAAAAATGCACTGCGAGGCAAGGAAGCGGCGAATAGGCGCGAAGCCCTGACAGTGACTTTCAAAGCAAACGAGTCACACGAGCCTCCATGTTGTGAAATTCTTAAAAAGCCGCATCCTCTGTATCCTTCATACCAAAAATGTAACACAAACGGCCCAATTGTCAAATTCTCCCCTTTCTTCATTCACATGCTACTCACTGTTCCTTGCCAGCGCGCGCTTAGCTCAGAAATAACATTCAAGGAGAAAGGCCCGTTCGCAAGCTCCCCACTACCTAGCAAGGCTCGACCTGAGGAAGTTGGCATCCGTATGGGTCAGGGAAGCTGCAGGAGCAAGGGTCGCAAGGAGCGCGGGCAAGTCCCCAAGTCAAGCCCAGCCCATGCTCGTAGAAGCTAAGGGGAAGTTGCTAGTGCAAAGTTGCTTTCACAAGGCAGACGAGTACCCTAAAGAGCCTCGTTTTGAATATCTCCCCGTCAGTGAATATCAGTGACGGGTAGTCGTATACTTGTATACTTGACGAGCACGGTTCTAAGCCTCCGGCTGACATCACAAGCAACACCAAAGTTGAAATCTCTGCGCTGGATAGAGCCTGCCACGAGGACGCAATCCAGGCAATGCTAGAGGTCATGGACAGGTTTCAGTATGCATGTCTGCGCACTGGACACTCAGTGGGACACTGCCTCTGCTGACATAGGCTTTCTTGAACATTACTTGGACGTTACCAGAGGACTCTTGGTAAGCGGATGCCCGTCGCCGATCCACGAAGAGTCTTGAAAAGGACAAGTGCTCAGTTCCGGTCCCCTCGTGTTCTGGTGCGTTTTGCCTCGTCCCCAGAGCCTGCATCGACGTGTCCTGCAGGGATATTGAGTTGAGAAGGTGGCAGGGGGGCCTAGCACATTGCATTGTGTTACGGCATGTTGGCTGCAGCTGCTGCGGGTGACCTGGTGCTAAAGCCGAACAATCTGCCAGCAGCGCCAAGAGGGAGTGTATACCTGGCAGACATGCAGGTACGCCTTGTCCAATCACAAACAGGAGGAATGAGGAAACACGAGGAAACCCGCCCGTGGAACCTCCAAGCCGGAGAAGCCGCACAACGTTGAACGGATGCCTGAGGCTCTGAGGTGATGTGGGGGCCAGTCAAAATAGTCTCAAAGTGGGCTCTGAAGTTTCTGGGACGGTGCCAAAGAATGTGGTTGCAAGCCAGTCTGAGTTTCCACGAACACTGCGATATTTCTCCCGCGCGGCAACCATGGATGCCCAGTGGCTCTTCCAGCCGCTGCGAGTGCATGAGCTACAGAACAACGTAGAAATGCGATTCGGACAATCGGACTACCACAAAAGCGCAAAAGCTGCGAGGCTGGAAAATAATTAGCAAGACTGGGCGACCCCTTCAGGGTGCTGTCGCTCTAAATAAGCTGCGGCTGCGAGTCACCCTCAGAGGGAGATATAGACTTGTTCCCCGCGCTCAACTGAACTAAACTAAATGGAAAAAAAGTCATCGTCAGCACAGACATCCAATCCGGGACGCTTGTGCTCCATTGCCTTGGAGCACGCGTCCATTTCCACAGCTAGTGTCCCTCTTGGCTTCAAAAGGTACGCAACGAGAAGCGCCCCTGCGCAAAGAGGCAGAAGCGGCACTAGACTATTTTGGTCTGTCCATCTCAAGCTCAAGGCGCATGGTACCCAAAGCACAACAGAGCTGAGGAGTATAGGAGGCACAAAAGCGAGTGCCAGAACGAAGCGTGGAATGCATGTAATGCGCGCCCCCAATTTCCATAAGCGCATGCTGGCACACAACATGAGCAAAGCGGGCGGGAAGGGCGTTGCCCAATCGACGAACTCCCGCACAGCCCAGGTCCCGAAGCCTGACCCATCTGGAATTGGACCCATTGCGAGCAGGCGGATTTTCTGGGCCAAGAACGGGAAGTGCCAGACGAAGACCATGCAAATGAACAGGTTGACAGGCACAATGGCCCGTCTGTTTGAAGGGCATGAAAAGCTCTTCACCACCGCATCGAAAGCCTCCAAGCTCTGAAAGTAGTCCTGGTGTCGTGCTCTGCCCTTCCCCCGTACCATCGCTCCAGCGCCGTGTAGACGAAGGGTCGCACATCAGTTGCAGCCCGGTCTGTGGGTGCTTGTGTGCGAGCAGCAGAAACATTTGCTGTCCTGCTAAACTGTGAAAGCTGCCTGGGCAGCTCGCCCATCTCCCGAAGCAAGCCGATTCCCAAGTAGGTTTGGACAGGAAGAAAGGACAGCGCAGCGACGCTCATGAACCCGGCAGAGATGAATACTGCAGAATGTTCGTCGCCATACATTCTTGTTTCGAAGTGGGTGACCACTTGGAGCTGCAGACGGAGGATGAACCAGCAAACGCTGAATTGGATCAGCAACACCGAGACAGTCACCGGCATGATCTGAACATTCCTGGGGAGAGAGTTTCATGGAGCATCTTTCTGACCACCTCACCTATACCTGCAAATGTCAATGGTCTGGACATTCTACATCTTTCATACTCTAAATTCTGGACCTGAAACATGCAGGAGTACCAGTAGACTCACTTCATTCACTATGGACTCCGGCTAAACAATGAGTTGACCCTACCACACTAATGTTGAAGTCTTGGTTGCCCAAACGGTCCCAGTCAGCGCGGGCACTACATGCAGTTGAAAGGAAAAGCGGCGCGTGCGGGGGCGCGGCTCGCCTGACACGGCACACATTTGAGGTCGAACAAATGTACTCTCGCCTAGGCGCTGCTGCGTCTGCGGATTTTGGGCCGCGTTACTGTTTTTGTAAGGAAAAATTCGAGTCTGCATCATTGCCTGCGCCACCTGCTTCCGTAGTCCAACCGCGCTCTCGTTTTCATGCTCGTTTTCCTGCCTGACTTTCACTGCCTGACTTTCTCGATGGGGCGTAAACGTGGCAGGGATGTACCGTTCCTGGCTCGCGGGCTCCCCGAAAACTTCACTTTGATCGTGTCCGTTCTCACATGTGATTTTCACTCCGCAGTGCATGCGCGTGTCGTGGCTTTACGCTGCTTGGGTCTCCTACACAACCTTATGCCGTTGTGCTGAAAACGTCCGCTCCTTCCAGGTCGACTGCTTTCTGCACCGGGATCACAAGTTGCCTGGCTGCGTCTGAGGAATGTGGCCACCTCGTACATACACCAAAGCCTGTGCCAGCGAGAGAGATGTAAGCATCTACAATGGTGGCTTCAGTGAGGCTTTTGGGGAGTGTTCCCGAACAGGAGCTGGTCTCAAAATCTTTTTGGACACCCCAGAAAACGAATCCGCAGCGCATCCACTTCAACTCGACACACCTAGCCAGGCAACTTCGTTTCTCAAATTGTTGAGGTGTGGTCGATATTTGGTGATGCAGACTTGGTCTAATACCTATGTCCGTATTAGCACAATGGGTGCATCGAGTGTGAGGGTGCCCGCTTGCCATTTGCAGGCGTGGACGGGCTACATGAGGATGATTATATGAAGGCCGCGGTTATGATTATATTACGGCCGCGGTTGGCATCATCATCCACCATCATCACCGTCCAACATTCCATCTGCAGCACAGCTATCGTCGCCAACTGTATCCGCGGACCAAGGGTGACTTGAGCAGCTTAAATGGTAGGTTGCTGCTGACTGGGTTCGCCAGTTTACCACGCTACCGCTGCCGATGCATGCTGTCCACAGTAATGCTAGGGGATGTGGATCTACCTTGCAGTCGGCATATGTCAAGCGCATTCGACATCTAGTAGGCAATTGCTCATACCATTGCTTCGGATTGGAGGAAACATTGACTGGCGTCAAGTCGCAATCATGGGTGAAATGGTGGTGCGACTGTTCCATGCTCACACAAACAGAAATAAGCAAAGGCGAAGCCGTGTACAATCCGTTCCTCCTTTGGGCGTTGCCTTGCCTCAGATCGGAAGCCAGCCACGTCACCAGTCGAAGAGGCGAACGGTCGACCCCATCCACTCAGGCAGATGTATAGAGGGACTCCTTGTCAAACTCCAGCTGTAGAACAATACAAGACAGCTAAAAGTAGCGCAGTGCTGGCATTGCAAATGCCGTGGACTTGATGGACGAAGACTCCTGATCTCAACACTATATACATCTGTGCCAGTCTGCTTTCGCACAACATGCACCAGGGATCCATAAGGTTTCCCCGTCGTCCTTCATGCAGATCGGCCTGAAGCTGCGTGGACGTCTCGGCCACGGCAGTTTCCATGGACAGCCGCTCGGCGGGACTACATTGCGGGCACTTCTCTTGCGATTGTTATTTTTGCCTGTCTGAGTGCTTGGTCATCGCCCTGTGCGCAGAATACTGCGAAGTGTTGTGTGCGTCTGGGGGACTCCAGACCCTGAAGAAACTCTTAAACGATTCACCTGCTCAGCATTGAACCCTGCTCTTCAATCTGCCTGCTGCTGCTAGCGAGCAAGATTGTATGATGTGGCAAGGTTGGTGGCTCCCGTCGACTCATCGAATTTACATGCACCTCTATACATTCGTAGCAGTCTTTGCACCCTGCCACCCTGCATGCGGCACAACATGCTGGGCTACTTCATATGATTAAGTCCAGGCCAGATACGTTGCACAAAGCGGAAGCAAAGCCACGGCCACACCAACATCTTCCCGCAGCCTCTGCAAAAGTTCATGTCGATGGGATTAAAGGATTGTAAGGCTTCTGACGGCTTCTGATTTATCCTGCGCACATCACGTCCTACCGGCAGGAATGCCCTGGCAAGGGATGGTCTGGACATTAGGATCCAGTGGGGCTTCCCACTCAGATTTGTATTATAATTTTGTTGGCGAAGCAAAGCTGGAAATAGGGACGGGTTGTCTGTTGTTGAGTCCAGAAGGCTGCCGCTCTCTGCGTGTTGAATTTTCTCATCGCGGATGCCAGCGCTAATGCATACAAAGATCTGTTGCCTTGGTCAGAGTGCCAAAACAGACTTAAATACATGTACCTAAGGTCGCACTTGGTCGCATGTTGTCCTTGCCTGGAAATGGTGCGAACAAGCGGGTCAAACTGGTCCTGGCCTCATGGAGCTTTGCACCGACAAGACTAAGACGCATGGTGCACAGTCAACCGCCACGCATTCACACTATTTCCGACTAATAAAGGCTTTGCGCAAGTCATGAATACAGGGAGCAAAATCATCCGATAAACATCCCCCTCGACTCAGCCCCCAGCTTCTGGCAAATGCTCGGACATGGCTGGTGGTGAGCACCTTGGAGTCTCAGTGGCCAATCGGCCAATGTCTACGGCTAGATCTCTGTCAGCCGATGCTATCCACAGATCACAAAGACCGGAGTGGCAGAACCACGCAGGACAACTAGCCCACACCACACCAGTTCCGACCCTCTCCTGCTCTCGCACCGGATCCCCTCCGTCGGCTCCGCGACCTCGTCAGGCAGGCGGAAGACGTCCGCCAGCGGTGCCCAACGTGGAGCTGGGCCAGCCAGGCCCTCGCACGTGCTGTCGTGGGAGGACAGCCACCCATTCGCCTCACGATTCGCATGAAACGTTAAGCACACGTGCTTTAAATATTCATTCAGGCCAATGTTCAACTCAGTCGTTCAACAAAAGAGTGCACAGCAACATGGTTCCACTTAGCAAAGAAACTGCCAGTCAGGAGCTAGGAACTTGCGCATTCTGTTTTCCTATCAAGCCGATTGGGAACCCCAGAATCAATAAGCCCCTCGCAAGTACTGGGCAATTCACGTTTGCCACTTGCAAGAGCAAAGAACTTGCAGGAACACATACATATCTCGCTGTCTCCACGAAGTCCGTAATCAACAGTCACAGACGACGGACGATGCCTGGAACTCGGCTATCTCTGCTTCTGCAGCATGGTGGAGCTTCGACCTGTCGTTGTCTGTCACCTCCGGTGGCCAAGTTCTAACGAATCTATCGTGTACGAACCAGTAAAACGTCAGATCGGTTCAAGACAACTTGTCACCTCGTTCAACCAAGAAAGAAACGGACCAACAGCCTGGAAGCGGTTCAGAAATTGCTTGAGGGAAGGCAGCGCGTGGCTGGGAAAGCCAAACTCGTCCACTCGGACCTGGCGACGCTGAGCCAAGAAGAATTAGAAATGCGATACAGTACACATTGATGCAGATCATTTACGCTGCATTTACGGCACCCTAAACCATGACATCAATGGTCAAACATAGACAAGGATCACAAACCTCATCCACCCTCCTCCACAATGTTGCCATGTCAACTCGTTCAGTCCGCTTATGGAAGCTATCGGGAGGATCTCTCTCAATCACCGGGCCACTGAAACGCCGCAATCCCGAGCAGGAAGCACCGCAACAGGCACTTAATTGGTGATGATTCACGTGACGATTTTCGTGCCTCGATGTCAAGCAGTATGCGGTCTAAACGTTCAACTACTTTGTCCAGCTCAAACCGTTCTGCCAGCTTTAGGCCTTTGGTGGATGCCTCCTGGCGTAAGGAGGCATTACTCAGCAATGCCCCGAGAGCACCTGTAACATCTGTTTCTGAGGACACGATCAGCATCTGGGGGTAGGCATCCGTTCGCGAAGCTTTTGGCTCTGAAGATTGTGGAAATGCTTCACCAGGAGGCCACAGGCCTTCCACCACGTCGAGATGACCTTGTGCATCAGACCACACTATACTCGGGATGCCAACGCTCATCATGTTCACTAAGCGCTGGCCAGTCTTCCAGCGGCTGCAGTGCCACCAGTCGGACCGGCAACCCGACTGCTTGGCAAAGCCTATTTGTAGTGTGGCCAGCTGTTGATACACTGCATCTGTATGCTGCGGCGTGGTTATCTTGCCTTCGTTCTGCTCGAACATCTTGGCTGGATCCATGTGGACGAACTCAGGATTCGGATTCATGTCAGAGCCCGCTTTTGCCAAGAAGCTGGCCAAGGCTTGCGCAACCGCGTCGTGAAGCTCCGCGTCTGCATGAACAGTGTGTACACCCACTCGGGTTACCGGACTGGCCGGATCGATTCGGATTCTGTGCGCGTTCAAGTGGTGCAGCGGCAGCCAATGCAAAGACACCCTGCCGGAAATCAAGAGCTGATGGAGCTCTGGGTGGCTTTGCAAGTCCTGCTTGCACAAAGACGTCTGAACGAGCATGGCATCCATTTCAGTGATGTTGCTAAGAACTTCAAAGTTGTCCACTGGATCAAAGACGTGCGCAGCACGTGGCCAACCATGCACCGCACATTGGCAGATGTATTTCACGTGCACGATGCTGGTTGGGTGCCATGTCCGTTCGTATTGCTCGTGTTGACACCAAGCACTGCAGGGCGAGTTCCAAGCTCTCGCATCGACACCAAGCTTGCGAAAGCCACGGGCCACCTGCCGTCCACGGACTGTGAAGGATCCCCATTGGTAGGTCGTATCCCCACCCCCTATGAAGAGAACGCGGCGTGTCCAGCGTGGTGGGGACACGATGCCTGACAGCTGCTCAGCAGGCTGCGGCCACAGCGCTTCGATCTGTTCCAGTAGCTCTGGGATCTGCCAGTGGCTGGTAAGAAGATCATAGAAAAATTGCGGCGTCCGCTCCTCCCAAAGCTTTATCATCTGCTGCGCTTGTCCGGACACGAGTGTCTGAAGAGATCTTCCGGCAGTCGGGCCATCAAAGAAGCCATCCATTAGATTGGCCTTCAGTGCCCAAATTGCCACAGAAAGCATGGATGCCACGACCCCGAAAGTGCACCGCAGTGATTGCACAAGGGGGCTTGCGGCTTCGAGCGCCAGGAACTCTTCCACCAAGTGCAGCGGCATGAGCGGCGTGTCTGCATCAGAAGTCGCATGGCGCTGCCACCATTCTCGGCTGGCTTGGTGAAGCAAATCATCCGTAAGATCCTGAGCCTTGTCGCAGGTATTGTGGTCCATGTAGTCCTGATCCACAAGCCGCATGGCTGCGGCAAGTCGCGCAAGCAACGCAGCGATTGGCCAGGGCTGAGAGACCACAAAGTGCCAGGGTAAGTCCACGTAGAAGAATAAGCCTTCAAGTTCCAGTTGCGCTTTCCTCCACTTCAGTGGCCAAGTTTCGCGACTAGCCGGTTCCCCGATGACCGCTTCATGCAGGGTGCAGACGAGATCACACAAAAAGGCACTCAACCAGCCCAAATAACAGTCGTTCTTCCAAGAGCTGTACCGTGAGTCAATGTCGTCCAAAGTTGCGACCGCATCGGCCGTCTCCTGCAGTAGGTACCGACATTGAATTAGTTGAGAGAGAGCCGTCGGTGCACCTTGTTTCCGCCACGCTTCAAGGTACGGCTCATTTCTGCTGAGGCAATTCGTGGTGGCACGAACCTGCTTACGCAAGGATTGCCAATCCACAGGAGCCAGCGCTTGCTGCTCACAGCCTGGGTCCAATGCGACATCGAAGTCGCTCATTTTACTGACGGACGTCTTGCCGTGTGGCCAAGTCATGACCCACCTCCTCAGCTCCTTCCCCATCTCTAGAGCATTGCTTCTAGCCAGTGCGCCCAGAAAACTTCCGATGCCTGCAAACCAAACCGACCACATCGGTCCATGGCGCCACATTTGCATGCAAACGATACCTGTTGTAGTGCCTGCCGGCCAGCCATGCAAGGAGGACAATGTTTAGCAAACAGGCCTCGTGGGACCCTTGTCCAAGCCCGCCCTAGCAGGCCCTAATCTACGGGATAACACAACCACGAAAACGGGCTTGGGGAGCTTGCGGGCACACTTGAGGAGGAAGGGGCGGAGGCGGGAGGGGGCAAACAAGTAAATGCAGCAACAATACCCCCAATACCCCCGGATGTGAACACGGCCTCAAAGCCTGTAGTCTAAGTCTAAGCCCTGCAAGTCACGCCTCGCCGCTCAGCAGCTCTGGAAGTGCAGGGTATAGGAAGCCGCGATGCTCCTGGCTGATTGCCAAGCTCTGTCTTGCTGGAATTTTGCCGCGCAACTCAGGGGCACCTGGAAGACGCCCGCAAGGATGTCTCCCAGCAAAGCCGGGGTCCCCTCTTCCTGCAAATTCGAGTGAGAGCTGAGGTCGGAAAATTGCTGAGTGAGAGCTGAGGTCGGAAAATTGCTGAATGCCCTTCTTGCCACGTCAGCTTATGACAGCCCCCTTTGCTCAAAGTGGCCCCTGTCGCCTCGAGAGACATGCAACATTTGGCAAGTGTGTCGAAAAATCGATCCAACACCCTTCGAACTCTGGTTCAAAATATTTCCCAAAGCTTCCTTCAAAAGTGCTGGCGCCTGAGCAAAGCCCTCGCGCAAAGCCGCCACTTCCAAGCCTGAGCGCGTCCATTGTATGCTAACGGAACAATTTCTTAGAAGCTCTTCTCGCGGGATGTCAGAATCCGATGGTGAGCAAAATTCTGCGGTGCCAACGTCCTACTTGCAAACTGTCTCACTGCCAAGTGGCTACGCATCGGTTTGGCCGGAGGGGCTGTCGCCAGAAGGCGTGCAAACTCTGCAGCTGCAACTCAGTGTGTCTGTTGTTGATGCAGCTCGGAACTGAGAGGCAACTCTTCAAGCCCATCAAATTAGTTTCATCGTGGCATATCATCTGTGGATCACCGCATGGCCTAAATGCCAAGCATTGACTCTACAACTTCTGCGCCAGCGCCAAGCCACAATCGGCTTTATCTTGACACTCTGCCGTGCCATGTCACCTGTGACAGGATCCTCCGGTGGACCGCAAACCGCCACCCGCAGCACCCGGTCGCCACAAAGCCTCGGAGAGGTCTCAGCGAGCATGCGGCACACGCATGACAGCTGCAAGCCTCGAATCGAAAGTGCGACTTTAGGGATGCACATACACATAAAGCATGACTTCAACATACTTCTGTGTATACATGTGTATAAATATGCAAAAATCAATATACAAAATATACATCGTAAATACATTGAATACACGCCATTATGAGGGCCGCATGTATGCCCAGCAGGCCAAGCAGAGAGAAAGAGAGAGAGAGAGAGAGAGGGAGAGAGAGAGAGAGAGAGAGAGAGCCACACACACACACCCACACACACAAACACAAACACAAACACAAACACGCAAAGATAAAGACAAAGACAAAGACAAAGACAAAGACAGCGACAGAGACAGATCAGAGAGAGCGAGAGTGGGACAGGGGTGCACACACTCCAAAGGGTGCTCGTGGCGATACAAGTTTTTTCAACTCTATGAGTCTATGACTCATTGTAATCCAAGTACAAGTACTCCTTTCTGAGTGGAGTGAGCAGTCAAGGGTGTGGGGACAGTGCCTGACAACCGTGACGCCCTTTGACAGTTTCATCTTCGTCAACCCAACGCAAGCTTCGCGACTTGCGACTTCTTCTCGAAAGGTGCAGGTTCAATAATGTTCCACGCGGAAAAAAAAACGAACCCTCTCTCATACACAGTCAAGTACCTGAATTTTGGGCCACGCCAATTCTCCCCTCCAAAGAAGGCTCTTCCGCAAGAGCTCCAGTTTTCAGGGAGGGAAGAGAAGGATTGGGCACAAATCTTAAAATATTGATCTCATGAAGAGCGTCAGTAAACATCAAAATCTCAACTGACTTCCTGCACTGTTGCTAGCGGATCACGAAATCTCAGCAATCAGGGCGCGAGGTGGGCTCAGCGTACAGAAGCCTGAGGTTTTGTAGGGGACTTGCCCAGCATCCACGCTCAGGGTTTGGAGTTCAGGATCCTAGGGCGTGGTGAACCAAAGCTTCCCGGGAGGAAGCTTTCGTAATTTCCTCGTGGGCCGAGTCGCGCAGGTTGCAGAAGTTGCCTCAGTCTCCATGTATTCATGTGCCACATAAGACAGCTGCATCGTTCACTCAGCTTACACTTCTACATTGTCTGCAAGCGTTGCATAAGCATCAAAGGTTACAGTAATCGACACAAGAAAATGGGTGTGAGGATGGAGCAAGACAAAATCGGAAACACTCTTGTGGCAGGAAAATCGTGAAACCTGAGCATTCAGATTCAAGTTGCAGCAGCGGCTGAGGAGCAATGGCTCGCACACCACGAAGCGCATCCTGCTGTTCAGCTTACGGCACCAGTCCAGGAACACTTGGCTTGCCGATGCTGAGGCTGCGCTTCAGTACTCTCCGTATGTATCCGAGTTCCGGGACGTGCCTTGACCGCTGCCACTCCGCGTCCTGCGATATGGCAGTCGAAGAGCAGTGCCGCCGGGCGCAGCATGCACCATGATTAGCAAGCTTTAATGCCTCGAGGTCCTGGATGAAGCTGCAACTCTTCGTCTACGTATTCGGCAAACATCCACTAAGCTCTTTCCTTTCACCCTGACCATTTGGCAGCGGCAATCCTTCTCCTAGGAGCTCGTCGCATCCCAGATCAAGCCATAGTGCCTGGATGGTGAAAGTTTGGGATCTTGGAGGGGCTGGATCTGCATGAAGGCATACAGAACACGGCAGAGGCATCCAAGTCAAGCCTTCCCTTCGATGCGTACAATAAGAAAGGGACAACACGTGCACGCGCATTGCCCCTGGCATCATGGGCTATGTCAGGCATGCTGCGTAAAATTGCATGCTAGCACTTCTATAACGCGAAGGTATGTGAGGGTCTAAGCTGAGTTGGCATGGTGCGGTCCAGGCCTTTACAGACAATGCCTGGTTGTGGATGATTCTTGTCCCTTGCCACATGCTGATCTCTGGGGGCTTAAAGACCCCCAGGGCAAGTATGAAGCACGCATGCCCTGCATTTTTGTTGGGTTTGTCTGTTGTCTCAGCTCCGGGCCGAGCTCGCAAAAGCGCCCCCAGCAGTCGCACGGCAGAGCTCCAGGCCGATTGCGACGAAGGAGGCGACGCCCACACCCGACACTAGGTTCTCCGCAGCCTCTGATTGACGCAATGGCATATGAAAGAGTCATGAAAGCGTGACAGAAGGTCTATAGGGGAGCGTTCAAAGCGAAACCACGTCAATTTTCAAGAGAGAGCGAGCCCTGGTGAGAAGGCATCACCGCACATGGGCACTCAAAGGCACCCATAAGGTCTGAAGATGTCTGAAGCATGATGCTCAATTCGAACTCCGCATCTTCTGCAATTTCATGATTCTCATGCTCGGGAAGCATTGCCCGCCTGGCCAACAGGGTCTGGTGTGCCACTTGGTTTTTTCTCTCCTAACAAAATGATTCGGTACAAGGCTCCGCCACGGCATGCTACGTTGAGCTAATCTGATGACTGAGCTCGCGCCACGTTCGCCTGAAAAAGTTGTGTTGTGCCCTGACTTCAGCATCCGCCTCGCCGGCGAAAACCTGTGAGGAGTTTTGGAATGTCATCTTCGCACCAGTTGCTGCCTCCCCATTGGAACAGTTACCGAGAGATCCAAGAGCATACCAATGCCTCGAGAGTCTTGCCCGCAGTGAAAGGAGGCACCAGGGAGAGGAGCTCGTTGACGTCATCGAGGCGGTAGCGCTTGCGCACTGCGGGGACGATGAAAGAAAGGCGCCAGGCCTTCTCGTGTCAAAGCCAGTGCGGAACATGTTCCACACGCCGAGCATGAGCAGCTGAACAGCACCGCCTCCAAGGTTGCCCCAGCCACCAGCCATTGCGTTGGCCGTGGCTACAATCTCCTTCGCGAACAGCTGCGAGCACCACGCCTGGCATGGCACAAAGCAGGCGCTCAGGACACCGATGAAGAAGCGGATGGTGGCCAGGCCAGTAACGACAGCAGCATGGAGAACATGGTGCGCGTGCCGAACACGTCGCACAGAGCGCCCACAGCGAAGCGCATGAGCACGGTCGACGCCACAGACGCGATGTTCGCGTTGTACACCTCGTCCTTGGTCAGGCCCAGGTCCTTCTTGATTGCGGCATCAGCGGCGCGAACACGAACCACGACGCGAAGGCCATGAAGAAGCCGAACCACGCGAAGTGGAAGCCGCGCATGTGCGGCCGCTTGAAGGAGAGCAGCTTGATCTCGGTTGCGCGGTCGCCCCGAAGCAGGTCCACCTCGCAGTCGTATAGGTCTCGTACTTCTTCTACGAGGCGCGGCGCTTGGGTTGCCTGTTCAGAGTGTCAGGAGGGAAATCATTGAGAGCCTCCGCCTGGGGGGCCACTGACTTCCTGGCCCAGCATGATGACACTGTCACCGACGCCATGGAAAGAGATCAACGCTCTTCGACTGTGCACAAACCTCGTCCATGGTCGCCCACAGCAGCTCCTTGGCGAGCTGCTCTGCCAGAAGGGCAAGCCACGGCAACAGAGCAGCGAGTAGAATTTGCCAATGGCACTGCGGGCCAAACGTCGATGCTGCGCAGCTCTGCTCTCAGAACTGTGCCACTGGTCTCATACCACGACGGTCGTTTCGCGCCAAGGCCGATGAAGCTGAGCAAACCCGATGTCCTTGCAGGATACGGGTCAGAGGGTCCAACGCAATGAGCCGCGGTGTGGGATGCAGGCTTTCCAGTTCACGCTTGAGACCCGGCAGGACGGCAGCAGCAATGGGCACTGCGCTTGCAGGGAAGGGGCCCAGTTGCTGGCATCATAAAAACAGTCCACGTGCATGCTCGACATCCCAACAACGATGACAGATGGACCAAACCTTGAGTGCAAAGCATCCGCGGCCTGTACACTGAGGCCGAGATTAGAACAGCTGAAGACCTCTCGAGCCAAGGCACAAATGCCTGCGCAAGGTCCGCGAGAGAACATGTGACAGATCGCGCCAAACTGCGCTCTGTCTGATCCTGGGAAACTCTGACCAGCAGGCCCAGGCCTTCACGACCTCCTGAAGGTCTGCTGTATCTGGGTTGCCTGCGGGAAGGAAACTTTGCAGGCGGGGCCAGCCTATTCATCGGGTCAGCAGCCTCATTAAACACAAGATCTGCACCTCTGCCAGGCAAAGAAAGGGGTCGCAGAGCGCAATTGACATCTGCAGTGGCACCCCAGAGAGCGCGGATGGAGACCGCCCTGTCAGCATTGCAACTGCGTGATGCTGCAGAGGATCAACCCGGTTAGGGCCAGCTACCCTGTCTAGTGACGAGGCGCCCGTCATCGGTCAGCGCTCTCAGCCAGTCCGCAAAGACACTTCGAAGACCCGTCGCATGCCGGGGATTCATCAGCAGACCTGATGCTGCAGCATGCTGCATGCTAGCAAGTCGCGGTTCCATGCTTTGTTGTGATGGAAAACTCGTGGAATGCTTCCGATGCATGACTTCAGCCAGGAGGCAGCGTTGGTCCAGCTGACTTCTTCCAGCACTTAATACCTGTGCACAAGTCCGAGGGGAATCATGAAACTCCAACCAACGGCCTGGCGCTTACTTGCGAGGTGCTGCAAATTGAATGTTTCGAGGGGTACGTCCAGCAAAAGAGCATAGATGCGAATGACAGGAACTCCTGAAGGCATAAAGTGTACTGGGCTTATGACACAACTCGGTGGTGAACCTGATTCCTTGCATCAGAGTTGCTGTCAACGGCAACGCTGCTTTGGCAGGCGCGGCCAACTCTGCCGCGTGGTTCTGGAGCTGTTGGAGGTCCGGAGCCTCTGCAGATCTTTGCAGCTCGAGGCGCTTTCGGATGAAACAACGGGACAACGGTGTTTTTGATGTGTGGTAAAGTATGTCCATTTATTGAGGTGCGCGGAGCTCATCGCCAAGAATTTGGGGCAGGAGCCAATCGCAGCTGGACTGAGACTTACAGCCCCTCGGTCGTGGCTTAATCACTTCAGTCTCATGCAACGGCACCCGTCTCCACGAATCCACTCAGAGACGACAGAGCCCTTCATAAGTGCCAGTTGGAGAGCGCCACACGCTTTGCACCCGTTCCACACTCCCCTACAACTGGAACGCTGCCCGCATCCAGGCCTCGTAGACACAGACAGGGATCCTTGCGCATGGCAATACAAAACCAGTCGCCCTCTGTGAGCACAAAGATTGCATTGGGTGCCCCCGGTTTGCATGATCCGACACCTAAATACACCTAACATAGGGCAGGCCAATTCCTGCACATGTCTAAACCCGATAAGTCGTCCAGAGGCTGTTGTGGCCTCGCTTCAGCCCAACTATGATGGGTTGTGTCATGTGGCGGTGCAGCTACCCGGCATGCCGAGGATGGCGGTGGTGGCGCCAGTGGGGCGGCGAGGGCCATGCTTGCAGCTTCGCTGCTTAAAGGCCTTTAGGCTCTATAAATAGGTTCAATCAACTTGAGAGGTATGGTTGGAGGCGACGTTCGGTGCACACGGGTAAGAATTGGCTGCTGTTGGTTTCTTGAGGCTGGTCCTTGAGAGCAGTGAAACTCCGACGGCCGAGCACTTGTCGGAAGGCCATATACATAGTAATATATCATATAGTATAAGACCATATAATATAAGATAGTATCATATCATATCATATCATATCATATAAGATATATATATATATATATGTTTATGTAAATATAAATATATGTCTATGTATAGATATAAATATTTATATATGTATATATATATATATATCCTAGTAGTACAATCAGGACTGCGGCGAAGACCACTGATCCACAGTACCTTGTGATTCCCTGCAGGACCCCGCAGATCTCAAACTCCTCTAGTTCCTTCTCGATCTGATCGATGAGCTTCTGGTGCCTCAGCTGCAAAGCACTGGACCGAACTGCTGAGAAAGGCTGAGGACCTGCCGTGCTGTCTTTTCTCTTGGGCCACACCACTCTCCCCCAAGACCTGCGAACCCCATGCTCATGCTCCTGAGTCTTCAGGGTTGCCGGAAAGGCGCGCACTGTACAGGCAATGTGGAAAAGTAGTCGGCGCCCTCAGAAAATTGAGGCTCTCAGGAGCTACCTGCATGCCAAAGGAGTCCCGACACGAAAGCGTAGCAGCGAGAGAGGTGGCCGCGGCTGTGGCTCAGTATTGGGTTGAGATCACCAACAAGGACACAGCTCATCGAGCTGTACCTTATCAGTATCATCTTGGCCCACATCCTTCGTCCCCACTCGGGGAGAAGCGAGGAAAGGGGGCCAAGAGAGGTGGCTGCATCTGCTTGACACAGCTCACAAAATTGCCAATTCAAAATTGGCCGCTAGTGCTGCGCTGACTGGACAGCTGATGCGCAGCTGCGCTATGTTTCAGCGCACCGACGACAACCCCCGAGGCAAGCCACGACACCTACTGCGATGCAAACCTTTGCCCCAAGCTTGAGATGGTCAATGCCTGGCCTACCAAAGATGCCAGCACGTGCTGTAGCATTTCCTTACTGGAGCAGCCAGTGTTCCGGGCATTGCTGGGGGCACCTTTGCTGCCTTGGCTGTTGCTGTGGCCAGTCAGGCCTCCAAAACTGAGCAAGCATCAAATTGGAATTGCCAGGGCTGCCTACGGGCGGCCCTGCAGCACACAACAGTTGCTGAACAAATGAGGTATTGATTGTCAAGTGGTCAAGCCTCTTCCAGAGGTGTTGGCCCAAAATTGGCGACTTCAGAGGACATTGCCAAGCCATGTCCACGGCACGCTGAGAGCTTGGGGACAGTACATTGAGATCAGGGCATGAGGAGACTCACTGCTAGCCTGCGCTGACAGCTGACTGAGGGTGGAGGGAGCAGGTACTGGCAGCCTGACGAGGTCGGGGGACCTGGAAAACCACAGAGTCTCACAATCTCTTTTTGGCATGGTAGTCCCTCGAGTTTTGCTACGTCAGCTCAGATTGATAGTTCGTTTGCACTGTCCAGCTCTGGAGAAATGGGCACAATGCAGCTGCAAGTCGCCTTGCTATTGATGCTAGGGCCAGGTCGCTTGACCGGGGAAGTCTAAACAATTGCTACTATGTCGACGGCCTTCCTCAGGCCCTCCAGAATTTACCTGTTCAGTTGTAAGTAGATGGTTTCGGGATCGGGAATGAACTTTCGGCATGGCGAATGCATGACAAACAACCGGTATCCTGTCCATTGTTTGCGGGCGACTTGCAATCAAGCACAATGCTCGCGGATTATTTTCGCACAACGAATTATGTGGGATTGTCCTTCAGGCTGTGCCACGGTGATGCCAGGCACCTGGCACCCGCAAACTAGACATGGGTAGCAGGCTGTAGAAAGCATGCCTCGTACTCATTCATGCTAGCAGCTAGCCTTGAGTTTAGGCACCGTCACGCTTAAAGTCCCCCATCCTATGCGCTGTCCTTCACCATGCAAAACAAACGAGCCTTGCTCGAAGTCCGGTCAGACGTAATCGGACAAAGTGAGCCGGCGCCAGTAGCCTGAGCTGTCACGAATGCTCGTTGAAAGTCCTCCTCACTCTGACAGCGGTCATGGAACAAGTTGCGCACCCCATCTCAACCAAGCACTTGATTGCTTGCATTTCCACCCTTGCTTCAGCTGCCTCCTACCATCTCAATTCTGACTTTGCCGACTGGCACGTTCCATCTGGTACAATCACGTCACCCGACTGCACGTCAGACACGTATCCTCACGCGAAGACAGCGCGCACCATGCCGGTCGATGCTAAGCTTGTAGCACGACTTTCGTGAACTGAATTTCCACACATGGACGTACATGCGGTCTGCAACTCACGCGAAATGCAAGAATGCAAGAACATCCTCCATCATCTGATAAGCTGACAGCGGCGAAGCCTGCAGGGCAAAACATGTCCTTTTCCACTCTGACTTGGCTTTGCTGGCCACCGTACGGCTACAAGTAGCTGATTCGGTTCAAGAGCTGTTGCTCGTTTGCTTCGAGACAATCACTCTCGTTGCCGACATCACCGAGTCACCAGCACGAGTGATGACCCCAGGGCAGCAACCGCCCCCGCCTCCAGCCAAGATCATAATGATGCAGCATGAAGGAATGCAGACATGAATGTAGTAACTCCGACACAATAGAAGAATGCCCAAACTCATGCACGGAGTTGTTCGCTTGCAAAGCTCCCGCCGCCAGTCAGGATCATGTTGCACTGGCCATTGCTATCCTCACTTGCAGGGCTGATGAACTCAGCAGCTTTGACTCGCTAACATGAACCCAAACAACTAAGAAATGGCTTTCGGGACTGTGGATTGTTGTGAGCTGCTCCATCGTCGCATGCTAGTCGTCCAGAACAGCCAATTAGCAACCAGCCTTGAATCCCAACTGCTTCCATCGATCTGACTGACACCTTATTGTGTTTGTGCTTGTTTCTTACCTGGGGCCGGTACCATACGAAAAAGCAGCGTAAGAGGCACCCTCGCGCCTGTTTCAACCTGGCAACATAAGAATATCAATGCAGTTGAAAGGCCGTGCCATCGCAGCGTTGCGAATGGTCGTGCCCGTAAGCACAGATGACATTCACCTTGCTGACACCACGCTCTGACTCTCTCAGGCCAATGCTGCCAGCCTCCTATATACAAAGCAACCCTCAGCCTCCTATATACAAAGCAACCCTCATCCGGTCCTGCTAAATTTACATCTTGAGTACCTTGCTTTAGTCACCTTTAGTCCTCCTTCCGCCGTGTATAACAAGACTCTGGAGACCAGTCTTTTCCCAACACGTGCCTGACGTCCTGGCGGCAAAGCTGATAGAAAGATGTCCTGTGACAAAGGGACGTTGACGTCGAATCTCTGGAGCTTGGGGCACTAGCTCGGGCGTTGAGTTCGGACAGAACCATAGGTATCGCTCGCGTGGGCACAAGGAATTGCTTGTGCTTGGCGGCCTGCGGGGGTTGGCAAGCAATGATACCGTGGCGACAAGTTTCGATTGGGGGCAGCGTTGCCAGATGCTTACAAGTACCTATGTTACCTTACCTGGCGTACCGTCTACGCATCAAAGCCCCGTAAGAAAGAAGCACATACACAAAGAGACAAAGCGTATGCTTGCATGCTCAAAGCGGAAAACCTAGTCGCAGGTTTGCTGAGCCTTGCCAGATGCCACTTAACAGCAAAGTCGCTAACGAGCCTCCAGCTGCATCAAGCTGGCACCCCCATGCAAACGGCAACCAGATGAAACCAACACAGGCACAGTACGGGCCTTCTGGCATTGTCCCGGATAGTGCTGTATGATCCTTAGATGATCCCAGGAGCGCTCGTCACTACCCGACGGGAACCAAAGGCACAGCGAGAAAAACATCATTGGCCATGTGCTCCTAACAATGGCATCCAACAAGCGATGGCCCGCACAGCTTGCATAGACGATGGCTCTCAATGGCTTATGTGATTAGAGCATCAACGCCGCTCCGAAACAAATCCTGCATCGGGCACAGGCTCAGTACGGTCTTTGCACGGCCTTGGGCCGCACGTTGTCGGAGCAGCTCCTTGGGAGTCGGAGCAAGCAATTCATTTCGTGTCAGAGTGTCGTGACAAGAGCCACATTCAAGCCCAGCAGCATCAGCACAACAATAAATACTTAACGAGAAAGGGTGATCAATTGCCAATGTGCGGTCCAGATACTTGCCCAGCCTGGTTCACCCTTTGCATAAAGTTCCTGAGATGGGACGCGTGCAAAGAAAGCGAAGGAGGTCGAGGGACAAAACTCAGATAGCTTTCCTCCGGGATACAAGCAGGCACGATCGACTTCGGCTTGCAGAAAATTCGCAGATTTTCGAGGTGCAATAAACAACAAGCACTTGCATTTCTCCGGGGCCAAAGTCGATTGGTGAATTGTCCAAGCAGTAACCTGCTAAGTGGAGGCGAAGAGCTGTACGTTCCCTTGGCCTCCACAGACGTTGCCCATCTTCCAGGACCCTCTCAGAGTCAAAGCTGTTGCTTCTCACAAAATTTTCGCGCTGCCCGAGCCGGCCATGCTCTGACTGTTACAAGGCACACTACTGATTACTGTACTGTAGGCTGTGTAAATGAAATATGAGGGCTGAAGATGACGCCGCCCTGACAGAGTCCCGGTGTCGGGGAGGACGACCATTTCCCCTTGCAGGCGTGGTCCTCCAGCATCGCCTCCGAAGCCTTCGATATCCTTCGTTAGCAGTGGAATCCATCACCGTTGCATATGACCGTTGCGGTGACTAATATGATCCCAGAGCATGTGCCGCCCAGGGTCGATTTGGTTTGTGTCCAAGGCCTCAAATGCGAGAACTTGCAACATGTCAAATTTGCAGTCACTACACCACAGTGCGCACGTGTATGTACATGTGCGCATTGCATTTCGGCATATCACATCAGCCTTGAACTGTCTATGTTGATCTCCGTGGCGAAATCTCCATTTCTACATATATGTACATATTATCTTACCTCCCGTCTCGTCGTCCTCACAACGACAACAGCAATGAAGGAAGGCAGCAGCTGTGAGTTCTACAGCACTCTGCACGTGGCTAAGCGCGGGGCGATCACCTCCAAGTCCGCTTCCGGAATCTCGTAGTGGTAGTTGTAGTCAGGCATCCTTACGGCATTCTGACAGGACTGCATCGCGCCGCATCTCGCAGGTGCAACTGAGTGGCCAGTACTGGCGGGTGTTGCCAGGTCTGTTGGGGTTCCTTGGCTGTCCAGGCACAAATGCATCTTCCGATCAGGTGCAGGGCCCACACTTGCGTCCGAGGGTCTTGTCTGCATTAAACTGTTGGCAGCCATACGCCTGGCCGTTGACCGTTGCCAGTGGAGCCTGCGCGGTTTGATCAATCAAGTGACATGGCTTGCTTGTTGAGGCTGGCAGCGGCACCTCACTGGTCTGCAGCCGGCAACTGAATTTCCACAATGCCCTCAATTGCATCTAAATAAAAGCATTTATCAACATAAATACATGTACATATACATACATCATAATGTTGAATGCATGGTATGTCAACAGTAACAACTACATAAAACTGCATAGACATAAGTATACACACGCATCTTAGCTTCTAGGTATGTGTCTGTTGTATGTATACCTATACGATATTCGCCTCGGCTTCTGGCCGAGAGGCGTATGGAACAAGCAGACCAGGTTCCCCACTTCCCACCCTGTCCCCCCAACGGAAACTTTCTGTACAACCCCCCCCCCCCTTTCCGCTTGGACGCAATCCGATGCCGCGGGGTTCCCGGCTACTCCTCCCACAGGCTCCACGCCAAAAGGTCCTGGCCTGCCCCCCCTTCAATGCCCTTGCCTTTCCTTCGTCTGCGATGCAAATGTTTTTTGTCTTCAGCTATCTCTCTCCCCTTTCTATGGAGTCTAGGGGTCTAGGGGTTAGGGTTTAAGGATGGGCTTAGGGTTAGGACGAACCACGAATCCGGATCATACATAGGCAGCCTGCATTTGGTCGGCGCAGGCTGCATATGGATCGTCGTTGCCCAAATCGTGGTTTCCAAGAACCGACAGCCACGGCACCTCTCAAACATAGGCATGGAACAGGCATGCATGACCACAGGGCTGTTACTACCAGAAATTGAAAGACTGCTGAACACCTGTCAGTGCCCCATCTCAGGCCCTCATCCGACGGCCTGGTACAAAGGGCTGCCGGGATCATTGGCGCCGTAGAGTGATGACCAAGAAGCTTCCCAAGCACCTGATTCGCAACACCAGCACTGGCGGTCGGAGGCTGGAGGAAAAGAATGTAAGGTCGACAAAGAAGAGCAGCAAACGTCTGTACCAACATCGAAACCGCCTCAGCAAAACATACGAAGGCCCGTCCCGGCCTGGTGTTACTCCGCTCCAGTAAAAGTTGTCACCGACGGACGCAATGAACAGCCTTGCTTGGCGGTACAGACAAGTCGTTGCCCTGCACTTGACAGGCTGATCCAAGCGAAGACACTTCCGAATCCGAACTGGCCAAGCCACAGTTTTTTCCCTTGTTGCTGTTGGCGAGAAACGTAGGCCTTCCTCACTGTCAATTGCGCTTACTACAGAGGGCAAACTGTCGCCTCCTTTCTCAACATGCTGCGTTGTTGCACAAACTCCGAGATCCTGTTCCTGACAAGCTACAAGTGGTCAGCCACTGCCCGCTGACATTGGCCAGGGGAGTCAGCTCGCCCCCAGTCACCGATCATCAGGAAGTAGTTCTGACTTCCTTGGCTTTTGCCAGGATCATGTCTAAAGAAGGCGAGCGCCCCTTTTGTCCGTCTCTTTGCCACTGGGCTCATGAGAGCTGAGGCTCGCTGGCCATGTGGCTTGATGCCTAGTGGGTTAAGACCGTCGTAGTTGTTGATGTACGGGCCTGGCATGGCAAGTGGATGCCGAGTGCTTGCAGGGGATGATTTTTCAGAGACAACACGCAGTCGTCGCGCTGCCTTCTTCCCCTAGCCCGTCGCGACTGACGACCTAAGGACCCCAAGAAACGACTATAATGCAATCTTAACTCCGACTCCGACTTCCACATCCACCGACAACCCCGACCATTATTTAATGACATGAAATGACAGCCACCACCACTAATTCGACACATACAGATGCGAGGACGAGGTCAGCAACGCCGTACTACCGCGACTACTGCAACTCCTCCGCCTATACAACGGTTCTCATGCGCTTTCCGAACCCCAGGGCTGTCCCCTTACGAGGTTGCACAAAATGCGCACATCCCGCCTCCAAGGCGCCGCAAAGCCGTGCCATTGCTGCAGCATTCCAAGCCCGGACCACCTTTCAATGCATAGTGAAATGCATCAAGTCAACTGCCGACCGAGTCACGTCGAGGTCGATCCAAGCACAAAACACTCCATGCTTCCCACCGATGAAGCAAGTTGTTGCGACTCTTCTTTTTTGCGGCATAAACTCAGTACTTCATCTGCCTGGTGGGCAGCAGTCACCGGAGAGATGCGCGCAACCTCCGTTGAGTTGTGTCTGCAACCACGGCCAGAAGCGCTTGTCACTGTCAACCGCTAACTCACAAATCTGGGGCTGCTCGACAGGGCGTACGTGTCAGATGTTGAAGTAGCTACTGCGAGAGGGCAAAGCACCATGGAAAAGCTTGGAAGTTAACCCGTCCGGAACTCTTCCTGCACGGAATAGTTCGGCCACCACCCCTCGTTCCCCCGAACTATTTCCACCCGGAAAAGGAGAAAAGCAAGGTTTAGGGGGTAATTGGGGCCTAAAACTCCAAAACAAACAAAAGAATTTGGAGAAGTTGAGGATGCAGCGCACTCAAAACATTCTGATCGAAGGTTGACCCGAACCCGATCCAAGTGGTTTCCTCTGCATCTTGGTGGAATTCATGTGGGCCTTGAAGCCGTGGTATGATGTTCTTTGAAACAGCATGCACAGCTTAAAGAAGTGAAACACTTGGCAGGGTGCAATGTAAACACAGTGATAGGCATGATGTTTTAACACATGCCCGCACTGCCGCAATGAAAACACAACAGTCCGCAGATGAGTGCGGTTGATTGCTCAGCTGTGGGTGTTGACTTAGAAGCTAATTCGCGGCCAGAACAATCGACTTTACATGTTTCTTGTTTGGGTGAAAGCTGAGTCCTGAGTCGGTAGAGCAGCAAAACGAACCTAGGATTCCTCCCTTCGGCTTTGTAAAGCACGAGTACGGTTGCAATGTTTGTTAATTGCAGGGGCTGTTAGGGCAGGGGGACGGCCCCCTCCTTCGCAAAAACAATGATCGCAGAGCCCTCCCTTGCTGGTGGCACAATTGCTACTACATGGGTTCCACGAGCAACGGTTGCACCCCCGCTAAACAATTCTTGCGGGGAATGGTCGGGTGATGATGGGCATTCAAAAACCGACATACTCCGCTTGGTCCATCTTGGGTCAAAGGGTCCAGGATGGTCCGCGCACGCAGAGCTGATAGCTCCAGCACGCACAGCGAAAGCGACCATCGCAACGGCGAGGGACGTCCTCCCAAGCTGAGCGCAGTTCTGCAAAACAGAACGTCCAGGTTTGTGCGCTGGCTGGTTCAGGAGGATAGCCAACGCTGGCCTCTGAAATTGGTCATAGGTGTCGAGGAAGGCGAGCGCCGGGGGGGAAGGGGGGGGGGGGCATAGCGGAAAAGGGACCCGGCTAAGCAGGCTCCCCACGTCAGCTCAGGCGAAATCACTTGTGGCAGACCCGCAATACAATCGTAACACCTGTAATTGGGCGTGCAAGGCTTTTTGAACTAATTGCTTTCCACTCCAGCTCCCACACGACTACGTCTCAACCGTCCTGAGCGCGGCCATAGCGTTGCGGTGGAGGCGAGATGCTGTCGGAAAGCGATGATTAAATGAGCAAATCTACTCTGGCAAATGCCTTGGAGCCCAAATATTTGCACGAAGATCCTGCCAAGAATTGCGTCAGATGTACTGACTCAGCGAGACGCGAGACTGGCTGGAAACGATTTCTCCGGCATGCTACTTGCCACATGTTCTTGCCTGCAAGTTCCTGACTGAGTACAAGCTGAATTCAAAACCGTTGAAGCAAGTCCATCAGTTGGGACCTCCCTGCCGAACAGTCCCGAGCTAATGCACAACAACTCCGATTAACTCCGGCCGTCAATCCTGTCTGCGAACTGGTCTTCCTGCACTGAGGACCGCGCTTGTGTTTCAGATCCTTGCTGCATTGAGTCACGGCTCCCTCTAGGCCTTAGAGATTTGGCCAACAGCGCTCGCGGTACTGCAAGATTGAAAGCATGCGTGGGAAATGGTGGAAATCTACTTCCAAAATGGCATTTGTGGGGTCATCTGTGGGCCTCCTTTCAGCAAGCAGCTTTTTGCCAACTTTCATCACTGTGCCATGTTGAAAGGGTTGGGGTGAGGGGGGCCTTGACTGTGTTTTGAAGAGGCTGGGAAGGGGGCTTGATTTCCACAGCAAGTGCTAGGAGACCGAGTTCCTGCAGCAGCTTAACCTGCTTGAGAACATAGCGAAGGTCACTTTCCTGCTGCGTGATGGAGGCCCTCCACCCCCGTAGAGTCTTAGCAAAACGGACCAAGGTGGCGAGCCTGCCCGCGAACGGCGGAGTCGCTGTGTTCCCGAATTAAAAAACATTGTTTTGTTATTTCGGGAAGCCTAGGACTCCACGGCACTCTATTGGTAAATTGCAATTTGCGAGGACTCCGCCGACTCCGCCGAGGCTTGTCACGCCGACTCCGCCAGAGCTACAGTAGGTGCCCCTCTAATCTTGATTAGCGACGCCGCGTAAGTGGGCAGGGGTAGAGTTGCGGGAAGAGCACGTGACTATTCGCTGGAAGTGTGTCAGATAGTAGAAGCAGAAGGCAGTGTGTGCGTGAGGCTTGCAGCTGTGATTCTGTGACCTCCAAATCTGGGGTCGAAACATCTAGGCAATTCTGGCTTCGTGTGTGTGGGCCTCCCCTGTGCAAGTTTCTCTCATGTTGATCACTTCCACAAGAAAGCTGCCTGCGGAGGTCGTGGTTCTCAGTAATTGCTCTTTCCACGTTGAGTGCTTGTCTGTGGGCCAGAGTCGCCTGAGTGTAGCAGTCTGGAAAGCGCCAGAAATAGAAGAATTCGCGGCCCCAAAATTGGGGCCGCCAAACGGCCCCAATTTTGGGGTCGCAGTTTCACCCCCCCCCAATCTAGTCCCAAATTGAATTGTGGGAGCTGGGTCCATTTCGCGGCCCCATTTTTGGGGCCGCGAGACGGCCCGTTTTTTTGGCCCTTGAATTTGAGCTTGTGGGCGCAAGCAACCGGATCGCGCCTGCCCTTTTTCTAGTAACTTTGGGCAGCGTCGCGCTGAGCGTGCGGGGGCTTGTCCGAAGCAGCTGCACGCTCGTCTTTGTAATGCTGCAGTTAGGCAGAACTGCAACTGTGCAAGTTTCTCTCATGTTGATCACTTCCACAAGAAAGCTGCCTGCGGAGGTCGTGGTGCCAGCTGACTCGACCCAAGCAGCGCCGTCTGGCTCTGAGAGACGCGCGTATCTGCTCAGACTTCGCTGTCTCGACCCTCGGCATGAAGTGAGCAATTTGAATGCTTCCCACTCTTCGGACACCTGGTTTCATGCCCTTCTACAGATACATCCTTAGCCTTCTGCAAGGAAGGCCCCTTCTGATGATGCACTCTGGCCACTTGACTGCACAGCATCTGTTGCCGAGAGCCCGGTGTTTGGCAACTGAGGCCTTTCTTGAACCCTGAACCACAATAAGCGTGCCCATAACTAGACGCCTTTAACATGAGCCACCGGCTCTGCCAGAAGTCTCCGCACGTCCTCCATTTGCATACGCGCCATCCTCGCCGCACATGCAGCACCACACAGTAAAACCTCCAGTCTATGCGGCCGAATGCCAATCCATAGTGAACATCGATCGGTCGACTTAGGCAAGACAACTGAAGCCTCGGTGCTAAAAAGAAGCTTCAAGGCCCCGGACGGGATAAGGGAGCCACGCTCCACGGAGAGGTTGGCACCGGTGACACACATGCGCACCTCAAGCTCGCCTTGGACTGCTCGGCTTGGACTTCAGACTTTCGGCCAGGATCCGAAAACTTTTGAGCTTCTCCAGCACGCAGCATGAAGCGTTTTAAACGTGTTTTGAAAGCTTTTGAAGCCAAGCGCGCGGCCCTTGACATGGGGGACAATGATCTCACAGAGACCATTTCCTCCACTGCGGACGGCCAGGTCATTGCGCCTGCAAGCAAGCTGCAAGAATACGCTGAAAGTCAACTTGTAGGATCCTGTACTGAACTACAAGCACATACTCCGTAACTTCGTGGCACAGAGGCCTCCAAATATTTGCCACGCCCATGTTCTTGACTGCCTGCCACATCAGCAAGGCCATTTAAAGCCTTGTTGTGTTCCTTGCTCGGCCTTGCTCCGCCTTAGGAATGCTATGGGATGCTACAACAGTGGGCTACTGGTGTTGCAGGAACTGGCGAAGCCAATGTTGCAGTTGCCACTGCCTTCTTCTCTAGAACCAGGCAGGCGTCCTCAAGCCGAGGAGCCAGATGTGCAGAGAAACTTTCAACATGGCCTGTGAACAGTTGAGGACCCCACATCCACAGCGTGCACTTTGTTGGCGACCTGTCGGGGCAACCAGAAAAACACAGGAGCCAAGTTCAGCTCTCTCGGCCCTCCTGCCATCTCCTGCCTCTCCTTGGAGTTTGGCTGAAAAACCGGCAACAGCAACCGCGAGAAAAGACCTGTCCACATCTGCCCACCTTTCCGGCAGCCATGGCCTGCACCGAGATGACAAGATGGCTTTGTGTAAGGACTCGACAGCAGAATTCGGTGTCAAATCGTGCTCGACCGAGCGATTTGTGACACGAATGTCAAATAGTGCTCATCTTGGACGCTTTGTGCCACGAAAGCCTTGTTTCGCAAAGTCATGCCAGGCTAAACTCGCACAGAAGCCTTCTTCTGTTGCGTGTCAATGGTGGTCTTGGCTGCTTCCTCCACGTCATCCTGGCATTCGGAAGTCTTCCTACTTCCCTCATGCACCTGCAGGTCGCTTAGTCTCAGCAGCTCGACAAGAGACGAAGCCCGAGAATGCCCCCAGCTGCCAACATGCAAACACCAGCGCCTGCACATGCCTGCTGCAGGACCCTGTGTCCCTGTTTTTCGGCCCCCAACATGGCGCCTTCAGTTGTCGGGCAGCGAAGAGAGCGCCCATGTTTGCGCTTGCTCCCTGCCGCTTCACCAAGAGCCTTCGACGGAACATTCGGCTTGACAGCAACGAAGAGATGAAGAGAGCGGTTTTTAGTATCTGTTCGTCTTCAAGTTGTGGATCTTTGCAAATGCTGTGCAAACGCCACGATGCCTGAGTCTCATCAATGCAGACAGACCCGTTTGCTGGCGAACCGGGCATCTGTCCGCTTAACACTTCAGTGAATTGCAGCAACACTGGCACGTCTTAGGCAGAGTCTTCTTCCACAAGATGTCCACATCCTGCAAGGATGACGACGCATTACTTTGGAAACTTACCGTCTGGGTATAGCGCAACCAGGGTATGAGGCTTGAGGTCGACGGAATGCCGACGAGATCACTCTCAATACGCCGGACAACATGGTCTGCAAGCACCAGGGAATATGTCCTAACCCTAAACCCTCAACATGCAATCCGGGCTTGGAACTGAACAAATGGTCCAGGGATTGGGAGATGCTTCTACAGAAACAGATTCAAGGAGATCACGAGGGGCCGTTCAGGGGTTTAGGGTTTAGACAGGAAGCTCCATGCACTTGTGTGCATCAGCCTAGGTTTTTCGAACAGACTCCTACTAAACTATGACTACATATCAAATCTCTCATGTATGGGCCCTGATCTGACGTCATGTAGACCTAGACTTTACAAGAGGCTGGAAAAGTCATAGCGGCTCCTTGAAAGCACTTTTAAATTTTCCTCTGACGTGCTCATGGTGTCCTCAGGCTTGTCCCAGTCTAAGGATCTAAGGATTGCAAAATTGGTTTTGGCACGAAAAGCTGTACAACACGTGAGCGCAGGTTTCTTACCTGGGAAACCTGCAGAACCTTCATTCGAGCCTCAGAGGGGTCTTCACGAAGGCCCGAGTCTGGCACCAGCCGATTCAGAGCAAGCTTTGCGCGGATTAGTGGGATGGCAACGCCATGCAAGAGCTGGTGCAAGCCTGCATGTGCGATGTTCCATGCTGCTGGGGGGGATATCGTCGAGTTTCACAGCTTGCTAACATTGTTACATGGTGATTTGCGTCCTCTTTTCCGTTATTTCTGGGAAAGGACATGGAAGCTTCTCTCTAAGGTTGTAGCTTCCCTTGCCTATTGTGGCAATGGCGAGAAAGCGTGGCCCACTTTCGGGAAACCCCTCCAGCGCAACAATCCCTGGACCGCAAGCAAATTCAAATTGCAGCACGTTGAAGCACAGACTTCTGGTCTTCCCAGATAGCCGAACCCACACAGACAAGAGTAAGAGCGTATAAATCTTTGGGCTGCCATGATGGCCTTTTAGGCCTGTCTGCTGAATCTGCTCAGCACACAACACATGCTGACCTTGATCGGGTAGGACGAGTCAAGGGTGACTTCGTTCTTGTCCAGATACCAAGGCTAGACGGAGTTCCGCTCCATCCCGGCAAGGCGCGAGCGCACAAAACGAAACGCTGCTGGCATGCCGAACATCACGACAGAAGGAATGCAGTAGGCCACGAAGAGCCTGGGAATATTACTTGAGGAGGGGTTTGGGCACGACTGGCGACTGTTTAGGGCTTGGGTTTAGGGCTTAGGGCTTAGGGTTTAGGCTTCGAGATTCTGAAGCCAAAACACAGCCTGCAGTTGTTGAAACTTCTAGGCCAAGAGACAAGAATCCTCGGAGATTCATGTCCTTGGTGTACTGATTCATCCAGCGGCCTTTGGGATTCAACACAGTCGCAGCCTGGAGGGCCGCCAAGAAGCAAAGGTTCATCACCAGGACAATTACAAGATTCCTTGGCTGCTAAGGAACTTCATTTAAGTTGCCATAATGGGGATATATAGGGTTTAGGGTTTAGACTACCATACTGGGGATATATGGTAATTAATATGACTCCCCAACTATTGTAACTTCATTTAAGTTCCCCAACAGCAACCCAGCTTCAGCAGCATGTCGCACACCTTGTATCGTCTTGGCCTGCACAGCGTACGCGTGTAGCATAAAGAAAGTTCTTGCAGCACATGTAAACTGACGTAGTGCTATAATATTGCGTAGGCCAGAAGGCTGATGGTTTTCTGCCAATGCAGAATAGGATTTAGGGTTGAGGGAATAGGGTTGACCCCGGTTGCTTCGTGGAACTCAAAAGTCTTCACTTCTGATCTACTCAGAGACGGGGTCAATCAAGTCATGCAAAGCATCAGCAATGAAATTTGTTTGAATACCAGTTTCATATCACTATATCACTTGTCTTAGCGAGGCATAACGGCTTCAAAGGCCATGCCGGGCACGTGCTCTTGTTCGCATAGCTGGCCCTGCGTCCAAAACCCGAAAAATCCTCACGGAATCCAGCTGCCCTAAACCCTAAACCGTCCGGCTGAGATTCCGGAAGTATTCTTTGATTGTAGGATCCTAGGCCTGCAAAGTTGCATAATAGTCATAATGAATAGTAAGAGTAAGTTAGTCGTAGTGATAGTAGTAGTATTCGTAGTAGTAACTGTTATAGTTATCGTCACAGTAATAGTCAGAATAGTCATAATAACAACAGAAGAATTAGCAATCATCATGATAAGAGTAACAAGAGTAGTAAGAATAATAGAACTAAGACTAAGAACCTAAAAAGGAATGTAGTGCTACAGGCTGAGATGGTTCGGCTCAAGAAAAATCCTAAACCCTAAGCCCCGAAATCCTAAATCCTAAGCCCTAAACTCAAAACCCCAAGCTTTCCCATATAAACCCTAAACTCTAATAAGGACCTCTGTCCGGCAACATGCCCAGCCTGCAGAAGTAGCTGGAGAGGTAGAGGCCCAATTTCGCGGTTGCAGGCATGACACCCAGCCAGTAGCCTGTGAATTGAAACGCCCACCAGCTACCCCAGCGGTGGCCCGCACTCAAATCCATGCCTGTCCAGAAGACTGGACAGAACACCACCAGGAAGTAGATGTAGGGGAAAGTATGCTGCCCGAGTTCGTTGTCAAAGGTGCTGCGAAGCAGGGGCACAATGAAGAGCTCAAACTGTTCCACGCTGCCAAACCAGTTGCAAATGCAGCTCTCCACAATCTCACGATCACAAGGCAAGACCCTGCCGTCACTACCAACATGGCCCAGCATACAGCAGTTGCATTTTGTGTCTGCTAAACGAAAATTCTGCAGCTGCCTGCGCAAGATCTCGATCGAGTAGTGGTATGATCGGAAGGAAGCGACGCCCAGGTACCAAGTTACAAAAAACGAGCCAGACAGCACGTAGGACATGACGTGCCGGTACTTCACATGCATCATTTCAAGCACAAGCAATGACAGGGCCGAGCTTCCAGCATAAGTAGCCAGGGCAGCCTGCAATGCAACGAACCCGACGACACAAACGTCAGGATCCACTGGAAGTCATATTCGCCATGGACTAGATTATTACCCCCCCCCTAGAACACCCTTATATAGTCCCTTACTATAACCCTAATACAATCCTTATATAACCCCTATATAGCCCTACACACGGCCCCAGCGCGCCGGATGATGCGAAACATGATCCGAAACGGTGCTCCCATTCATCCCTCTGTGAACCTAGAAACCTCTCAAAAAAGCCCTTGTCCCCACCTTGCCCAGAAGGGTTGGCTTGATAGCCGTGCGGGGTTTACCGCTTCGGTGCGCAAAAGCGGCAATCTCAAACCTGGATTTCACTCTCGTGTGACTCACTGGCACGTAAGAACATGAAAACAGGCATCTGGGACAGCCCCTCGAGTATAGTTGGATCCCTTGTGAAGGACAAGTGGAAACGGTGAAGCCTGGACAGGCAGCCGAGCGACACACACCAAAGCCTCTCAATGTACGTTTCGTCCCAGAGGATCAACAAGGTCTTGCAGCTGTTCAAAATGCCGCCCAAGCTCAGGATTCCTTCTTGCTTGTTTTTAACATTCACCTGGTCAATGCAGCAAACGTCCAGAAAGACTTTGGTACTGGAGCGCCACATGAACAGCGTCAAGACTGCGACGAGGGTGCCAGTCACCTGTGCTGCGTTTCTGAAGCCGTCAACCCTTGAAAGCCAAAGACGTCGTGACACAGTGACACAGTCATCCCTGACTACTTCCGGAACCCATGGCTGGCTTTTTGAGGCATGCTGAGGCCGAGGTGGTTTAACGAGAGCCATCAAGGTTGGAAAGCTGACTGTGGCCAACCCAGATGCGGTGCAGAGGAAAAGCATGCCAAGATGTTCGCCTCTTCTGTTGATGTCATCGCTGAGGCGAACGAGTAGAAAGCCATAACGCATGAAAATGCAGACCATGGAGGCAGCCAGTGTGCCAGTTAGACTTGCTGCGACACCATTCTTCAGGAAAAGCAAGCACAAAACCTTCTGGTACGGTCTTTTCTGCCAGGAATGTGACCAAAATTCATCAATGCGTTTAGTGGCCTTGCTTTTCTGGTGCAACCTGACAAGCTTCCGCACGCTGCCACCCCGAAATGCACTGCCCACGAAGTCCAGTGCCTGACATGCGTAGATGGATCGGACAAGCTCCGGGCGGACCACCTTCAGGGAGCTCAGGAACTTGCCGGTTTAGGGTTTTAGGCCTCCAAATGCCCCAAACATCGGAAGCTTCCAGATTAAAACAGACTGAGACTCACTACTGGGGATGTGGGAGGGGCTTCTACAGTCCCGAGTACCTTTTGCTCTGACACCCACTTGGCTAGAAGCTGTTGCTGCCGCTGTTGACGCATCTTCTCAGCCGTCTCCTCCTGCTGACGATCTTCCACAGCATCCCCGGTCCATTCTGCAGTGGCGGCTCCGATGGTTTCTGCCATCTCTGGGCAGCCAATCTCGCAGGGTGTTAAGTCGGACCCTTCTTGCTAGGAAATGCTGGCTTTAGATTGTAAATTTGGCTAAACATGCCAATCTCTAGTTGGGTGATACCTCTGAGCCACAAAATCACGGACAACACCCGTGCATGTTGTTGGTGGAAGCGACATGCGTAAGCCTGAGCTGATCTGAGCTCTGTCCCAGTATGCAGCCAGGTGCCAGGTGTCCTCTAGAAGGGCAGTGCAGTCAATGACCTTCCACGGAGACACCAGATGTTACTACTGGTAGATGTCATTAGCCAAAGGAGGCCTCCACTTCACTAATATGGCAAAGGCAACAGTCCACATGCTACCATGCCAAACCCAAAGAAGAATCCATAAACGAACATGACTGCACCCATCAAGAGGAACTTGTGGGTACTCTCATACACCATCGCAGGCTAATTTCCGCAGTCGCAACCCCCCGGCCTCCCCCACCAAACAAAAAACTTGTCAAGCGCAAACGCCTAAAATTCAGGAAGTGCGGCCTCCTCCTCCTCTGGCGCAGGGCCAGGAAGGCTGAGCACCACCTCCTGCGCGGCGCCCTGGCAATACGTCGGACTCACTGTGGTGGGAGTTTGGCCGTGTCAAGGCAACGGCTACACGACATCAGATTGTCCTTGTCTGCTCCTTTTTGTACTTTTTCAGGGCAATAGAATTTCTTGAGATCCCTTGTACAGCACCTTGCCAGGCGAAGGATCTTTCGCGGCCATCCCATCTCCCAGGGCCTCAGATTGTCGACGGTTAGTTTAGGACTGGAGGTGCGACACGTCATAAAACAGCCGGAGGATACACGACTGCTGAGCAGGCAGGGGCCGAGCAGGCACATAGTCCTGTTGAAGAGGCACGCTGCCTCATGCACATAAAGCACGGACAAGCAGAGCAAAGCTACCACGGAAGGGAACCGGGTCTATGCTCCAGTCCACTGGGTCGTTGCCTGTTGCAGAGGCTTCGCCAGTGGAGAGGCTGCTGTGCGTGAGTCCCAGCTTGATCTGCAAGGAAACGGCACAATTCACTTCTGGAAATAGGATGCCCCAGGCTTTCTCATGCTATGCAGGTTTCATTTCGGAAGTCGCTTGCCCAGCTCATCTGCGGAGCGCCCCTAGATTCAACACAACAGATTACGACCACTTCGCGCGATTGCTGCTGCTCGGCTTGCCTCACCAGAAGCCGCAAACAGCCTCAGGAATCGGTCCAAACAAAACATTCAGGGCCGCCTCTACACCTTGGTTTGCCAGCGGCCACTGAGGCCGCTCATGCCCTCTTCCCTGCTTCAGTTCTCTCATTTGCGACGGACGACGTGTGTGTGCCCTGGAGATGGGTTCGGGAATACAAGGAGGAAGCGTGAACCTCGATGAACGTCGGCCACTGAGTCCGAACTGCTCGTTGCCTTCCCTGCTTTGCACGTCTGGGAGGCGATAGGAGACGCGCATGCAAACCCGCTGCCCATCTTTGTGCTTTTGCATGCACAGTCTGAGACAGATGTAACTTGTGCTCATGGGCCCATGGGATCCAATGGGCCTGTACTTGCTTCTGGTGTTGATTGTGCTCGCAATGGGCTTAGCGACAGGGTCTGTGCTATCTCAGATCAATGCACGAGCCACTATGTACGTTACAGCCTCGTTGCCTGGTCCATCTATGTTCACAGGTGCTGTGACTTCCACAAGGTTGTTCTTCATGTGCCTTGCTTCGCGCGACTTCAAAAATGATCGTGTTGGCTTGGCAGGGTCTCTGTCAGGTCAATTCGGCCGTCGCATGATGTCGGGTGCCTCTCACCCAATCTTAAAACTGTGTGCGAGCACTACTTCTGCTTCTTCTGCTGCTAGACTCTGCGTCCCTACTGTGGTGAGACATGGCCTCTTTCTTTCATTCGGCACAGCTTTGGCAAAGGAGTCAAATGTGGGATGCTCTCCCTCTCTCACTTACTGCGCCATTGCAGCAAAGCTCTCCTGCTCAACAACATGCTCGCACTGCGAGGTCGGTACGTGGGCGCTTCGGCAGCTGTTGGACCTCAGCGCAAGAATTCTTGTACTGCTCAGCTCATGAGGAGGTCGCGTGGTGTACTGGCAGCTTCCATCACTTTTGCTGTCCAATGCCGCCCGATCTCCTGCACACTTGAACATGCACTACGCCCCCTGCGAAGCTCCTCAACAGCATCGTCGGAAACTAGCAGTGTCTGCAGCCGCTTTCGTCTTGGCCGTTCCATGCTGTTCCCCTCCATGTGGCAACGGCTGCGTGCTCGGAGCGACTAGTGACTGGCCAGGCGTCACTGACGAAGAGCACCCATGTGGACAGCGAGCGCATGCTTTCGGCGACTCACTCAATGAGCTCTGACATCACGGCTCCTTTTCAGAGTGTCGGTCTCGCAGCACCTTGATGGCAAACCTTGCCAAGATGAAGCATGTCAGAACGAAACGATGACTGGAGCTTATGTCTGGAACGCCTGCCACAACAGAATAAGTCAAACTCAGCTAACATCCCCAAGCTTGTGAACATGTGCAATGTGAGCCACACAGTGGCGGCAAAAGCTGTCGCAGCGTATAGGCCCAGCCGAAGTCTCCCAGTCGCATCGGCTGCCAAGGCTGGAAGATACACAGAACCGTAGAGCAGCTGCCAGAGGGCAGCGCTTGCAACCCCCAGTCCGAAACCAACGGTCACCTTATCGCATGCATCGGCATAAGCACATCTTCGGCAGTTGGACCATGCATGGGGCGTTACATGACCACACCAACAAGAAGCAGAAACTGATCCGCGCTCTACTCTCTGAATTTTGCGAAACGGGGGCCATCCATAATGAAGGCTCAGCAAGTGGCGACCCTGCCCTGGTACTACAGTGCCATGACACCTGTGCAGAGGTGTGGAATCCCAGCGTAACCCGGAGCCAAGTGAAGCCCATCCTTGGTGGGCAAAGGGGGAAGCGGGAAATCCAACGCACTTTAAGCATCTGCGTAAGGGTTATAAGATGTTGTAAGCAGCCGAGTCTGGGATTTAAATGCAACCCACGGACAGAGAAAAGCTTAGCAGCCGCGTGTCGCACTGCCCAGAATCCCAGCTGCGGCTAAGCTTCGGGAGACGCCTTGTCTTGCTGAACAGGCTCAGGATGCATCAATGAATTGCTTGGAAATCTGCATGCCTTTTTCCGCAACGGATTCTGCATCCGGACGTGCGTTACTCCTGCAGCTGAAGCTACGCCGCTACGGGCAGTGCATGTGTATGATGCTGGCAGAGTGCCACCGGGCCTGGTTGCCATAATCGCACTCCGGAGTCGTCGAAGGGAAGAATGAGGTCCAAGGCGGCATAGGAAGAAAGAAAGCCTTGCGAAGTGCATGATCATCTGCTCCAGCTGAAGAGAACGGGAGGCACCACCGATGCTCAACGTGCTTTGTACTTTTTCTTTCAGGGACTTTCCAAGAGCAGCCCCTGTTGAAAGGATTAAACTGCTTCTGCAGAAGAAAACTACTTGATGTGTCGATCGAGTTGCCCAGGCTTTGCGCATGCGATGACGGCATGCCAGGGTCCTGCAAGAACATGCGAACTCGAAGAGAAGGGTGCCAGGTGTTGCTTTTATGTGCAGCCCGACACACCATCTAACCTAACACTTGCATAGCCAACAGCGGCAGTTTTGTGCATCTGAACGGGTCCAACTTCGGCGCCCCTGCCGGCCGAGACTGCTTCAGTAGGATCCTTCGGATCAGGGCGGTACTCGGTAGCACTCGGCACGCCCTATCGCAGTACATGCTAAAAGACGGATGACACACTGCAAATCATGTTAGATAAGCCACCTTGCCAAACAGCTTTAAAAAACAATGCGACCCTTGTCAACTTAGGGTGCGGATTCTGCATGCTCAGGCTCTACAGCCATGCGACACCCAACACCATATCCCTACACATCTTCGGTTCAACGACATGGACTTGCAGCCCATGGGCTTCCACAACTTGCAGTTTGCGGCCGCCAGCACCGACCCCAGCAGTGCCCAGCAGGTGGCATCGTGGCGGCGCCACAGAAGCACCCCCAAGACAGCCCCTGCTGCATGTTGGAATGGGGTGGATGTCCGCAACTAGCGCATAGCTGCGCATAGCTATGCATACGTGACACCACGATGATAGCACTTCGTTACCATCCTGCCTGAAACGATCCACTTTGTGCCAGCATTGATCCGAGCGAGCACAACCCGAAGCGTGGGCATGGCGCAATACTTGCCAGCTTGTTGGACCTTTGACTTGCGACCATGGGGAAGGATGCTTTGAAGCCATGTTGACAAGAGTGACATAGTGGCGTGCTGGGCAGCTTCGCAACTTACCGGAGGGGAAACTGCTTGATCCAATAAACTGCGAAGAATGGCCCCTTCCCCGATCCACCATACTGAGGTTGTTGACCAACTGCATACGCTGCCGTCTGGAAAGCAAGCAATTCTCAACCAACGGTGCCAAGTTACAAACCCGGTATGCAGGTGATCGCTGAGCCAGGGACTGCCCAAGGGTCTGTTGACTTTCGGCAGAGACATCTTCGCCCTGATGGTTCACAAAGCATGTGGGGGTTCGGAGCTCCTCGTGAGGGTTTTTGCACCGTGTGCGTGGCATTGTGTACACGCGTTTGCAAAAATGAGGCTATTACCCCCGCCCCTCATTCTCTGAAACAACTCCGCACGTTTGACATATCTCTCCACCATGTATGATCATATTTGTCAAGTCGCCCAGGTTCCTAGATGGTGGTTGAGCCCATCTCAGACACCAATGAGGCTATTATAGGGTGCGTCACTCGTAAAATATGAGAGAAATCCTCCAAGGAAGCAATGCCAATTGAAGGGCCCGACCACGCTCTAAACCCCGCAGCCCTGCCCACAATGTGCCGCATCGTGCCGCCTAGGGCCTAGAACCAATTCTGATTTTGTTCGACTCAATCGCCTCGCGAATTTGAAGCATGTCCTTAATGTTCTGGGCACGCTTTGAGCGTCGAACAAAAAGGACTTTAAGTTGGGCAGGCAGCTGTTCAGACACCATAAGCCTATAAAGACTTTTTCGGAACTTCCTTCACTGCCTCTTTTGCAGCATCTTAGTAGGATCAATGTCCAAGGAAGCACACGAAAGATGCCGGCGTGGCAAAAGTTCAGGGCTGCCGCTCCATGGGAAATGCGTCATGTAACCGCGAATTCGGGCAAGATCCGCATATCCTGTCCAATTTCTTGAGAAGTTCAAGGTGCGGATCTGCACATTTCTCCGCATCACAACTGTAAATAGGACAGGCGCGCATCACTTTGTCGTGAAGGTGAAACAGCGACCCGCGGCCGAAATCCTGTCAGGCAAGACACTGGGGCCGTCGGGGTTACCGGCTTCGGTTGGGCTCAGCTGTGAGGCTCTGTTGTAGACAAGGCAAGTGATCTCTCGTCATGCTTTACTCTAAATATTTCTTTGAAAGGTGTGCCAAAAAAGAGAACCACTTCTCAAGGTCCTACATGCGGCTGAAAGAGGCGCCTGAAGCACGACTTCAGAACATATGTCCTCAGCACAGTTCATAGTTGATGTTCCGAGTGCGACTGTCAGATAGAAACCGCCATTCTTTAGCAATCAGGTTTGGTCATGACGAAAGAGTGCAGAGAAAAGGACTCTCCGGCGTGATTGGCATCACCCATGACTGCTCCCAACATTGGTAGAACGTGAGGCATTTCCTACACGCAACCCATGTAAAGTCTGGCAATTCCAAATCGACGAAACCATCCAAAGCAGCCCATGCCCTAGCCAAGCTTAGGGCGCCTTCACTGCCGCTCACAAGGGGAAGTTATGCAGCGCACCAACAGAGGCCCGTCCGAAATCCTCTGAAAAACCCATTCCAATGCTGAGAGCTGAGAGCTTGGCCCAGGACATCTCTCTTTTTCTCCTGTATCCGTGTCTCGGGTTCTTCGTCTTAGTCTTAGACTGCCTCTACATCAATGCGAACCATTAGAAGTACCAACGCTTTCCCGCTGTCGGTGCCGCTCACAGTGGAAGACTGCAAACCCAGTTCTGGACATGTGAACACTGCAAGGCTTAGCGCAAAACCACAGACACAAATCGCATGTTCAGCTTGCCTCTGCCGCCCGCCGGCGCAGCTTCTCGATGCGCTTCTTTTCCTGCCCACCCGGCTGTTGCACGAGTTCTGCGGCACAAAAAATTTGCCAGGCCCCAGACATGCCCCAGACTACTCCGGGTCCAACAATACGACCTTTTCCCAAACCGGCACGGTGGCATATGGCCCAAAAACGACAAGCACAGATGCAAATCTCCAAATGGCGCGGCTTGAAAAACATACCTCAAACCTTCCAAAAACAACAGCGAATGCAAATCCCCAAGTGGAAGAGGTTGATGCGACCACTCCGGATGCTTCCCCGCCCTGTGACGCTGCATCAGCGAGATCCGATGTGACGAAAACCTATCATCTGTCGACAGTCCTTCACAAAAACTTGAAAAGGCCTGGCATGTCTTCTGCTGGGCTAGGCATTTTTTTAGACATGGTCAAATCGCCAGAACATCCCGAGGTGCCTTGAGCACTTGCTGCCTGAGCCGCAGAAAAGATCGCAACGGTGCAAATGCATTTGCAGCCGCTTCTTGCTTCAGTTGTAAGAGATGCACCATGGCTTGGAGCAATAAAGACCGTCAGCAAGTACCAACTCATGACTTCACAGTTCCATCCCTGATGGAAGAGTTTTCTTTGCTGTCCAGGGCACTGCTCCTTTACGCGCTGCAGATGCTGAGGCAAAGGTGGAGGAGGTGGTTGGGTTTTCCTTGGCAGTGCAGCGCTTGCATGAATTACACCCTGACCTCGGGCCAAAGCCTTAGTCCGCTGAATGCTAAAACTCTTCTATGCTTTAAAGAACAAGTCGGGCGGACTCCCCAAATCCCAGCCCAACACTAGACCTGCTTGACAAGCATAGAGGATGGGGTAGTACGGAAATAGGACCCCTTTACATTAAACATTTTTCCGGCCGAGCCCAGTTTTGTTCGGGGAGACGGTTGCTTGTATTTTGGGCAAGGGAGCACTTGACTGCAGATCTACCACCCATGTCTGACCATTGCAAGGGTGCGCAACTTTCATTGCTACAAGATGCCAGAGTCTCTGCATGTCTAAGTTTGCACATCCAGCACGGACACCATTACGTGAGTGGGCGATGAAGACTTCTGTGCATCAGTTCCCAAGCTCGTCTCCTGAGCACTCCAAGGTGCTGCGCTTGCTTTCTCTCGGCGCGCTTCTCGCGCTCCTGTCTGGGGTCTTCCGGCACTAGTCAGTCACGTTCTTTTCTTGCTCCCCTTTTCGCCCTTATGTTCAATTCCTCATGGTTTTCCAAAGTGTGCAGACTCAGACGGCGAGTGGTAGACATGACAAACAGGGCAGGAATGCTCACCAACAAACGCAAGCGTGCATCAGCAAAGTACTGCAAAGTCCCCTGCGCCTCCTGAAATGCTTTGCGCTGAGCAGCCCTGCGCAGGAAGCAGATATGGGCAGAATTAAAAAAAGCTACTAGTACCAAACAAAGGTTTCATGCTGCCCTGAGAGTCGTAAAAAGTCAAGATCAACAATGCCCATCACATCTCTCCTTACGGCACACCAGAATAAACTTGGCCCAGCCTACCGGCAGCCCGAGCAACAGGATGCACTCATCATCTCGTTTTCAAAGCACACAGAAAATTTGAAAACCATTACAAACAGTTTCCAATTCCCAGAGCGGCTTCTCGGCTTCTTTCCTCTGGATCTTGTCGTGATCCTGACCGGGTTGTCGCCGGACTGCATGCCAAGGCCACAAGAACCAGAGAATGGTTCCGGAATACCATGAGGGCAGGATTGATTAAAAGGACTATTAAACGGAATACAATCTCGGTGCACCCCACTAACCTGAACATGCTGCGGAGTCGCGGAGATAACAGCACGTGCATGTTTACATGACCTGCATGACGAACTAATCCAGCCGCGTAGACTTACATCACTGTATGCAGACGCATGTTGTCTGGCTGTGCTACAGTAGGAGACATAAGGGGAAGGGATGGGAAGGGGCCGGAATCAATTGTATTTCTGGACAGAAAGAAGACCAAAAGACCAGCAGAGCAGAGGCTGAGAGCCAGAGGACCAAGAGACCAGACCAGAGTTGTCCAACCGACACATAGTGCAGTCCACGACCCTTGCGGAGGACACGAATCCAGGGGACCGCGAGAGCAAGGGAACACGACCAGAGAGAACCAAGAAACCAAAACCGGGGAAGTAGGGATTTATCAAAATCCGCTAAGAAAGGTCCCACACAAAAAGATCATCCCCCATCACCGCCTCCAATCTCTTCCGCTCCTGTCGCCGAGCCAACCTTGCGGTGCAGGGGCAATCAGTGAATGTCGGGTTTGGGGAGGCGTGGCGAAGCGACAATGCCTAGACACGAATGTCTGCACGACAGTCTGCCATGAGTCTACAACCCATCATGACAGGAGTCTTGTTTCACTTGCTCGAGCTCGTTGTGCTTGCTTGAGAGCCAGCATGCGCTCGACCCGTTTCCCGTTGCCGGTCCAGATCCTGCTCCCTTCAATGGTGCCCGTGATGGCCGTCGCCCGGGCCCTAAAAACAGCAGGCCCAAAAAAAACATCACAAAGCCAGTCGCAGCCCCTTCTTCAGCGAAAGTGGCACTTCTTTCCGCCGCATGTCCTCCCAGGGGTCGAATGCCTGCGGTGGCTTCTGGCCTCGGACACTTGGACAAGGTGCACGTCGGTGGGCAAAGATGCGCATTCGTTGCGATCTGTACTCGTCTTTGGGGCCACAGCTGCAGCTTAACAGCACCAGTCAGCTGTGAGCTACATAGTCTACCACTTCAAACTACCTCTTCACGTCACATGCGGAACACATCATGAGGCAGCTCCATCATGCCTTGCTTGACTGCCAGACATGATGATGTTCCGAAACCCGCCTAAGACTTACGGCCTCGAACATCACTTCCATCCTCTCAGTTCCTTACCCTGCGCATGCCTTCCGTCGGACGAATGAAGGCCGGGTGCTGTCCAAGGAGCCCTTCTTGAAGATTTTGCCACGAAGTTGCTCTGACTTGACGAACTTTTGCCGCACCCGTTTGGCCATGAGAACAGGATCCTCTTGAAAAACTCAGCACAACAAACCCCGACTTCTGCAAAGTGGAACTTTCGGGCAGCACCACCCAGAAAGCAAGTCCTTCTGGTCCACGTCGCTGCGGACCTTCGCTGTCTATGTGCCATACGGTCGCAACAGGTGTCTTCACTACTGCAGCCTGCTAAGCTCTGGCTACATGATCCTTCTGGAAGGGCCGGAAACGTGTTGTACCGCCGCTTGGCTGTGGAAGAGTGAAGAGCCCGCACGTTTGCCAAGATGCAATGTTGCCATCCATGTCGTCGACGGCATCCAGCAGCTCTGCTAGATGATCATTGAGGTCGACAACCTGCTTTAGGTGCATAATTAGTTGTGACGCTTGTAAGAACTGTAAGAGAGACAGTCACAACACTTCCCAAACTGCAGAGTCCACGAACCCCACCACACCACCAAGGGACGACGAAGTCAAGGCTTTGAGTAATTGTTCTCATGGATCCGCCCCGCCCCTCGGTTCGTAACTCCTTCTGGAAGCATTGCAAGAATTCACAACAATCCTTTCCTTTCCAGCTCTAGTCGTAATGCTGATGCAACAGTCCCCTTGGATAGGAGACAACGGGAGACATCCCAGTGTTCCAGAAAGATTCGCCATGTGGCAGCATTCTTCCCCTGCTGCCATAGAGGGCAAAATGGCAGGACCCTCTTACCGGCGTTTGTCTTCGCCTGTGGCTTCATCTTTGTCTTGGGCTTAGACTTGCTGAGAGGCTTTGCATCTTTCTCAGCCAAGCACACTCTGGCTTCGGGAGGCAACTTGCTACTATCTATGAAATACATGGGGTAATTTTCGGCACGATCACACCATGGGTCGACCGGGTGTTGGGACAGAGCTGCAAAAGAGCTTGCCATACCTACGGGGAATATGATATTGCAATCCTTCACAGCATCGCTTCCACAAAAGCTCCTGCCACGGCTCTGCAGAGTAATCCTGGATGTGAGGACAGTACTGTGCCACATGGTCATACAACTGCCTCAGCGTGAGAGTCTCAGAGCCAAAGAATTGATGTGACATGGCATCCTTTGCACGAGTCCGGTGCACGTACTCCATGTCGCAACAATTCTTTGGTTCTGAGACTCTCACGCTGAGGCAGTTGTATGATCATGTGGCCCAGTACTGTCCTCAGGCCTCTTATCACATCCAGGATTACTCTTGCAGAGCCGTGGCAGGAGCTTTTGTGGAAAACCATGTGTCGGATTGCTACATCAGGCGTGCCCTGCTCAGCTGACTCCTGTCGTCTGCGTATCTTCTTGGGTGGTGTCTGAACCGTTACTCTGCTCTGATCCCGCTGCAAGACGGAACATGTTGGCTGGTGTGGTGTGCACAATCACGACAACATCAACATCAACAATACTCTATCCCACTATGACTCCAGACCTCCTTCTGGTGCGAGTCGCACCACTTCAACCGCTTGTTCAGGTCCACATGCCTCGAACTCACCGAATACTGAAACTGGAAGATCATGACGGAAGTGGGTTCGGAAAGCACACTTCCACAACAGCCACATACCCCTCCGGCTTAGGTCCAAATATGCATACACTGCAACTCAAGATATCTCACATTCGCCAAGGCTCATCTGGTGCAGGTCGCTAGCTGCGGCCTGCCCCCGTAGGCGCTCCACCCCGCGGAAGAACCTCGGAATGGGCCGGCAGACAACAGATTGCAGATCAAGGAAGCCTCTCTCTTGTGAAACAATCCTCAACTGGTTCGGCGCTGTGACATGGCTGAGTTTTTGTTGTGGGTGCAACAGGCTACAGAAGCGAGACAGCCATGAGTGGGTCACCCAAGTGCGGCCGCGCCCACTTGTCCGTGTTGATCTCACCGCAGCTCTCATCATCAAGAATGCCAAAAAGCATTTCGAGGTCCTCTCTCGCTCGTGCGCCGTGCGCCCCTCACTACTTCACTCTTCTCATTGTGAGGAAGCACTTCTGCTAACTAGGGCACGGAGATGCAGACATCGTATTGGACTTGCTTAGTGCTTGGCGATTGTTCTTGCAGCGGGATGGTGCTGGAAGGAAGAACTCTCGATCCCAAGCAAACTCCAAGTGCTGGCAAGACGAACAATCCAAACATCTGCAGGAAACTCTGTTCGGCCCTGCCTTGAAGGGTATCTGGAGCAACTTCAACCGATCTTTCACCCTGTGGTTGCCTTGCACGCGGCTGGTGGAACAACTAAGCAGAGCCGCTGGAACTGAAATACAACGCATAAGACGTTCTGTTTCGGACAGCACATGACACAGCACACTGCGGGCCAAGGACGGAAGGAGGCTTGCAGCTCGTCCTGCACAAATGTCATATCTTTTTTAGTCAACTCGTGGCCAGGATGTTTCGATCTGAGACTTCAGATATCGTGGTTATTTGTGGGAAGATGCGGAAAGGCATTTGCAGCATTTGCAGTTGTTTCAGGCTCGGGTGGCCTCTCAGCATGTCAGCAAACCCTCAGGCAAATGTCCTTGTCCAGTTGTCCGGATTTGTCGGTGTCCGCCTGCTCAAAGATTTCGCGCATCGATTGCAGAACCTGCAAGTGCACAGGCGTGCCAAGAGGGAAAACCCCATGTTGTTCGTATGATTTTGCATATGATCCAACTGGCTATAGATGCTACTGTGTACAAAACATTCAGGTCACTCTTCATTCTGATATGTCAGCTGGTTGATTCAAAGACGGCACCTCTAGCTTTGATTCTGTGCTGAACGGTCCAGAATATCTGGTGCTAGAAGTAGCGTTGGCGTAGCCAGCCGACTGTCCGTGCATGAGGCACCAGGCCTGCTTATCGACTCGCTCTTTTACCTCGGCTGCATGTCCACATCAAACGAGTTGATGCGCATGAAAGTAGTAACACGCAGCACGGACTGGCCTGTTTTTTCCAGTCTGGCCTCCCTACCCTGACTAGCTTTGCAGGTTCAGAATGCAAATTGAGCCCGGCCACCTTCTTCTCTCGATCCGCCGTGGCTCGCGCGCTTGATAAGGTGCTTTCCTAAGGATTCAGCTCACGTGTGAGTGACGCACAAAGCAAGTGCCAAGCGACTGCCTACAGAACACGAAGAATGTACAAAGCGCGTCTTAATCAATGGAGGCCATGGACGGGGTGAATCGGATAACACTCGGACGAATGTGCCAACTGAGAAGTACAAGTAACATTGACATGGACCATTTTGGATTCGGGAAGTCGGGAGCAACAAAGCTGCTTCGTCTTTCTGAGATTGCATCGTCTTGCATCGTCGGCGAGCTGCTGAACGGCAATCCCAACTGTATGATGTCTTGATCTTGGCAAGTCACCCCGGCCCTGACCACAGCCAAGCAGCAACGACCACACCAATCACGGAGTTCATCAGCGACTCAGCAAGGGAGCTGGTAGGAAGACGACGGGCAGGCTTCCTACGTGGACCTTTAACGGGCCTTACGCTGAGCCTAAGCGACTTGCCTGGGCGCTAGGACAGGAGGCATGACGGTGTACGCGAGTACAGTAAAATTTACTTGGAATTGAATTCAGAACTCATAAAGTTCATTCTGGCATGCATGTGGAGCGTGCTTCAGCTTCATTCGCCTTGGCCTTCGGGCGAAAGGAGTCTGGAACAAACAGACCAGGATCTGGCCTCTTTCCCACACTCCAACCGCGTCAACACAAAATTTGCGTTCCACTCTCTCCCCCTCCCCCCCCCCCCCCGTGCCAAATTTCGCAAAGGTGAGTCAACTTCAAGTTTAAGCGGAGATGAAGCACAAGCACTTTCAAGAATGTCGAATCCAAAAGGAGCGAGCTTATTTCCATTCTAGTTAAGCTTAGCACGACGCTACTTGAAAGCAGTGTACTGGAACTAGGGCGAAGGTTGACGTAAAGTGAAGACGTGTAAATTGAAAAATACATGTGCCTCACTCTACTACATTTGCTTGTACTCGAGGGCAATTGGATGAAAATCAACCCTCACTCATTCCACGTGCAAGACCCGGAAACCCGACACCCAAAAGCCAAAGAGCAACGAAGCCAGAAAGCTGCGTCTGACTTCCGAGCGGTTAACGATGTTAGAGCTTGCAGCGTTTCAAGCTTCTGAGCTCCTCCAAGCGCATTGCTTCATTACGGAGCTATCAAGATGCTGTACTTCTCAAGGTTTGGAGTGCCGAAGAGCCTCCCTCCCCCGGCAGAAACACAACAAGAAAGCAAAACAAAGGTGTGACCTGTGACCCGATCCTTATGGGTCGCCTTCAGCCCCCGCACTCCCTGCCCCCGTTCCTGTGTCGCGCTACTGACTGCACTTAGCGCCGGACAAGGCTGGCAACACTCAGGAAGCAAATGAAAACGACCATCAGAAGCGGATTCCTGGGCGAAAGAGGTTCGATGCATGCCCTCACTGGGGGTCTCAAATTAGCTCTGGAGGCCTTATCACACCAATTCCAGACACGGCCCTGCACACGGCAAAAGCTATATGAACTGCGGCCGCAGAGCTCCTCCACAAGGGGCCACCTGGGCACCGTGCTTTGCATGCTTTGCAAACTTGGAGGAGAGAGATGGGTAAGGTACATTATGATCACCACACTCCTGAACATTTACGCCGTGGAAATTAAATTTTACACACGGTCAAGCGGGTTGCCCGAAAAGAAATGGTGGCCTCTATACCGCGTGTACCGTCCTTTTTGCCCGGTCAATGCAGCTTCTCGTGGCGCATTGATCGGCTTTCCATGGTGGAGCACGGGGTTTTACTTGGCACCGCCGGTTTTTCGCGTTGAACATAGATAGCTAGCCTTCTGGTGTGGACAACACGCGCTTTAAGCACGTGTTGCCAGCCTGCCACTGCGCCTTGACCCCGGTGATGCTGCGAAGTGCTGCCCAAAGTTGGTTGGCCAGTAGGACACGGAGGATAGCCTGTCCGACGTGCCTGATCATCGATGACGCGGCGGCCCGAGTACGCTCTTGGCCCAAGACCAAGGCTTCATGGCCGAATGTAACGGTGCGTCAGCAGCTGTTGTCCAATGGTGGCCAGCATTTTGCACTAGCGATACATCCCTTGATGTTTTTCGGGCGCTAGACGCTGCGTCTTCCTGACAGCCTGTGCACGGCTGATAATGCTAGGTTGACCGCGTGCTCGCAACCGTCACAGTTCTGCCGAGCCACACCAGGGAGTCCGACCATTTGTCGCGGGTGACGACCTGCCCACTACCGTAAAAAAGATGTACAGAAACCATTTTACTGCCTCGAGATCATGAAATATCTGCCACCCACATCACCTATAAGCGGCCAAAGCGACTTGGAGCCGCTGGCAAAATAAATGGATCATATTGGTTCCACCATGTTTCCACCATGTTTCCACCACTCCCCGCCTGAAAAAGTGAATACCTCAGGTCACATGCAGAACGGCCAGTACAGCCTGTGCAAAACGCAGTGAACAAGGCAACTCAATGCATCTTACTACGCAAACTGCGGCATAGCTCAAAAGAGTTCTACATCTTCTGCACATCCTAGCAGGAGTAGCCATCTGCCATCAAAGCACGAACTGCGGAGGACGCTTCCCCAGTACCTTCGACACAGGCTGCGCACAGCGGAGCTTTTTACATGACACGTCGGCAAATGCCAAAGCACTGTAAAGGGCTGAAACGAAGACATGCCAGCAGCTAGCAGCTAGCCTGCTGAAGCCGTATGCTTCGGAGCAGCGTAGTTCCAATGATCCACACTGTGCATGATGTTCAACATACTTCCCAAGTACTCCAAGAGCAAGGGCTGCCAGGTTGCTCCTCGAAGTTCCACTCGGCCCTGTCGAGGTTGAAATCCTTCACCGGGCGGTTTTGAAAACACAAGACAGCGGTAGGATGATATGTCAACCACAAACCTTTTGAACTCTTTCCGAAGGTTCTGAAAAGAGAGTCCCTGGCAGCAGTCGCTTCTTCAGTGTTCACCTGGTTCCGTCTCCAACATTTGCGAGGCAATGCCTGATTCTGGAGAGTTGTGTTCGCGGAGTAGCCTCGCCAAAGACTTTCATGTCGAACGTCCACCCGCTTTCAGCACAGGGCGAAACACTAGGCAGGGATTGCATTGGTGGCTGTGTGTCCACTTTTTGGGCAGGGCTCAGGTGGCGCGACTGGATGTCGATAATGTTTGCTTGCAGGTTAGCCATATTCGTTCACTCCTCACAGCAGTCACGATGTAACTGGCCGATGGGATTTTCTTTATGGGATTGAACTGCTCAATCAACGTGGTTCACCAGGAAGTCCGCGGAACTGCGGGATATTCGCAACTCATCAGTGGACTGTGTGCAAGGTGTGCAGCTCACAAGTCGCGGTGCACCGGTCTGCTGATCAGCCGATCACCGCGCCTGAGCCTCTGGCAACACCGCAAAACCCCAAACACTCGTCCTACACACTTGCCTAAACTCTCCATGAAGCCCTTATGGCCTGAGCCCGACAAGACGACCGCTTTGGAACCCGAGGTTTTTGTTGCGGCGCAGTGCTACTTCTCGACGGCATGTTGGATTCTCAACTTCTCAACTTGCCCCCACCGCATGGCAACAGCTTTCGTAGTTGACGCTCTTTAGCCTCGGGCTGCCAACACATTTCGTCTTGTTGTTCTCCCTCAATGAACCCGTAAAGACACTTCTTGGCGAGTGCCTAGTGTCGATTCTTAATTCGGTCGCGTTCGGTCAGCGTAAGTTGATCTATTGGGAATGTCAAATTTGTCACAAAGCCTAAAGGCTCCACTCTCACGCAAGGGCTTCGATCTGTGGAGTCCTTGTTGAAGGACTCTGATAATTAATCTTCAAATCATCACTGCATCCTCCAATCTGCCCATGATTTGGTCGGGCTTATAAGAGTGTTTAGGAAAGTCGTGTAGCTAACGGTGTCCCCTTTTGGGGCCCCTCGAAAAAACCGGGAATGCGAAAATCGCCGCGGATGCATTGCCCATGGGCCTCTGGCTTCTGGTCCATCACCGCCATCGTGACCCTCAGCATCCGACACATGTGACTGGAGCAATGACCTGCTATGGCAACCATCAAACCAATGCCGTCATCCTTCCGGCGAGGTCCTCCGTGAGCTTATATTGTCCAACCAAGAGGCAAGATGCCGCTGACCCAGATCACGCCAATGATCATGACGCCGACCCAAAAAAGCGTCCTTATAACTTTGCGAAGCATCAGGCGTTGGGTCTGAAGCTGTTAAGTCTTTGTGACACGCGTGACCGCACCAACACACGCACACGTACGAAAGCCCAAGCTCATTGGGAAGTTGGTTGCAGACCGCGAAGGCTCCACTACGCAATACGTCACTGCAGCCAGATGGCCGCCTCTACAAACATCTACAGACCACGTCGTTCTGAAAGCTGCTGCTCCTGCAACTTGCCTGGAAAGCCTCTAGAACATTCGTGGGCAGGGCTCCACATGGTTTCCCCAAGCGCGGAGATGACCAGCCAGAGCTCCCGAAACGAGGCATTGAGCTGCACCTGCCTCTCGGACTCTTGTCATGTTTCTTGCTTCCAATCTCGTCTCGCGAATTACTGTTGCATTACTTGCGCTGCAGGCGTGGACCGTACAAGAAGCTACAAGACTGAGGATCAGGCTTGACGGCACGAAACACATGAAAGATCCTGCGCAAGTTGGAGGCTGAGGGTAAGCGAGCTCCGGCAGTTGCATTCTGAGTTGAGCTACTTGTGGGACTTGTGGATTGAACGCTTGGTTTGCTGACAAAGGAATCCGCGGCGAGTGCCTGAAGGCACTTGCAAACTTCAGGTTCGAAACAACGCCGAAAGGGTGGAGCATCCACACATCGATGACGCGCAGCAACACCTGATCTCCAGTCTCTGGCACAGTGAGTTGTGGGCGGAACCATCGATTCTGAGAAGTGTGCAAACTTTGCAAACGGACTTGTCACCGATGTAGCACTTGGGACTTCAAGCGATAATAAAACCCACGCCTTGCAGAAACGCCTGTGTTGTGAGCAAGTGGCAAGTAGCGCGTCCGCACAGTTGACAAGCTCTAACCTGATGGTTCTGTCTTAAGAGACACTGAGACTTCTTGAAAAAAAAAACTTGTGCTTGAAGGTACAAGAAGTTTGTCGAGACTCTGCAAGCCACGGCTGCATTTCGGCAACAGGGTCTTCCAAGTCTGCACAGTCTTTTCCGAGCGGTGACTGGGAGCCCCACTTGAAGAAGTCCTGGTGATTGCAGAGGCCAGCAAGACACTGCAGACATGTCTACAATCCGCTTCTTCCGGTGTTTCGTGTGCACGTGCCGCCGGCAACCAATGCGCAAGCGGATTCAAAACACACGTGGACGGAAGCCAAAACGCTTCTCATACATCTAGGATGACAAGGCCCCGTGCCTAAGCTCCCTCGAGAATCCTGATGTGATCCTGGCACTCTGAAACCACTGTCCCGCGACGGCTGCCCGAAGAAGAAGATTCGCGGCCCTGTCGCAAGAATTCGAATTCCCACGTCCAGCACAAAGAGGACCTGGCAGAAAAAATATACAAAGAGATGTGGATTCTGCGGCTATATCCGAATGTTCCAAAACATAAACCTCTAAACCCCCGAAATCTGGATGGCCACGAGTACCCCTGGAGAAACATTCCATCGCGACCCAGCATCTCTTGTGCAAGAAGGATTGCTGCCACTGTCAGACCCACCCCACCCTGGCTTGATTGCTTCTCAACCCTCGCTGCCCGAAAGCCACAGTTGTATTCAGGTGTCCAGACAGCGACAAGTAGCAGTGAACACGGTGTTGATGAGATCCTTGCAAGTGGGGTTTCGCAGGAATGCAGCATGGCTGGCCATCTGATAACAGCAGGTGCTGCGACCACTCTTCATCAAGGAACCAGCGACCATGTACTTACGTGGTCCTCTATAGCCATTCAAAGCGTGCAGCCGGGGCTCAAAATATTGATTCTCATCGCCGCAACTTCTTGACTGACAGCCTGAACATGCATCTTGAACCAAAACTATGCGACTGAACAAGTGTGTGCGAAAGTGAGCACCTGAGTTTTGACCATTCCAAGGCAGACTGCCTTCAACGGACGATTCATTCTTGGCTACGCGAAAGACAAAAACCCGTTCTACAGGCATTCCGAGACTGTGTCTGTACGACTTGGCTGAAATAGTGCTGCGAGGACATGTTGAACCCAAGTCTGAACTTCAGGGAGTGTACCCATGTCTGTTGATTTGCCAAGCAGGGCAGCACCAAGTGCCCAGCCAACAAGACATATTGAAACGCAAAACAGTTAGACAGGTAGCATGATCAAAGCGACCAATGACCACTGCAATGAAAAGAGCTGCGACACTGCCGCTGCATGCTCATTCCACTAGGGTATGTGGGAGGACACTTCCCATGACCGTGTCGAAGCGACTATCAACATTGTAAGGGGTTGTGGTGGTGGACAATGGGTGATGACTGCTACATGTGGGCTGCACTTTTCTGAAACCGTAGTCCACTGAGCACATCTTCACCACACAACCACCCTGCAGTCAACGATCTGCGCCCACTGTAGCTTCAAACTGTGGCGAGGGGCGGCTGTCAACCTCCACACCCAACGCGAAGAGGTTCAGCAAGCAAACAAAGGCTACCAGGCTGCAGAACCAGAAGCCATCCTCAGTTTGCAGCAGTGCCACAGAGCTAAACCCTGCGCGCGATTGTCACCACTTCTGGGTCCACGCCGACGTTCAACCATTTTGGGGTTGATGTGAAAGCAAAAAGGCGCATCGCAAAAGAGAGAGAGAGAGAGAGACAATATGTCTTTCTCAGTTGTTCTCTTGAGAGGCAAGGTTCGGTGAAGTTCTCCTGTTCTGAGCCTTAGCATCTTGCGATTCGGGGTGCATGACAGCATACGCGAACATGCAGACAGAATGCAAAAATGCGCACTGCCATGAAACCTGTGCCGAGGATACTAAGGGGGTGGCTGTGCAACGGAAGCTCGCGTGCCTTCCTCTGCAACATGCCGACATGGACAAAGGCGCCGCACACAAATCTCAAAACTCTCAACCCAAACACTGTTCGCTGCAGCCCCCTCCTGTCATCTCGGGAGGAGCTCCCACTGGATTCGGTCTGGCCATCGCATTGGGCTTGGGCATGGAGATTCACACTTCGGAGCTTTGAAAGGAATTGGAAGGTGTAGGAATTGGAGGGTGTCCCTGGCAGCACTGCCTCCACATAGCTGCCGACGGATTCATCGTCCTCGAGGCTGTTCAGCCTTCCCAGCACGGAATCAGCATTCGATAAAAGTTGTCGTCCCCAATGTACTTTTCAAGAGCCGACGGTTGAAAGTTGAAGTTAGTCGATGAAACAATGTGCCTTTAGCGCTGCGGGCAAATCAAGCATTCAGCAACAGTGGAAGGGATGACTCACTGCCATGATGGACTCTAACACCTACTGGATTATGTCAATGAATCAATGGTTCAGTGCAGAAATACACAAAAACATAGGTGCGGATTGTTTAACTTCCATGGCAGTATAATAGTTAAGCACATTCATCGCTGGTGGTTCCGCTGACACCTCGGATCCTGCGTGGTCATCGGCTCCCGATGCCGCGTCCTGACGGTAGGCAGCTACTAGGACGAATGGACAAGGTCTCCAACCCCCACACTCGCAAACAAGTCTGATTGCTAGCGCAGCAGCTGCGTCCTACATGCAGGCGGCAGTGATGCTTCCGTGCTTTGGGGACCATCGTGCTTGAGCCAGAGTTGCGGCGAAGAACACTTTAATTTCACCCGGAAGCCAAAAGCACATGCTGATTTCATAACTTCGGGCGAGAGCGCAGAACCGAAACCAGCCATCGAATGTGAAACCACTGAAACATGCTGAAAGTGTGACCCTGAGCGATGCAGCCGCAATGCACTGACTCTGACATGGATGGTTTGGGGTGCCCGGCTTCATCTCCTTGACTTCCTGGGCTCGCGCAGCATCGGCGGCCGACTTGCCACCCTGCCAGTGAAATACAGGCTGAGACACCGCCCCGAATCAGACATTCATGCATGGTTTTCCTGCAGCTTGCGGCAACTGCCGCACCGGCATCACCAACCCGTGCTCTATTGCCACAGTGGTTGGGTGATCTATTGCAGTTTCATGTTTTTGCTTCCGACCTCTGTGGCTTTCAAATTCCCGGAACAACATCTGACTGTGAGCACTGCAGTCCAACCAATCCCGTCCGTCGAGATGCTTCCTCTTGATTAGGGCATCTACAGTAAAATAGCTTCGCTCCATGGACCGTCACTTTTCAATGCAGCCAGCGGTGGGCAAAAAAAGCCGAATATCGAAAGAACCACCCTGCAGTGGCAAGGCCTGTCGTGGCGACCAGGATGCCGTGACATCTCGGCGTTCGGAAAGAGGCTGCACCTGCCTTGCCGCGGGGTTGTCTACAAAGGTGCCTACTTGGGTGGCTCCTCAGTCACTCCAGTGCTCTCCACTCCACTGCCCCCAGGCCATACTGTGGACCATGGGCCTGTGACAAAATCAGCACCGAACACGTGAGCCACAGATTTAGCCGATGGTCCTAGGAACCTTCCATAGTTTAACTTAACCGGGAGAGCCGAAAAGCTCAGCCAGAAATGTCCCTGTACAAAAATCTTCAAAGGGTTTTCCAGATCTTCAAGCCGGGCCGAGGCAGTCGACGCGCAGCGTTTTTACTAGTACTTCGAACTGAACTCCCCACCGTAAAGCACAGCGATTGGATCGGCACTGTAGGGATCATCTTGGATTAGGCACTCCATGCACTCCGCGAGATTCTCTGGGGATGGTCGTGGTGGGCACTCCAGGCAGCCAGGCAAAATCGCAAGGCAGGACAATGCAACGCACGTGCCAGTTATCGCAGCGCAGCACCACAATCCCAAACCCAACTTGCGGAGACTGGAAGAACAGATTGCCTATCTTCGACGCATCCAAGAGCGAACTCATGCAAAGCCAAGGCTGCGACCCCCTGATCTTGGGAGTGCGCCAAGCGTTGTGGTCCTTAGCATCTGCAAAGTCAAGGATTGCATCCTCTGTGCCTGCTTGACGTATCGCGAACTTGCGGCTGTGCAGGAATCGTGCTCAAAGCTGGCTGCATCTAGCAGACCTCAGCGTTCGTCCCATTTCTGAGAGCAGGGCGAAGCCAGGAGTCTCGTCCACAACATCCTGCCTCAACAGCACATTGACATGCCTGCTGGGGGAGTGCTACAACTACAAGCTGCGCTTCTCGGGGGGGGGGCCGGCAACATCCAACGACACTTGAATGGGGCTTGGCCGAAGTGGAATGCGTGCTTCCCTGAGTCGGTGGGGCAAAACATCAGGCTGCGCTGAGCACCCGGCGTCGCATATTGCTTCTTTTTGGGGGCGCCGGCGCCAGCACCCATCGTCGGGGTTTAGTCGCTGAGGCAGCTGAGCCTGGGTTCGGCGCACGAACCCCAGACTTTCATGAGATCTTCAGTGATGAAGGATCGAACGGAAGCCGAACTGGCAGAATTCGGCAGAATATGATCAAGCCCCAAATGGCCTTAAGCTGCAGCGGCTGCGGCAGGCCCTGGGCATCGAGCCTTTCAAAATCAGAACTCGCGGAAATCATGTGCGGCAACTACGTTTTATGTGCACAAACGCCACATGGCCCACCTTCAGGCCGTCCCGCAAGGCGGAACCCCAAAAAGCACATTTGGCTTTGAGCCACAGGCGCGCAGGATGTGCGGGCGAGGCAATTGACCAGAACAATCCGAAGTATTCGGAAGCCTTTTAGGAACCCAAGCCACTGAATCCATTGATGTGAATACCGACAGGGTTGAAACATGCAAGCGCTTGTCAAAC